GGTCGCTTTATCTCACTGACTTTTCTTTCCCTGGCTGCAGTCTATACTTCTCCCCAGCCAAGTGTCCTCTGTTTATTGCACCCTCACTCTACCTCAGGCACTAGACATTTTTGTTAATGACCAGTAGACATTCTGGGCAGCTTTCTAGCTGCTAAGACATTTCTAAATGTCATACATATACTAACAGTGGAGCCCATAAGGTAGTGGATACAGTTATTAATCCCATTCAAGCTGAGGAAATAAGGTGCAGAAAAGTTAGGTAACTTGCCCAAGATCACACAGCTAGGGTAAATGATCCCACACAGTCTGGATCTGGAATCCATGCTGGCCACAGGTGTGATCCTGAGGAAAATGGTCCCTGTGGTCAAAGAATATGTAATCTAAGGTAAGAGACTTGATACATCCGTCAGTTTCGATACCCTGTGTGAAGTGTGTGATAGAAGCACAAGAAAAAAATTCTGGAATTCAGAGTCTGCCTTTGGAGAGAAAGGGGGAAGGAAATAATAGCTTAGATTTACCGAGACAGTATATGGAGCACATTAGCATGTTCTCCTGTAATTACTCCACAACCTGGTTTTCCAGATGAGCAAATAGAAGCTTAAAGTTAAGTATCATGTAACTTAATCAAGGTTAACTCAGGGGTTTTGAAGAATGAACAGGACTAGGGCTCCATTTCTAGGTTCTATGCCCTCGGAGAAGGGTTTGCCAGGGTCAAGACCCAGCGTGAGCAAAGGAAGCTTTTGTGAATTTTAAAATCCATCTTCAAACAAGCATATTTAAATTATTTCCTCAATTCCACGATGAACCACCCAGCCGTCTGTTGGTAACTTTTTAGAATAAAAGGAAGCTTGTTTAGATGTGTTGGTTTGCTAACCAACAAGCATGTAAGCGTCTCTGTACAATCGCACATGTGATCCTCAGGCTGTACAGTCACCCCCGGTCACCTGTGAGCCGATACCTGCGGACTGCCAAGCCCAGGCCAGGAATCCCGGTTCTGTGGGTCTGGGGAGGGTCTGGGAGTCTAAGTTCTAGCAAGCTGCTATTTGACTAATGCAGAGCCATACTTTGAGAACCAGCGGCCTCTGGGTCCTCCTGAGTCACGGTCTTCCTTTAGCGGGGAGACTGAGTGTATTGCTGAAAGCTAGATCAGGTGGGATTTGGGGTAGCTAGGTAGTTGGTGCCTCTGAGTCCCTCGTGGCGTAAGGACTGAGCAGACCTGTTTTCAGCCTTAAAAAGGAGGCATAACATGATGACACTTCAGGACACCGTACTGAGAGAGGCCAGCCAGTCACAAAAGGACAGACACTGTATGATTCCTTGTACTTTTTTGAGGTGCCCAGAGTAGTCAAAATCGTAGACCCAGGATGAAGAATGGTGTTGCCAGGCTGGGGACAGAGGCAGTAGGGAGTTATTATTCAGTGGGGTCAGAGTTTCAGCTGGGAAGATGAAAAGTTTCAGCGAATGGACGATGGTGAGAGCTGCACAATAATGTAAGTATGTTTAATGCCGTGAAACTGGACGCTTACCAATGGTTAAAATGGAAAATAATAATTATGTATCCTGGGGCCTGAGCAGACCAGCCTCCCCCAGCTTTTCATCCTGTGCTGTCTTCTGAGACATTTGGTGACCTGATTTGTTTTGCCTGATGTATGTGTGACAAGCACTTGCTCAAGGAGAAAACAAAACACAGTTCTACCCACCTGTACCTCTTGGTTCTCATTGTTGTTTAAAACAACAATTACAGATGTGGCCATTCCTTCAGAGATGCGGTGGTTTCACCTGTGTAAACTAACACCTGCCATAACTTATGGGGAACTCTGTTGCCCACAACTTGATTTCACTGTAGCATTGGATTCTGTGCGTGGTGTTTGTGTGTGCGTGTGCATGCTTGCAGGGGATGGAACCCATGCCCTCACACGTGCTAGGCCAATACTACCACTGAGCTACAGCCCCAGCCCAGAATCTTTTTTTCAGGACTTTTTTTTTTTTTTGGTGGTGGTACTGGCGTCTAAACTCAGAGATTGGCACTTGCTAAGCAGGTGCTGTACCACTTGAGCCACACCTCCAGCCCTTTTCAAGACATTTAAGTCAACTGCTAGGAACTCAAATTTAAGTTAAAGTTTAACATGGGTTGTGTCACAGCTGAGCAGTGAGGCAAGGCAGCCTGAGAGGAAGAGCTGCTGTCTGCAGGGCTGCTATGGCACAGATGGTGACAGCTGCATTTCAGCATCTCTGCTGGGGTAGCGAGTTTCCTTTGGTGCTGACTATATGAGGTGTTCAGAAATACTACTCTTCTTCTTTTCTTCTTCTTCTTTTTTTGTTGTTTTATACTCCTGGGGTTTAAATGAAGGACTCCATGCTTTACGCAGGTGCTCTACCACTTAAGCCATACCTCCAACCCTTTTTGCTTTAGTTATTTTTCAGTTAGGGTCTCACAGTGTTTGCTTGGACTAGCCTCAGACTGTGATCCTCCTACATAACCTACACCTCCCACATAACTGAGATAACAACACCCAACTTGTTTGTTGAGATGGGGGTCTCACTAACTTCTTGCCCGGGTTGTCCTCAAACCCCTGTCCTCTTGATCTCTGCCTCCCAAGTGGCTGGAATTACCGGCCTGAACCATTGTACTGGCCCCAGCACTATCTTTATAATCTGTTTCTGAACTTCCAAATACCTGATCCTGGTCACAGGGAAGACCCAATAAGAAAGTGATTGGGTTGACCATCCCCACGGAAACGCAAGCCCGTGTAGGGCTTGTTAAGTAGGTGGGTTCCAGATATCTTCTCAGCACCCCGGAGCAGTCAGTTCACTCATCTGCTGAGGTTTTGCCACCATGACCTGAGATCTGGAGCTGTCTGGTGCACAAGTCAGCATCAGGTGACAGTAGCACTTACTGTCACCCTCAGAGGCTTTCTGAGCTCTACCTTTGTCCTCATCCCTAAGAATGAGGGGGAGGTGGGGAAAGGGGGACTGTAGCAAGACAGACAAGAGAAGAGAAAGACAACAAGAGAAGAGAAAAGAATGAAGTAGGGGCTGGAGGCATGGCTCAAGTGGTAGAGCACCTGCCTAGCAAGTGTGAGGCCCTGAGTTCAATCCCTAGTCCTGCCAGAGGGAGGGAGGAAAGAAAGAGAGAGACAGAGACAGAGAGGGGGGAGGGAGGAAGGAAGAGGGGAGGGCGGGAGGGAGTAAAGGAAGGAAGGAAGGCAAGCATGAACTGGAAGTCTCAAGCACCACATGGGGCACTGGGTTTGTCTGGGGAGGAAGGAAGAAAGGCCAGGGAGAGGGGGGCAGGGCACATTATAAATTATTGTCACCATTATTGAAAGTGCATCAGGCTCTGATTTGCGTGTGTGTCTACTCTCTGTATCCCTGCCCTTGACATGCATGGAGATTTTGGTCCCTTGACCCATTTATTTTTGCTAATCGATCATTCTCTAGATACTTCCTCATCTGCCTCAGAGCCCCGCCTTTCCTGCATCCCTAACACCAGCAGTATCCTAAGTTGTTATTAAGGGTTTTGAATTTGTGCTGCAGTATGTATTAATAGACTGCTGAGTATTACTTTTTATTTTCACTTTTTTTTTTGGTGGTGGTGGTGGTATTGGGGTTTGAACGCAGGGCCTCAGGCTTCCTAGGCAGGTGCTTTCCCACTTGAGCCAGGCCCCCCTAGGCTCTACCATTTGAGTCATGCCCCCAGCCCTTTTTGCTTCTTAGTTTACTTTTTAGATAAGGTCTAGCTATTTTTTTGTAGGGGGATCCTAGGCTGGCCTTGAATCACGATCCTCTTAGCTCTACCTCTCAAGCAGCTGAGATTACAGGTGTGTGCTGCCATGCCTAGCTTAGATTTTAACATTTTACATGAATGTCATCGTGCTGAACTTATCCTTTTGAAATTAATTTTTCTCAACACTTTATTTGAAGGGGGAGTTGGTTTTTTTTTTTTTTTTGAGATTTGCCTGTGTTGACAAATGAAGATCCCGTTCATTCTCCCTGCTGCTATTTTATCTGAATAAACAAGGCTTGATTTCAAAAAGTATTTGAAGTGAACAAGGCACAGTGTCAAAAGTTGTTGAAATTATTTGGTGGGTCCCTCAGCATTCATTATACTATTCTCTAGACTTTGATGTAGTTTGAAAGTTTCAGAATGGAAGAGAGGGAGGAAAGACCACTGGAGAGGGTGCCAGGAGCCAATCTGGGCTGGATGGAGACTCTGGTTCTGCCGCTGATCATCTGAGATTAAAATAACCTCTGGGGGACTGGCCTTCTTCATTTGCTCCTCGTGGGAACCTGCGTCTCTGGGGAAATGCCTGCAAGTCTTGACCTTGGGCTGAAGAGTGTTTACTTAGCTGCTTGATTTGGACATACTGGTAGGTGGCCAAAGCAGGATCTGTGGAATTTGTTGTAGTTCTGACCATTTTAAAAAAGAAATTGGCAAAGGACCATCTCACAGAACGGCTGTGAGACATAATTTTGTAAAATATTTATAACACACTTAATCTATAAATAGTCCAAATGATAAATACCCACCACAATGGCAGGTCAACCCTTGACCTCCTCAACACTACAAACTTGGATTAAAAAAAGGCAATTCCTCTTCTCCCAGGCTGGCTGGACACCCCACGGCCCCAAGGGTCTCTTCCTTCTGCCTTGTCAGAGTACAGTTTTGACCTCTGGGTCTATGGACATACGGAGCTGTTGGTTAGTTTTGCCACTGATCCAAAGAACTCTACTTCGTAAAGCCAGAGTCACGAATTGCCCATATGAAGTGCTCAAAGTAACCAGGAGCCTATTCTAGTCCCAGGTCTGCTCCATGGAAGAGCCCCCCAGGTCCCCAGCATTGGCCAGACACATCCAGCCCCATTTGAAATGATTTTCAGGTATGGGGCCTCTGGTGCCTCCAGCATGAAGATGGGTCTCTCTCCTGGCACCTGCTGGAGCCCTCCCATGGCCATGACCTGAGCTGTCAGGTGTTCTGATGTTCCCTTCTCTCCACACAGGGTACGACTTCTGCCAGGTCCTGCAGTGGTTTGCTGAGCGGGTCGACAGAATCATTCTGCTCTTTGATGCTCACAAACTAGACATCTCAGACGAGTTCTCAGAGGCCATCAAGGCCTTCCGGGGCCAGGATGACAAGATCCGAGTGGTGCTGAACAAGGCTGACCAAGTGGATACCCAGCAGCTGATGCGGGTCTACGGGGCTCTCATGTGGTCCCTGGGCAAGGTCATCAACACGCCAGAAGTTCTGCGTGTCTACATCGGCTCATTCTGGGCACAGCCCCTGCAGAATACAGACAACCGCCGGCTCTTCGAGGCTGAGGCTCAGGACCTCTTCAGAGACATCCAGAGTCTTCCCCAGAAGGCAGCCGTGCGCAAACTGAACGATCTCATCAAGCGAGCAAGGCTGGCCAAGGTGAGCCAGGAGACACCCAGGTTGGCACCCGGGGCTGGGAGTGTGCCACTCTCTCCTCTCCAGAAGGAAGGTGGAGGAAGGGGGTGGGGGGCTCCATCACAGAAACCTTCAGGGATGCACAGTGCTGGGTTAGGAATTCAACCTCAGGATCAGGAAGCCCACTTATGGTCCAGCTCCCAGCTCTGTGATCTGCCTTAGCCTTTCTGGTCTGCAAGCTGGAGCCAACAAGAATGCTTCGTTCCTACAGTACTGATGAGGATTCAGTGTGACAGTGTGCCATGGTGGCAAAGCACTAAGCACAGCACCTGGCACACAGGGTGGGATCAGTGTACTCATGACATGAAGTTGTTATGATATTAGGACGATGAGATCATAGCCAGCTGAACCTGAGGGAGGTGGCATTAATGGAACCATCTGGGTGCTTGCTGAAAGGCCAGAACTAGTCACCATGTGCCAAAGGCTAGAACCCAGAGGATCCCTAGTAGGGCTGACAGCATGTTGGTTTGGGGTCTGCCGCTCTCATTCTGGGCTGTGCATGTGTACACTGTAGCCTTGGCTCCCTGGCTGTGAAGCTGAGGTGTGGGCCTGGTGGGGTGAGTGGTGGTCTGCTGACCCATCCCACGCAGCAAAATCAACTCTGAAAAGCACATCGCTCCTCTAAGAGAAGTAAAGCAGATAAGACAGTGCTTTAGGAAATCTATGTATGTTTCATAAAGTCTTCGTCGTTCTGGTGCCAGAAGTCTGCAGTTGTCTCCCAGGGGAGGTCACACCTAGCTCATGCTCAGAATCACACAAAAGCTTTACACAGTGGCGCTTTCCAGGCCTGCCCAGAGCTTCTGCCTAGAGGTACATGTGCACACGTGTGTGAAATTTATGCACAACTGTGTGTACACTACCCAGGTATTCTGATGACTAGCTGAGCTTGGGATCCACAGGTCTCTGCTGACTCCCCGATTTTACAGGGACAAGATAGGATAAGTAATTTTTCCATCAGCCAGGACTGAAAATCAGTTCCCCCCAGCTGTCAGTTCTGCTTCAGGCTCCAGAACCCCCCTAACACCTGTCCGCAGCTGCGTCTCTAGACCCACTGGTGCTTGGCCAAGGAAGTGAGATCAGCTCCCCTTCTCTGAGACTTCTGCTAGCAAATAAACACCCATGTCCCCCTCTCAGACTCCTTGCTTCACAGTAGGTGGTCTCTGGTTGGGCCTAGGGGCAAAGCAGGAGTCTACCACCGCCGTGTCACATTCAGTGGACACAGACCCAGCACTCCTGGGCCAGGGCTGAGGCTCTGTGCCCCTGTTTTTGGGATGGGGAGCTGTGTGCTGATTGAGGTGTGGGTACTTGCCCTCGTGGCATGGGTGCTCAGAGGAGGGTGACTGTGCCTATGCGGGAGAAGCAGGGAGAGCTTTACCGAGGGAGATGGCTGAGAGGACCAGAGGCCTTCCATCTTCCTGTTGCTCCCCAGCAGCCATCTTTGTACATGTGAATGCACAGAGGCTTCTCTCCAAAGACAGTGTCCCTCACTGCCCCTGCCGACCCACAGGACCTCCATGTCCTGGTTTCCTCTCTCCTCACCTTAGGCCCCAGCAAGCACATTCCTCCCATGTCACTCAGGAGGTTGCAGCTAGTTCGAGGTCACACGGCAGGCACCGTGTGAGTCACCATTCTTTATCCTTTCTTCCTGGTGCGAGCTGCTTCCTCTCAGGAACTTTGAGCTGCTTTTGTTCCTGTCCTGTGAGGCAGTTTGCTACCTAGTTCATAGAGCCACTTATCTGCAGCTCTCCTGAAAGGATTTCTTGCCCTGGGCCTAAGGCTTGGTGGCAGGAAGTCTGGTTTCACCCATTGAGTGACCCCCTGGGCATGTGGTATTTCTCTTTTGCAGCTGGTATTGTTGAACTTAACCTTCAGGATTTGCAAGAGCCCACATTATTTTATAACCAAAGCTGTAGCTCTTTGCTGAAGCCTTTGCAAATTCGGAGTGTTTTGGAGTGGTTTTTAAATGCCCGGGGACACTTCTAAATTGCCAGTCCTTGCTGAGGATTCAAGATGCAGCTGAGTGCAGTCATATAAATAAATAAGGAGCAGAGAACTGGCTGGAAGCACCGAGCACCATAACCCATAGAGCTGCCCTGCCATCCTGGAGCAGCGGCCCTCTGGCACCAGCATGGCCGAGGTTTACAGAAGCACAGAATCTGCTCTGTTCCCACACCAAATAATGGCAAGCCTTGTGCAGAAGCGGGGGATGGATGGCAAACTTGCTGAGCTTACTTATAGGAAAAAGCTGGCATTTTTTTCTTCCTAAGAATAGTATCTGGTTTGTTCCTTCTCACAAAGGAAAATGTTTGAGCACAGACACTTCCAGCCCCAGCCTGTCAGTGTTCAGGGCAGTGCCACCCTGAACGGCGGGGACAGGAAGCAGCCAGAACTGAGCACCAACTGATGACTCTTACTTTACACCATCGACAGTTTTTTTCTAGTCTTGGGGCTCGAACCCAGGGCTGCCTTATGCATGAGCTACAGCCTAACCCTCCATCTGCAGTTCTGTGTTCCATTTGTGAGCTCGTTCTTAGTTAAAAGGACACGGGCTCACATGAGATTTTCACTTTGGAATGTTCATATTGTCTAAACATGATTTTTTTATGGTGGAAAAAATGTATATTTAGAATTAGCAAGCTGGACTCAGTTTAGATGATCCCAATTGTGTTGCAAACATCCATTAAAATGCTTTTTGGGGGGAGCATATCAATCTTTTTCTTGATTCAGTTTTCCTTTTGCGCCAAAAATCCCCAAGGGGCCTGATAGCGTGCATTACAAGCGTTGCTTTGCTTGTTCCTGGTCATAACTACACAGAATGTAGCATTTCATCCTTTTATTCCACACGGAGGCCTGATGCTCAGAGAGGTGAGGTAACTTCCCCGAGCGACACAGCCTGCAAGTTACAGAACATAGATGCTCAATCTAGACAGCTAGGCTGCTTGTTCCAAAAGATGCTCACTTAAATCCTGAGTCGTGGCAGAGTGGCTCCAGTGGTATCACATCCGCCTAGCAAGCATAGGCCCTGAGTCCAACCACAGTACTGCCGGAAAAAAAAAGAAAAAGAAACCTACGATAGACAGTGTCTGTGAAAGCTCCATACTTAACATTCTTGCTCTCTGCATTGATCTGCCATTCTGTTTATTCTAGAAGAGTCTCCAACCACAGAAACCCAACAAAGTTGAGAGGGTTATCAAGCTGATATTTTGAAAACTCACATGTCACCTAAGGTGGCAGATCTAAGTCAGCCGGTGGAGTGTCTATTTATAGAGCACTGTAATTAAGCAGCATTCACTGCCCAGCTAAGGAAAGCAAGTGTGTCCTTGTTTCAATCAAACTCAAAGTGTCATAAAGAAAAATATATTAATAATACAAAAAATAGATATTCTTACCAAAGAGCTCTTTTTTTTTTTCTTTCTTTTTTTGTTTGGTGGTATGGGGTTTGAACTCAGGGCCTCATGCTTGTTAGGCAGGTGCTCTTACCACTTGAACCACTCTGTCAGCCCCAAAGAGCTTTGAAATGTAATTATTTCTCTGTCTTTGGGGTACTGGAGATTGAACCAGGGTCTTGCACATGTTAGGCAAGTGATCTACCACTTTACTCCTTTTTTGTCTGTGTTTTGTTTTTGAGATAGGGTCTTGCTAACCTTGACCAAGCTAGCCTCAGACTCAAACAAGCTGGCCTCAAATTCAAAATTCCTTCTGCTTCTGCCTCTCCAGTGGCTGGGATTACATGCATGCACCACCAGGCCTGGATGATTCCTTGGTCTTTTCTGCTTGCTTTTTTTTTTTTTTTTTGTAGGACTGGGGTTTGAACTCAGGGCCTACACCTTAAGCCACTCCATCAGCCCTTTTTTGTGATGGTTTTTTTGAGATAGGGTCTCACAAACTATTTGCCCAGGTTGACTTCAAATGGCAATCCTCCTAATCTCTGCCTCCTGAGTAGCTAGAATTACAGTTGTGAACCACCAGCGCCCTGCTTTATTTTTTTCACAACTGTCTGTGCCAAGAAATGGGAGAACTTCAGATTGGTTTTGGTAATTTACCTTATCTTTTTGGTAGGCAGCCAGCTTGGAGGACTGTTCACTTTCTGAGACGCCAGTCAAAGCTCACTGATGATTCTTTAGTAAATTTTAGGAAAGTACAAATAAGAGTTTGGAAAGCATAAGTTAATTTTATTGAGCTATAGTTTAAATAAGCAAATTAAAGAAATTAGACTTATGCAGATCCCAAACAATCATCTTTACAAACAGACGTAAAATGTGAAGGCAAGTTCACTGTCAGACCTCAGCCTTCATGAACACATCGTCCACAATTAGGAAGGCTCCAGCCCATTTGGAGAGCTCAGTGATTTTCAGGGTGCATTCCAGTTCTGTGGAACTCAGCTTCATGTTCCACACACATCTTCCTCTTAGTTGCGTGTACTGTGCAGAACCAACTTTCCTGTTTGCACTGTCAGACTCCCTCTGTGGAGAAGTTGGGTGTTTTGTAGCTCCAAGAGATCCAGGCTCATGTGTGTGAGAAGCAGTGTGCAGCAGGCGACGACAAGCACTTTAATGCTTATCCACCTCGGGGCTCTAAAAATAGCTCAGGTCATTGTGTCAAGCCCATGTACGGAAGCCTGACTCTTTGAAGGCTGACCTCAGATGCCTCTGTGGGCCCCTCGGAGTCTCCTTTAAGGCTGTTAGTCATATGTGCCTCTGAACAGAACAGCAAACCCTTGCTCAACAGAAACAGTCAGCCACTTTTCTCCACCTGTCCCGATCTTACACCCTTATTACCCCAGGAATTCACCTTTTGGATCTTTCTGGTTTAGGAACTAAATTTTTGTATCATCATAAACCCACTGTTAAATTGTGCTGATCCCCTAGCTTTAACTACTCTATGTGAGTTTCCAGCTGGGCTTATAAAAGTGCAGGTTAAGCTTGTGGATGAGGGCATTGAGGTATAAGAATAACCCTGCTTTCCAGCCTGCCTTCCCGAACCCACTGCCCAGAGCCACATCCCACCCCGGACCCTGGTAGCTTCCTGCCCTCCCTGACTCCACGCACAGATGGCTACAGCCAGTACCTCTCCCGAGCCCAGCTTCCCAGCCATGGACACACACATCACCGGACATACTTAATGACATTTGCCTCAGAGAGTAGATAGGAACTATACAAATTCATATGCATTCAGAAGGGAAGCCAGCCCTTTCTGCTGCTCATTGAGTTATTAGCCTGGTGAAAAAATGTCATTTTGACCCATTTGATTCATCCTCAGACATCACCACTAGATGACGGGGGGGTTTTTCCGATTTTATACAAGGAAAAGGATGACCTAAACAAGATAAGGACGTTCAAGTGTCCCCAGAGGTCAGTGTCATTCATTCATGAATTAGGCACTTGAGACCCAAGTTCATTCCCTTACTAAGTAGCCAGGAGCCTTCTCTGGCATCACCACCCATCTAGCTCTTGGTCTTTGGTCAATAATTAATAACTAGTAACATCTATACTTCTCTTTCTAGTAGACAAAGTGCCCTCAAATGCCTGTGCTCTATTCTCATAATGACTCTGTGAGATAAGAGTTGACATTTCCAGTTAGTAAATGAGCAAGCAGAGGCAGGGAATCAGTGTCACCCTTCGAGGTGTCCAGCAGGTAGGCAGCGGTGACAGGCACTGAACCTGGTCTTCCTCTCCTCCGGTCCTCCTTCTCCCTCTGAACACTCTTCTCTTTGTTTTCCCTGTGTTCTTTCTTAGTTTTCTCTCGTTTTAAGAACCAAAGGTCTCAGGCTGTTCTCTTTCATGGGGACCCTCACCTGGTCTGCCCTCAGTCCAGCATTTATTTAGAGAGACATCTTTGAATGCAGGGAAAGAGTGAGTTTTTGCCGTTGACTTGGACTTGACCATTTAGCTGGTCCCCTGTGTTTACCAGGTGTCTTTAGAGAAAGACGGTGCCTCCTGCCAGAAGGTGCAGGCTCTGCCCATGGTCCCAAGCGTGACGTATCTGTTTTTGGTGTGGCAAAGGGAGAATAATGGCCTCTCCAATTATTGCATTGAGAACTTTGAGAAGTCAAACCTGAAGGGATTTTCTAAACTACTGCTCTGTAGGACACAGTTCATTTGGAATTGAAGATCTTTAACAGCTTCATGAGATTTTTAATCACCCACAGAAAGTGATTAGTTCTGCCAGGATGGGAATGAGGAACTTAGATGCCAGTGCCAGCTTCACATCTCCCAACTCACTGTGTGACCCTAAGGAAGTCATGTGAATTCCTAGAACCAGGAGTCCAAGTAGACTTAGAGGCACTCTTCCAGAGTCAATCTTTTCAGACTCAGCCTGTGGTTCCAAAAATTGTAATTTATCACACAACTTGATAAACATCTTAGGATGCCCCAGGAATGGGAGGGAGGAGGTGGGCAGCCACAGAGAGGCAGCACATCGGGAGACTTCCATGAAACAGGCCAATGGAACTTCCTAGAAGTAGAAATTGGAGCTGAGAGCAGCATGAGGTCCCCCAAAACTCATGACTCAGGTAGCACCTGCCAGGCAGAAGGTGGCAGTTAAGACCTCTTTCTGCACAAGATCTGCTCCCAGGTGTGGCAGGGCACTGGAGGCCTAGTGTCCAAGGGAATTATCCAGCCACCTCAGCCATCAGCAGTCAGCAGTAGACACAGTGAAGTCTAAGACAAGGGAGTAGGTGCCAGTCAGTGGGTGGAGAGGTGCTACAGACGCACTTCTCCTGAGTCCAGCTCAAGTAAGGCAGGCCCTGACCACTGGGCAGTATTTAGGGGCAGGGTGCCCATCATAGGGGACCCAGGGCTGGGTGGGACATGAGCCAGAGCAAGAAGCAGGAACTAAGCCTTCCCTGAGCAGGGCCCAGCCGAAGGGTCTGGAGGGAGCCCTGCAGGGACTGGAAGTTGCCCCAGGCCTTGCCTCTGGCAGAGGGGAGAGTTAGTTAAAAGCCCTATGGATGGGAAGCCTTGCAGCTGTGGGCCTTCCTGCCTCCATTGGAGCTGACTCCAGAGCAGGGCACGCCTGGTCACAGAAGGGATAAAGGATAGGCCAGTCCAGAGGATCCCGGGAGGCTCAGCCAAGGATGTGATGCAAGGATGGCTGGTGAGCAGCTGTTTCTTCCCCCACTGAGTGTGGCAGCCCCTGCAAGTCCCCAGGGGCTCCCCCAGCCCCATCCATGCCAAGTCAGCCAGGCTGTCACTGACCCAGGCAGAGATTGCTCATCTTACCCCCATTCATCATGGCCTCAGGAATGCAGTCAAAGCCTGGAATTCTAAATAAACAATTCCTGAACACTGGGTTTCTCTAGTTATCTCTAAGAATCTTGTTAGTACGCTGTTTTCTGTTGAAAAATAAATAAACCAAGTTGCCAGTGACAGAAAGGGCTGGAATCTCCACATCTATTCCCCAAGCAACAGCCAGGCAATCTGATATGGGCTTATGTTAAGATGAGCTTTGTATAGAAGGCAAAGCACACTGTTCGGTCCACGCAAGCTGGCATTTGCATCATGCACGTATGCTGGTGTTTGAATCTTAGCAAATGTTTTTGGCCTTGCCCAGTATGAATGGCAGAGGCCCTTAGCTGAGCTAAGGGATGGCTTCTTACCCCCTTTATTTAATTTCTGTTCTTCCGCAAGATTACAGTGAAGTCTGTTTTCTTTAATAGGATTTTCCATGGCTACATAGTCATTTTCTTTCAGCAACATTGCTCTTGTTTTTCATCAGTTCTTACTTTAGTTATTTACTTGACTTCTAACTTACTCTGTAGAATTCAGGCTCTACAAAGAAAGCTTTTGTAATAAACATGCCTTACTGCAATGGGAATCAGTGGACCAGTGGAAATGCTGAAGAGAGGTGACACAGACCACAGCTCTCCTGGCAGGATTCCCCACCCCTTGGTGACAGTCCAGGGCCAGCTATCCCCCAGGTGATTAGAGTTTCCCCTAGGCACCTGGGGTTCCTCCCCACAAGGGAACTTCTGCCATCCAGCCTGGTCCCAGGCAATAGCTTGTGCAGAAATGACTTGTAGAGGTCTAAGCTCCTACCTGTCCATAGGAGGGGCTGGTCCTTCTCGTCGCATTGTTCACTGGGCAGTTTTGTGCTCAGTCACTGACATCAGTCTCCAGTATCCTTCCCTGTGAGGTCAGCCGAAACTTTCTCTTCCACCTTCCATTGATCAGAATTCAAGTGTTGCCACCAGACCCTGCCCACCTCCTGCTATGAAATTTCCCCAAGTCCGTTACCCTTCCTTGGGAATGTATTTTAGGACAAAATTCTAAAGAACATCCTTTGTGTGACTCCACTTTGGCCTGCCCTGACCAAGCATCCCTGGTATTCTGGCCTCTCTGGTCCTCCAGAACCACCCTTGGTACAAGCATTATTTACCAGAGCCTCACTCTGAATCCTCCAGGGACTCCTGCTCCCTGCTGAGTCTGGACACAGCCCACCTTCCTCACATTCCAGACCATGTATGTGACACCATGCCACAGCTTGTTCTATCTCCACCTTGACCCACGCCCACTCCTCTACCTGGGCCAGCACAGCCCCCTTTTACCCCATATATCCTGCCTGTTCTTCAAGACCCAACTTAGATGTCACATCTTCCCTTGACCTGTCATCCCACAGTCCTTATTTGCCACATTCTGCCTCCCAATGATACTTTTCTGGCTCTTCTTCCCCTACCTGGCTCTTGATGGTGGGGTCTCTCTGCTCCCTCTCTCTGGGTGGTCTCTTTCATTCCCGTCACTCTGGCCCTACTAATACCAGCTCGGCAGAGCTCTGGACATACACCCAGCCAACCTTAGGCAACCCCACTCCTGCTCCTCGGCCCCTCCCATGTGTGAGGGCCATGGCTCTGCACGGGTGCCTGTTACATGTTGTTGATGTGTGTAAATGCAGCCCTGTTCATTCCTTCTCTGGACCAGTTCCAAATGGCATGCTCTCACCTGACATATCCCCTTCAGGTACATGCCTACATCATCAGTTACCTGAAGAAAGAGATGCCAAATGTATTTGGAAAGGAAAACAAGAAGCGAGAACTTATCTTCAGGCTACCAGAAATCTACATTCAGCTGCAGCGAGAATACCAGATTTCTGCGGGGGACTTCCCTGAGGTCAAGGCCATGCAGGTACTGGGAACCTGTGACGACATCATGGGAGGGGTGAAGATGCCATACCACATCGTCCATCTGGCTGCTGGAGACATGAGTGTCTCATGGCTTAGGATGATGGGATGTCATGAAGTCCAATGACAGGCTTCTGTGAATCAAACCAAAATTTCCTGTCTTCTGAAACATTTAACCAAAGGGGACACACAGCAAAAGGTCAATGAAGTTAATAAGAAAAAATCAGACGAGCAGCCTTCTAAGTAAGACTGTGTCTAAGAAGGAGGTTTTGATGTTGGGATGACCCTTGTTTTTCGGAATCTCTGAACCTCAAGGGAATCAGAGCTGGGAGTGGCCTTGAAGGTCACCTTGGATGACGTCCTCCAGCCCTGCTCTGTGGGATTATGTGCTCAGGCATCCTTGTCACTGAGGGTCAAGGGCTCTGTTGGGTGTGGGGCTCTGTGGACATGGCTGCACACAGTGAGAGTTTTGGTGGAACACTGGCGTTGATGGCCTCTGGCCTGATTTCAGAGTCACCCTTGCACCTTGTGTGGGCAGCACCTGCCAAGGAGAACAGGGCTGTATCCAGGGTCTGACCAGGGTCCACTTCCCTGCAGGGATGTTAGACAAGCATGTCCTCCTGTCTAGTTTAGCACCCATCTGCACAGGACCACAGTTATCTCTGTAGAGCAGGTGACAGAAATACAGATAGGTGCCTGGAGCCACCAGTCGATAGAATGACCATGTGAAGCAGACAAGCAACAGAATCCATGTTGTGTTCTCTGACTGCATTCCGTCTCCTCACATCTGACAGAAATCTGTCTCAAGGAGAATAACTCTGCTGAGCTCTCTACTGAGAGCTTGGTGGGGGAGGGGTCCTGTCCAGCCCAGTGATCGCTGTCATGTGAGAATACAGGTCCACATGGTTCAAGAGAACAGAAGTCTAGATTTGCATTTATTATCTTTGTTGGTTTTGGTGGGTTTGAGGGTTTTTGTTTTGTTTTGTGGTACTGGGAATTGAACCACAGCCTTGCTCTTTTTCAAAACAATGCCACATAGGCCACACAAAGGCCACCTGCATACCAGCTGCACACTGAGACCATCAGTTACATCTACCCAAGCCACAGAGAGTCACACCACTGGAGGTTGGACCTGGAGTTCCCTGCCAGCCTCTAGCGTGAGGAGGAGGAGTCAGAGTCAGGGACTCTGTGACAGGATTTCTGTGACAGGATCTCGCTATGTAGCCTAGGCTTGCCTCCTACTCTCAATCCTTCTGCCTCAGCTTCCTAAGTGCTAGCTGGGATTACAGACGTGTACCACCATGCTTTGCTCAAATGGAATAGATTGAGTTTCTTCTGGTCACGAGGTGCTCACTTGAGCACTGTGTGGTTCCAGACACTTCCCCTTTTGTACCTCAGGTTATGCCCTGCACCCCATGAACAAACTGCAGAACAGCTGTTTCCATGCATCCTTCAGATGGGAACTTGAGTTTGGAAGGGAACTTGGTGTCTTGACTTAAATTAAAAATATGAAGAAACACCCAGAATGTGGCCTCACAAGTACCTCTGTGGCTCAGTAACCTAGTAGGCCACAATGCCCCACCCGCAGGAAGAAGCTGCTTTTGAGATCCCAAAGCTCCATTGAGCCCCTCAGAGGGGCTCCCATGGCCCCCAGGTTCACCCCATAACACAGGGCGCATACTCTAGGACCATAGATGCTTGTCACACAGTTACCTGGGCCTGTCTGGATCAAAAGTGGGGAAAAGGGACAGTCCCTGGAGGAGAAAATAAAGAAGCAAAGGTCTCAAAGCATCCAGATCTTTGCTGAGAACCCCTGTTGGTTAAGTACACACTGCTGCCAGGGCACCTTCAGAAGGCACCTGAGTGCCCAGGACTGGGACCCTGTGTTCATTTATTCATTCATCCAAGAAATATTAAGACTGCTATGGGCAAGCACTGTTCCAGGCCACTGCAATAAATCAGTGAACAAAAATTAAAATGGGGGTAAAAATAACTTAGTCTTTGCCACTGTGACTATGGCTGACGGTGTAGCTCTTAGCAGCAAGGTCATTGTTGGACATGCACCTCAGCCCAGCGTGATGCTGTCGTGCTGTCATCGATTGAATTATTCCACGTCTGTTACTTGGTGTCTGTCTCCCTCACATGCATTCAGTGGCCTGTGTTCTATTCACTCCCATATGGCCAGTGTCTGGGATGCAGTAGGTGCTCAATTAATGCATGCTGTGTGACTTGATGAGTCACTGCATATTCATGACATGGCAGGCTCTAGGGCAGTGAGGTTCTCCAACTCTGACCCTTCCCTGATTCCCACGGGGCTTATAGACCCTGGGGTTTCTGGAGCAAATATCCAGAAGCTGGAGGAAGATTCCCCCTTGGGAAGCCAGCTGGGTCCTGATCGCAGCACCTGGTGCCATCAGAATCCCAGGAAATGGGGCAGGCCTGGTGCCACCCGGTGTGCTCACCATCACTCATGCTTCAGGCCATTTGCTCTCACCCAGGAAGCTCTGAGGGTCCTCGTGGGTGAGGACCAGGGTGTCTCCCGTCCCCCAAGCCTGTTGAGACTCTGCCATCTTCTGTAACGTGCGTTCTGTGTGACATTGACAGTGTCTGGGGCAGAAGGTTAGAGGTGACAGTTGTGATCTTGGCACATGTCAGGGTGGTGCAGAGAGTTCACAGAAGCCAGCTTTAGGTCTCTGTTGTCCCTTCCTCTCGGGGACTAGGCTGGCCATTGTGACTCATAGCCATTGTAATGAGCTGAATGTGTTTCAGTTGCTTTCCCCTGGTGCCAGGACAGGCTCTTCAACCTACTGGTGAGGCTGCCTGTGTCTGCCCTGCAGTCTGGTCACAGGGAATGTGACTTATGGCACACATGTGTGCACTCTGCAGAACGAGGACGTAGAAACCCTTTATTGCTGACTTCATTGTCCTGAAAGGATGAACCCCAATGCTGGTGCGTTAGCAGTGTTTCAGCAGCAGAGGGCAGCAGAGCCATCCCACCTGCTCTCATCCGCCTGTGTTTGCCAGTCACCCTGGTGAGCATCGGGAACCACGGGACAAGGCTAGTCCAGCCTGGGATGGGCTGGGAACTGGCCTTGGTCCCTGAAGAAGGAGCAGTTCCAGGTGGCTTAGTGGACACAATTGCTGATGGGCACCATCGTTAAACTCTGTGGGTGGACATCCCAGTGAAAAGACATGGTGGAGAGTGGGGATATTCTTGGTCAGGCCTGTGACGACCTCAGGGACAGGAGTGTAGCTGTTCCCTTTGTGCCCTCCAGGGAAGGAGAAGCTGCTGCTTCTTGGCCACCCTATCTGAGGCCATTTCCCAGAGCTCCACCATTGGAATCCACGTCCCCTGCGGGCTGGTGGACAGTTGAGTGGCCGTCCCGGGCAGACACTGGGGCTGTGTGTACTCAGGACACAGGCTCGTTAATGAGGGACAGTGTAGGTGTTCGTCCACCCAGGGGAATCCAGACCGTTGGCCCGCAGCCTGGGATTTTCGCGTAGGAGGCCCGCTCCTCCTCCTTGGCTCCGTCCTTTCGGCCCCTCCGCCTGACGGAGGTGCAGCAGCCGGAGCCGGCGCAATGTTTGGTGCCGAGATTGGGAGCAACGACTCTGATGTGCCAGTGAGGACGAGGGACCCAGGAACCAGAACTTGTATTGGAAAGCGGGCCTGATCCACCCCACTGCACAGGGCTGGGGTCAGGCCACACTGGGTTTCAGCCCAGCACAGCTTTGATGGCATTTTCTGCCTTCAAGTGCGTGGGAGGCCCTTCTCTGCAGACACAGCGGGCTGTTCAGCCTTCAGCTCTGTCCCCGCTAACATCGGGGCCGGGCTCCCTTCCAAATATCAGCAAATAGTCCCTGCCTTGCTCACCCTAGAGACCTCTGTTTTCATTCTCTGTCCCTTATAGCTGACTGAAAACACCAAGAAATTTTTTATCACATTACTTCCATCCAAAACAACCAAGTCTCACTCTTCTTCCAAATCTTCCCACCCCATCTCCAGAAATTTTCACACCTCAGTGGCCTCTCTCTGACCCTCTAGATTTGGCCATACAGAAATACCTCACACAGAGTCTATATAAAAACTGCCAGGCCTGAATATTTCTGCATTTGTTTGGTAAAGCTTCTGGCAAGACTTTTTTCCCCTGGGTCTCTGAGGCCCTCATGTAAGGCCCCAGGCAGTTCTTACAGCTCATAACCACAGAAAGTTCATCTCTTGCAGTAAGCAGGTGCTTTCTGTCCTCAGACAAGGAGGGCTGTGCACAGCAATGAGAGAGCAAGGTGGCCCTGGGCACCCGAGAGGCTCAGAATTGAGTTTTTGTATGTTTACAGGCAGAGGTTTTCCTTCACTTCAGCCACCTCATGTAACAATCCCTTCTCCTTTCTAGTTACTTGGCTTGGCCCTTTCTAGTGACTTTCTTATATTTCATGTTATCCTTTTCTTCACTATAAGTTAATGTAGTCAGCAGAAACTGAACAATTGGAATGTTTTCCAAGTTTACATATAAGCTCCTTTAAACTGAGACTGTGGTTCTCCATGTTTGTACGCTCAGACCCCAGGAAAGGCTCTGATGTGTAGTTAGTTTGGGTGAGTGGATACATGGATGGATAAGTGATGGATGGGTGGATAAGTGCATGGGTGGGTGAGTGGGTGAAGGATGGCTACATGGGCAAATGGACAAATAGATGAAAGGATGGGTGGGTAGATGAAAGAAAGGGAGGGAGGGAGGGAAGGAAGGAGGGCAGGTAGATGGGTAGATGGATGAATAGTTGATTGGAAGAATAGATGGAGAAGGATAGATGGATACATACAGGTATGAGTAACCAAAGAGAAACTAGGTAGGAGAACTGTCTCCAGAGCCATCCACAAATTCTCAGTGGCCCCCCAGCATTCCACTCCCACTCTGGAGGGGTAGTTTCTGTCCCAGACCCTCCCCAAGCCTGTGCTTCTGCTGCTCTGTCTGCTGATGGCCACTTCTCCCAAGAAGTGAAGCCAAGACCTGTCCTGATCTGCTAGGGATACTCAGCCCCGTTGGCGGGACTTTTATACATTTACCCTCCTGCTCGCCCTCTTACTTGTTTCAACTTATACTTATTTGTCCATATTTTGGGGGATTAGTTTTTTGTTTGTTTGTATTTGAGCCAGGGTCTCACTTTGTACCCAGGACTGGCTTTGAACTTGCAATCCTTTTGCCTCAACTTCTACAGTGCTGAAATAACAAGCATGCACCACCATACTCAGCTTGCCCATGTTTTTGAACTAACTACTGATCCATGATGACTGTGCTATATTGTCAAGCCTTCCCCAGCCTTGCCAAAATACCTTCTTGGGGTGGCCTCAGTGCTCTGGGTCAGGCAGGGCCTCTGAAGTGCTATTCCCCCTGTACTTCTACTTGAGTAGCCTCCTGGGCTCACTCATAAGAGGTTAGCACCAAGGAGGAGGTACCCAAACTATGTTGTTGATTTACTTGTTTGCTGTTTATAGATGATCCTAAAACAAAGTTCTTAATAATTTTTCCTAGACATAGTCCCTCTATCACATAGCAAAGAGCATTAGTGAACAGTCAGGACACAGAGAATCCTTACTCCATCAGGGCACTCTGTTGAACAGGGTTATTAAGGTAACACTGAAGTGTTGTTAAGTGTTATTAAGATAACTGAGTGTGCAGCAAAATCTCTTTGAGAGAGAAAATACTAATTTTCTCGTACATTTTTTTCTTTAAAGGCAGGGGAGGCCGGGCATAGTGGCTCATGCTTATAATCCCAGTTACTCAGGAGGCAGAGATAGGGACAATCATGGTTCTAGGCCAGCCAAGGCAAAAAGTTATTAAGACTCCATTTCAACCAATAAGCCAGGCATGTGGCATATGCCTGTCGTCTGAACAGTGCAGGAGACAGAAATTGGGGCAATTGTAGTTTGAGGCCACCCTGGGCAAAATCACAAGACCCTATCTGATAAATAACTAAGACAAAAAAGGGCAGGGGTGTGGCTCAAGTGGTAGAGTACCTGCTTAGCATATGTGAAGCCCGAAGTCAAAACCAAGTACACCAAAAAAAAAAAAAAGCAGAGGAAAGTGGATTTTCTAGGAGGGTTGCTATCACTCATGCCTCCACCAGCAGAAATCAGCTCCTGGGCCCCAGCCTGTCCCTCCCAGAAAGCCTCACCAGAGCCTGTGGTTTCTCCCCGGCAGGAACAGCTGGAGAACTACGACTTCACCAAATTCCACTCGCTGAAGCCCAAGCTGATCGAGGCGGTGGATAATATGCTAAGCAGTAAGATCTCAGCGCTGATGGGCCTCATCAGCCAGGAGGAGATGAGCATGCCCACGCAGCTGGTGCAGGGCGGTGCCTTCGACGGCACCACCGAGGGCCCCTTCAACCAGGGCTACGGGGAGGGTGCCAAGGAGGGCGCTGACGACGAGGAGTGGGTCGTGGCCAAAGACAAGCCCGTCTACGATGAGCTCTTCTACACTCTGTCGCCCATCAACGGCAAGATCTCGGGTGTGAACGCCAAAAAGGAGATGGTGACCTCGAAGCTTCCCAACAGCGTCCTAGGCAAGATCTGGAAGCTGGCCGACTGTGACTGCGACGGCATGCTGGACGAGGAGGAGTTCGCGCTGGCCAAGCACCTCATCAAGATCAAGCTCGATGGCTACGAGCTGCCCAACAGCCTGCCGCCCCACCTGGTGCCCCCCTCGCACAGGAAGTCCCTGTTCAAGGCCGACTGAGGGCAGCTGTGGATGGGGCGGTGGGTGGGGTGGGGTGGGCAACCTGGGCCTGAGGCCTGCGCTGCCACAGACTCGCTGAATCACCTTGGGCGAGGCGCTGCCCTCTCCGTGCCTTGGTTTCTTCATCAGTAGGTTGGGAAGGGCATATGCTAGACACCAGATGAGGTCCTTTCACCTCCAAAATTCCCTGATTTTCTATAAATATATATATACAGGGAGGATTGACAGGAGATTGCAATGAGAAGAAAGGCAAATTTTTTTGTCCAAAGAGCACTCAAAAGCCTGGAGAAACAGCCCAGGGCTTGGTGGACTCCCAGGAGTCCCAGAAGTGAGCTGGGGCCCACCTGGAGCATGAGCCTTTAGGGCTGAGTGGGGCTTCTTGTCGCCCTGAGCCGCCACTGTACTGTCTTCCCTCAGGGTGCCAGGAGGTAGCAAAGATGGTCCTATTTATTTTGCCTAGTGTGTTTCCTGCTGTACTTAGAGTAGGAAAATAAAAGTTTTCTGCTCTCTCTGGACTGATGAACAAAGGGAAGGCCAGTGCCCAGGTGGGAGAGGAGGCAGAACAGGCAGCCAGGCCAGCAGAAAGTGCCTGTCCAGGACCCACTGCCCACCCCTTCTGGCAACGCTGAGTCAGTTAGGAATTTGGAGCTTGTGACCTCACTGCCATTTCAGATCTTGCTGACATCAGGGATTCACTTCTCTGATGAGTTTGCCCAGTAGTCTTAGCAAAGTCTGTGTATCAGACTGAAGTAACAGCAAGAAAAAGAGGCAGTTCTCGTCCACGGAAGTGTGGGCCTTGACCACTGAATGTCCCCAAGGCCCCTTAGTGGATGGCAGAATTTAAATTCAGCAAAACAATGTCTTGGTGTGTGCAGTGCCCTAGGCCCTGTGGGCACAGGTGAGGCCAGCCTTGCCCTAGGCTTTTGGGTAGAAAATATCCATCTATTGGAGTAAGATAATGTTTTTTAGAAAGCAGGCATTTTATTATGTGCAGTTGTATTTTTCTTACGGTATTAAAAAAAAAGCCTTTATACAGAAATCTTTCATATAAACCTTTCTTCAAAAGCCGCGTGGTTCGTATCATGAATGCCCATCTCAGGCAGGATGTGACTACATACCCTTCCAGTGGCTCTAGCGTGCTTTCCCCAGATCCTTGGGTAAATGTCTCTGACCACCATCTCAGATGCCTGGGTCAGGTGGAGGTGGCTACTTCCCACTGCCACCCTCCCTGCCCTGGGACAGGTGGCTTTCCCTATTCTTTAAGCAATAAGAGAGAGTAAAGGGCCAGGTGTGGTGGCACACACCCATAATCCCAGCACTGAGGAGGCTGAGGCAGGAGAGGAGAGTTCCAGGTCAGCCTGGACTATGTAGTGAGACCCTGTCAAGAGAGAGAGAAAAAGAGAGAGGGAGGATAGGTAGCAGTGATTGCACAGTGTGGGCCCTGCCAGTACCAGGAATGAATGCAATTAGAACAGTCTCAGTGACCTTCCCAAAAAAAAAAAAACCACATTTTTTTCACATGGGGTCAACTACAGATTAAAGAGAAGACACTGTCAATGCTCACATTCCCTAACTTTCTGTGTAATAGAATTTTAAGAGAAGTAATTGCAGAGTGTGGTTTTTAATCTGAATGAGCACTTTTTAATTGATTGGACACAGGAAGGAAATAAACATATGATCCCAGTATTGTAATATTATGAATAGGGGTTGTGTGACAGCAGGAACCAGATGGTCCAGCACAGTGGGCCACAGTGGGCAAACTGGGGAGCCTGGGGATGCCGGGGAGGGCCGACTTTCCATTCAGAATTGTCTCATTTCATTAACTCTGCCCAGTTGTAATCTATAAACATAAATATATACACGCACCTACGTCACACGAGTATGTGTTTTTAATGTGTTGGTGTGTTCGTAAGTACAAGCATGGCCAAGTTGTGTCCACACAAAGACTCAGTGGAAAACTGTTTTCATGGGCCAGCAGGCTGAGGTTTCTGGTTTCATCAGGGAAGGAAACTTCTCAGGACAGCGTGATCTCTGCACCCCACGCCCTCAACTGGGAGAGGCATCAGCAGCTGCTCCTGTCCCCGTGGGACCTGGTGATGTTCTTAGAAAAAAAGAAAGGAATCACGTGCCTACTTTTGATAAAATTCTGCCTTACAATATGAAGTCATTCATCATGAACAGTTCACTAGAAAGGAAAATAATTCGGGATGGTGGCCAAGTGAGGGCTTGGATCTTCCCAGGACCGGCACTAAGTTCCTTGAGTCTGCATCCAAAACACCACACATCTGCTCACCCCAACTGGATCGCCCTTCCCACATGTCAGTCAGCTTTCTGTTGCTGTGACAAAATATTTGGGAGAAGTCAACTTAAAAGAGGAAAGGTTTATTATGGCTCATGGTTTCAGTCCAAGGTCAGCTGACTCCTTTGCTTTGGGTCTGAGGTGAGGCAGAACATCATGGTGACAGTAGAATATGGTGGAGGAGCATGTGGCCAGGAAGAAGAGAGAGAGAGGGAAAGAAAGGGACAGGGAGCCGGAGAGGGAGGAAGGAAGGGGAAGAGAGAGAGAAAAGGCCCAAGGCAAGATAAGCCCCTCAAAGACAGGACCCCAGTGGTCCACTTCCAGCTGGGCCCCACCTCCTAATAGTGCATTTAGCTATGAATTCCTCAGTGGACTAATCATCCAAGAGGTCAGAGCCCTCGCTATAGTCACCTCCCACCTCTGAGCACTGATGTCTTGCTGACCAAGCCTTCACTACGTGAGTCCTTGGAGGATATTTTACATCCAAACCACATGCCATGTCACCCCAGTTCCAGTAGGCCCTCCCCAAAGTGTTTACTCTCCAGGCAGGAGAGTAGAAGTTTCTAGACTCTAGTACTGTGTAACTATCAGAATGCTCTGATTCCAAAGAAAACCTAAGACTCTCTACCCAGGAAGTGATACTGCATCACAGGCTGATGCAGTGTTGAGTCTGAGGAAAAGCAAGCCTTTCTGCCTCCTTCTGTTGTTACCTTCCAAGCCATCAGCCTGCTAATGAGGCCCGCTGAGCCCATCTGGACAGACACTGCACTCAGATGTGCCAAAACCCCTGGATCTTTGGGGGATGCACAGGTGGCCAATGGCTTTGACCTCATGCCCCAGCCTAGCAGCATGGACCCATTCTTTCCTTCCAAGACAGACAACACTCACGTGGCCTGAGCTGGGTCACTGTTCCCTAGGGACAGCCGTTCACCCCTCCAGGACTGGATTTCTCTTCTGAACCGTTGGCAGTACACAGCAATAGCAGCTTTGGTGCAGGGCTGTGGTTCCTCCTGCGGGCTGGCAACCTTCAGGAGTTGGACTCTTAGACGCATGGTGGCACTGGGTGTCCAGGCAAGGCAGGTGCCTCCTCTCTCCCCCAGTGGCTGGGCGGGCCCCAGCAGAGCCCTGGCCCCCAAGTCCCTGACTGCAGCCCTTTCCAGGGTTCTGCTGGGCCTCCTAAGGGCTGGCTCCTCTGGGGAGCCAGCACCAGGAATGCCTTGGCCAGGACAGGGTTCACCCTGAGTCAGGATTCACGACCCCAAGTCAGGATTTACCCACGTCATGATCTGACAGCTGCTCCCTGGACTTTCCACTTTGTACCATTACACTTTGTCATGCCAGAGCAATATACAGAATAAATATCCAGGAACATAAAGTGTTTACATATTTCCTCCCTGGAATGTAAGCAGAAAAATAACATTCTTGGAACAGACAGCTACTGAGTTTATTCCCAGGGCCTGAATTTATAACCCAGGACCTCATTTAAGAGTGTATCGGGATATCTATCATTTAACCAAGTCAGTTAATACCTATGCTTCTATTTTTCCTTTTTTTTTTTTTTTTTTTGTAATCTTATTTAGAAGTGTCAAACACAGCACAGTCAATAAACTTCTGGAACCATCACTACTGCTCTCCATGGGCTCTGGTGTCCTGGCGACTGTGTGCCCGCTTCTCAGAAGGAAAGCGTGGGTCCTTGGCCCATTGTGAAAGGAGGTGAGGAATGGGGGAGAGGGCGTCCCTCCCCTCCACACCACCTCTGTCACCCTGATTCTTCCCATGTCCTCTCTGGGGAAGAGACTCCCGCAATGACCGTCTAGCTGGGGACAGAGGCCCAAGGGGAGGCACAAGCCCTAGCTGAGGAGGTTGAAAGCTGAGACTAGAGGGGGTCGGGAGGAGGGTGCTTCAGAGGCAGCTTTCAGACACAGGCCTGCCACACTGTGCACCTCAAGGTGTCATGGCACAAGAATGGTTGGCTCAGCTCCTTCCTCTTATCACATCTCACAGATACCCACTGTCCACAGCAGACATCAGGGCTTTATCCCCCATCCCCATCCACCCTGCTGGTGGTGCCTAGTGCTCCCCTCTTCCCACCTTTGCTCTCAGCAGGAGATTTGGGCCACATAGACCCCACCCACTCTTTCCTGGGGATCAAGGGTGGGTCCTGATTGATGAGTCAATGACAGCCTCTCACCTCCTTATCACAGATAATGACTCAAAAATGGACAGGGGACCCAATTCAAGCCTCTGCACGCCAGGCGCAGAATACTTCTGTTCCAACTCTTGAGAGAGCAGTTCTGTCTTTTGTCAGTCCTGCAATGTAAAGTCATGAGCCTGATGTAAACAGCATTGAGAGAAGTGCTGAGAACAGAGGTTGGGTACCCCTGGGAAACATGACAAAGGGGTGTTGAGAAAAGCCGAGCAAATCCAGGCCTATGGTGACATCATTTGGGCTGCTGGATCAAACCTCATCTGAAGTCCTCTTCCTGTTAGATTTTTCAATTACTAAGGCCACTATACTCCTTCTATGTCATTTAATCCAGTTCAACTTGAAATTTCAGTTATTTGCAAACCAATGCCAACTTTGTGTTGACTAGGGTTCTCATTTCACCAGAGCTGCAGTCAGTTGTGGCAAAAGAGGAGCTGGTCCTTGTGGAATATACAGTGTCTTTAGCTGCAGTTGAGCTAGGGAGGAAGGAAAGTAGACCCCCAACTCCATTCCACGACTTCACAGCAACCTCTGCCAAGATCTATGTGCAAAGCAGCCTGCCGTCCATCCTGTCTATCCTGGGCTCTTGCATCACACAGGGCACCCTGGGCCAAGGGTCTGAACAGGAGAAAAAGGCTCAGTCATCCTGGGGCAAGGAGGTGGAAGAGGAACCTTCTAGAGAAGCAGGACTTGCACCAGGCTGCTAGGACGGAGAAGGTGAACGATGGGAGCAGAAGGGGACAGTCTACACTGAGAGAACAGCTGAAACCCAGCCTTGGAGCAGGAAAGCTCTGCTCCTACCAAGGAATCAGGGGTTGTCCATGGGGAGCACCCTGGCATGAGTGGAGGGAGGAAGCCTATTCAGGAACCTGGAGGGCTTCAAAGACTTTGTTCAATCAGGTCTGCAAGTCTGACTTCTCCCTAGCAGGAAATGCGGGTCTTCATAGGAGGGCAGAGCCAGGCTTTGGAGAAGTAAATGGGGTATAAGGGAGTGGTGACAAGGACCTTCAGGACATTAAGCATGGAAGGGGTAGAGCAGGGACAGGCACAGGTGGTAACAGCAGCCACTGGTGACCCAATGGATCTGGGCCATAAGCAAGGAAGGAGCTCAACTCATCTCAAGCATCCACAAGAAAGCCAGTGTCGGGAGGGCCAGTGCAGGGGGAGAACAGGAGGGGAAGGAGCTTCTCAGACAGGGGTGTGAGCACCCCATCTCCTAGCCCCTGTCTGCCAGGATCCCAAGGGGTTCACAGGGGACCAACCGGCCCAGGTCACTCTTCTCACAGGCATGGTTGCAGGGAACCTCCCCAAGGAGGCTCGCACCCTCCCAGGGCCTCCCGGGATACTGCAGCGGATTCACCCATTGTCACACACCCAGCCAGGTGACTGTAAACTGAGTTTAGCCAGCTGTCTGCAACTACCAGAATTAGCACTTGCTTTCCCTCTACATGCAGACCAAGGTTACCCAGGGAGGGAGAAGCAGGCCAGAGTCCACCCACCCCTGTGTACTATGTACGCCCTGCCTCTGTGCCCCAGGCCACAGCCAGCTCCACGGAGCCCCAAAGAGTTGACACAGATTTCAGAGGACTCTCTTTTCCACCAGTCTGCATGTCTAGGTCCCCTGTTCTAGGGTGCCCCCTTCAGGAAGTAACCTCCTGGCCTTGAGCAAACCCCGCCCTCAGGACCTCGGCCAGGTTGGTTGCATTTCTGTGAGGGCCTGGAAACGCAGGGTCTGATAACTCCCTGTGGGTGTTCCTGAGGTGGGGACAAGGCTGCCAGCCAGCAAGCTCCCTCCCATCCCCTGCTCTGGGGCTGCTGTGGGGTGCAGAGGGAAGGGGGTCTGCCCCTTGATGCCTCTCATCCAGATGGCACCCTGTGATGTTCCCACCAGAGCCATCCCATCCTGGAAGTCAGGACCCCCACCTGACCACAGTGGGAGTTTTCAGGGGGCAGGGTGGATGATGAAGGAGGAGACCCCCTAACAATGGGCCTGGAAAATTCTTGAGCCACCCCCTCCCATCTGGGCCACACCCTGTGGCAGGTGGGAGGACAATGCTGCTTGTGTGTCCTTATTCCTGACAGGCTGGGGCAAGGGGAGGGCCATGGTGTGGTCCCGGCCCATGCTCATTCTCCCCATGCTTCTCCCAGCTTCTGTCTCATCTGCCATCTCGTCTGACCAGCGGGGCCTCCTCCTTGGGACCCAGACAGCACCAAGGTGAGCAGTCCCTGGCCTCCTCAACCATCGCAGCGCAGGCCAGTTGCTGTGGTTGAAAGACTGGCAGCAGGGCTCAGAAAAGAATCTGGAAGGTGGGGTGGGGCAAAGGGGTCCTGGGCACATTCAAGTGGAGCCAGGAGCACCAGACCTTGCCTACCTAGGCTCCAAGCCACAACCCCCACCAACCGTGGTGACAGTGTGGCAGGGCAGGACCCCCACCCCAGTGAGAGGTCATTAGTGTCCATCCTCCTCCCCAACCTCTATGCCTGCCATCTCCAAGCTCAGAGAAATGTCCAGGGCCCCTTTGCCTCCAAAAGGCTGCAAGCCTGATGGCCGGTCATCCCCACAGCCCCCAGCAGCTCCTCAGCTAAAGGACACCTACAACAGGAGGCCCAGGCCCAAGCTTGGGTCCCACCCTATCCAGGTCCCACCATGGCCTCTGAATATGAGTCAGGCCACATCCGGAAGCTGCAGGCTCGTCACACACACATGCAGGAGAAGACCTTCACCAACTGGGTCAATAACATCTTCCGGCTCGGCCGGGTGAGTGTGGCCGGGGGTGTCCCCATGCTGGCCTCAGGCTGCAGGTCACCTGCTCATGGTTGCTCTGGCCTGTCCCTCGCAGGCCCTGGGATGGACGGGGCAGGGGAGGCTGGACTGACCCCAGTTCTACCCTGGTTCCTGTCCCCATCTACTCCCCAGGTAGGCATCAAGATCCAGAGCCTGTACACAGAGCTGGCAGATGGCACCCACCTCCTGCGGCTGCTGGAGCTCATCTCGGGGGAGGCCCTGCCCGCGCCCAGCCCGGGCCGCCTGCGTGTGCACTTCCTAGAGAACAACAGCCGAGCCCTGGCCTTCCTCAGGGCCAAGGTGCATCCGGGAGGGGCTGCCATGCATGGCACTGGGAGGGCAGCTGGACAGATGGGAAGCTGAGGCCATCCTGCCTGGGCTGGGACACAGAGAGACCAGAGGCACAGCAGGGACACAGAGGAACCAGAAGCAAAGCTCCCTGAAATTCGCAGGACTCTGCACTGAACGAATCTAGTGTTCACTTAACCTCGTTTCATAAATGAGGACACTGAGGTCCAGAATGACTTACCAGGCAAGATCTGTGGTCAGTCAGACAGCAGGGCCCAGGCATGGGCCGTGGGAGTCTGGTATGGGAAAGAAGGGGCAGAGCTCTGGCGACTAGGCCAGACAGAAGGAAGAGAGGCAGGAGGGAGAAGGGCCTCAGTAAATACAAGGACACCAGAGTCACCTGGGAAGGAGATGGTCACTAAAAAAAAAGGCAAGAACTCCAGGTCCAGGCGACCGTCATGGCCAGTGTCAGGAGATTACGCAGGAGTTGTTGACACTGGGAACCAGTTCCTGGCCTCAGGTACTGGGGCTGTGAGGTGACTGTCCTGGAGGCTGTGAAGTTACTGAGCGGGGCCTGGCTAGGCTGAGCGGAGTGTTGTGGCCCATCCTGAGGTCCCGATGAAGGTTCCATGCAACCCTCTGGAGCCCAGTGTGCAGAGGAAACCAGGAGGGAAGAAACTAAAGCCAGGGGGAGGGGAGTGACTGAGGTCCCCACACCCGAAGGGCAGAAAGCTGCCAGCCACACAAAGCAGATCCTATGAGCTAGTCACCTCCTTCCAGAATCTTGGGAGGGTGTAAGCCCCATGGCCTTGGTCAGCTCTCTCAAATGCTTGTTAAGGTGACATCTGACTCCATAGATATATGAGGCAGTGTCAAGACAGGACAAGGGACAAACAGGTAAAAGGCAGACGAGGAAAGCTTTCATTTAGAGGTGCTTTGCAGGAGCGTTTGTGCTAGGCTTGGGGTACAACATGCAAAACCTGGGCCCTGACCTCAGGGAGCCACATCAGCTCTGTACTGGAAATGCCCAAAACTGGCTCTCTGGGGGAAATCAAATTTCCACGGTGCTAACCCTCCCGTGACGACCAAGTTCAAGCTAGCAGCTGACATTGCTAAGCACCGAGTTGGGCCAAATCGGCCCTCTCAAGCTGGTAGCAGCAAACTGGAGCTCCGCACAGGTCATGTGCTCCAACTACAAGCTGATGTGGATTCAGAAGGGTTGGGCGTGCTAGGGAGAGAAGTCCTTAGATGGCAGCTTGGATACAACAGAGAGAACCAAGGGATTGATACCCTGATGTGGCTCCTCCAGGCTGGGGGTCAGCGAGGCCAGTGCCTCCAGGTCTCATAAGGAGTCTCTCCCTCTCTGTGTTCACTCAGGCCAGACACTGTATTAGGTACTTAATCCTAAGCACCAGGGATCCCCACAGAGGAGAAAGGATTGAGGGTGTATCTGGGCAGAAGGAATAGTCCTCAGGTTTCAGTGTTAAATAAGGTAGTCAGGTGAAAAGGTGACACTTGACGAGATACTTAAAGGAAGAGGGGTGAATAGCCACGCAGATATCTGGGGGAATATTTTCAGGCCACAGGGACAGCTAGTACAAAGGCCCTGAGGCCTGTGCTTAGAGCCTCATGGACTGCAACAATCCCACGGCCTCGGTGCTGTGTAATTTGGGAGAGGGAAAGATGGAGTCAGAGGGTAAAGGGAGCCTATCCTCTGTGAATTTGAGATCCTGTTTTCTCCTTGTTTCAACCATCCTCCTGTCCAAGTGACAATTTCTAGAGCAGAGGTTCCCAACTTAGTGCACCTAAGAGCCACCCAAGGTGTTTGTTCAAATGCAAATTCTGGGCCCTGGCCCAAGAGAGTCTGATTGGGTGGAGCTTGGGACTCGGAATTTCTAACAAGCTCCTTCAGGAGATGGAACACTAAGGAAGAGGGCTGAGATCTGAGCACCACTCTCCTCAGAGATGCCTCGGGAAGTGGAGGTTACCCTGGCTGTTGTCTGCTTTGCTCACACATCTCCTGTTCTGACCCCTCATTTCCAACTCCCATAGCTGAACCACTGACTTTGGCCCTGGTTTACCCACCTATGTGAGTCCCCTACCCAGTGGCCCAGTCCAGTTCACCAAGCTAGGCCCTCACCCAGGGGGCCTTGGGCCAAGGCCCCAACCACTGAGAAATCCATCCCTGTCCTGGCCTTGTCCTCTTCCTTCTCTCTCTGGGGGACCTCCTGGCTGGGGCAGTCTGGATTCCAGGACCCTCCACTCTGAGGCTATCTCCTTGGACTTCTGGTTCCTCTGCATTCTCTCAGGAACATTGGCTTCGTGGCTTAGCCTAGCCACCTGTGCCCACAGGTGCCAGTTCCCCTCATTGGGCCAGAGAACATCGTGGACGGAGACCAGCCGCTCATCCTGGGACTCCTCTGGGTCATTATTCTGCGTTTCCAGATTTCCCATATCATCTTGGACAGGGTAGGTCTCAACCCACAGTGTTTGTGACCCAGCCCAGCCCTGCCTCCCCTCAGGCCCCTGGGGACAGAGCAGGGTCACCAACGCCTATGGTCCTCACAGTAGATCCATGGCCTCCACTCTTCAACCCAGGGTTACCATATACTGAAGTGAGGACCAGCATCCGGGCTTCAGAACCAGCCTGACAAATGGCTCCCTAGGGAGGGGGCAGGGGGCTGCCCAGCAGTCACTTCCACCCTGGTCTGTTGCTCCCTGCTTGGCGTTGAAACCCTGTAACATTCTTATGCCAGAACGTACCATTAAGGAAAATTAAATCTATAGGAGCTCCAGCCCTGGAGGTTTGCAAAGTCCCCTGAAGACCAGTGAGACAGGATTTTCTTCATGGTCCCCCAACGACCTTTTCCCCACAACTGGATCAGAGATAGTAGAAACAGACCTCTTTATATTTGAGAACTCTCACAGCTTTATGACATCCGATATACTATCTGACACTCGATTCTAGTAGTTAGGAAAGTCAAGCTGGAGAACAAAGTCCTAATGAAAAGCCACAGATTTGGCAAAAATGCAGGCCCAAAACTTGAGGCCTCAAAACTCACAATGTGAGGGAAAAAATAAAAATAAAGAAAAAGCCCCAAACTCACCACGTGACTGTGAGCCCCAAGGGGAGTGGAGTGTTGTCGGAGTCCCAGAGCTGAGCCCTGTTTTGAAAATGAATTTACTGTTTTTGTTTTATTTTTGGAGCACCAGGGATTAAACTCAGGGTTTTGCACTTGCTAGGCTTGCTGGGCAGGTGCTCTACCGCTTGAGCCACACCCCAGCCCTTTGTGCTTTAGTTATTTTCCAGATAGGGTCTTGCTTTTGCCCTGTGCTGGCCTCAGGCTGTGATCCTCCTACCTCTGCCTCCCAAGTAGCTGAGACCACAGGCATGCACCACCATGCCCAGCTTGGTTTTCGTTGTTTTTTCTGGGGTTTTGGGCAGTGCTGGGGTTTGAACCCAGAGCTTTGCATTTGTTAGGCAGGCACCTTACCTCTTGAGCCACACCTCCAGCCCCCAGCTTGTTTTAGAGATAGGGTCTCATTTACTTTTGCCCCTTATGACCTCAAACCCCAACCCAATAGCTGGGATTACAGGCATGAGCCACTGCACTTGGCTTGGATGGATGAACTTACTGACCTCAGGTCCCTGCAAGCCCCAGAGGCCTAGTGCTCTCACAGCCCTTCCCCTTGGAGGCTGTGGGCTCTCACTATCCTCTTCAGCCACCTTGGGCCTGCTCCCTGATGACCCCGTCCCTGCATGTTCCAGTTCCTGTCCAGTTGTGGTCAGGGGGACACACCAGAGGGAGTCCTGGGGTGAGAAGCCAAAAGGAAGAGTGGATTGGAGAGCCGAGAGGTGGGGCCTTGGGGCATGAGGGACCAGGAAGGGGGTGGAAGGGAGGAGACTCTAGAGAGGGAAGGAGGGGCAGAGAAAGACGTCAGAGAAGGGAGGAAGCAGGAAGGAAAGAGCAGAAGTGCTGAGCAGGAGAGATGGAGGGAAGAAGGAAGCCAAGAGTGAAGATTAGGGGGAAGTAGCCACAGGGGACAGGCCCAGTTGGGAGGGGTTTGGAACTAGATCCAGCCCCAGGCAGTCCCTTGACTTTGAGCCTGCTAGGCAGGGGGCTCTTTGGCCTCTGTTGGAGGTTCATGGGCTGAGGCCACCCCCACTTTATTGCCCGAAGGGTCCCCAAACAGTCCCAATCTCTCTTACCACACTGGTTGTCATCTGTAGAATGGGAACACTAACATGCCTGCTTCAGAGGGCTAGGAGGAGCTGAGAGCTGCAGCACAGGGGCCTTGTGCCTGGCCCACAGAAAGCCTGTGGTGACAGGGAAGGGGTCTAAAAGTCCCAGCCTCCGTTCTGTGAGGCCCCAGGTCATCTGTCTACAAGCCTTGCCCTTCAGAAGGGTTAAAACTGGGAACTATTGCTATTGTGGTCATCATCTGCAAAGCCAAGCCAGTTTTGTGGTGACAGGTGACAGCTTTCAGATGCTGGGCTTTTTTTTTTTTTTTTTTTTTCTTTCTCACCCTTCATGAATGATTAGGTAAGACTCAGCCTAGGCTCTAGGGAAAAGGATCCTAGCCCACCTCCCCACAGCCTACAGTCTCTGCTGTCCCCCAACGTACACACACACACATGTCCTCCATGGTCACCATGCTGCCCTGTCCTACCAGGAAGAGTATGGGGCCAGTGCAGCCCTGCTGTCTGCCAGGGAAGCTCTGCTGGTCTGGTGCCAGAGGAAGACAGCCAGCTACACCAACGTGGACATCACTGACTTCTCCCGCAGCTGGAGCAATGGGCTGGGTTTTAATGCCCTCCTCCACACCCACAGGTACAGCTGGGCCACGCCACCATCCACTGAGCTGGCAGCCTGGGGCTCCAGGCCTCACCTGCTGCTTCTCCACATCCCCTTTGTCCCTGGGCCCTGACGGAGAAGGGGAGATGAGCCCAGGGTAGAGAGGACTGAGGTCTGAGTTCTGCTCTAGGCCATCCCACGGGAGGTAGCTGGGGTTGCCTTTAATCTCTGCCTTCTCCACTCTATGTGTCCCTCGGTTCTCTCCACCATCCTCTCCCTGCCTGGTCCCTGTGCCAAATTCACCCTCCTCCCCCACTGGATTCCTATTCATCCTTCAGCCCAGGTCAACCTCCGACGACTGTCAAGGAAAGTGAACTCCCAGCAACCTGAGAAAGGGCACTAGGAGCATGCGTAGTTTTGAAAGTTGGCTTAGGCCAAAGCAGGACATTCTGCTGAATTGCCCTCCTGCTCTGTCCAGGCCAGATCTGCTGGACTACAGCTCCCTGCGTCCAGATCGCCCACTGCAAAACCTCACCTTGGCTTTTCACGTGGCGGAGCAGGAGCTAGGCATTGCCCAGCTGCTGGATCCTGAAGATGTGGCGACCCTACAGCCAGACGAGCGCTCCATCATGACCTATGTCTCTCTCTACTACCACTACTTCTCCCGTCTACATCAGGGGCAGACTGTACAGAAGAGACTCACTAAGGTTGGTGGTAAAGGGAAGCAGGTCAGTCAGGCAGGCAGACCTGGGTTTGAAGCCTGCCCTTGCTGCTTACTTGCTGTGTGGCTTTGGCATAATTGCCTAACTTCTCTGAGCTCATTTGTAACAGGGAAATGAAACACTTGTATAAAAAAAGGCTGTTAGGAGTGTTCAAGAGAGAGTAAATGAAGTTACCAGAAAAGCACCTGGCATAATATGAAGCCAGGGGAGCAGTGCCTCCTTCTGTTCCTCACCCTCCCCGACACTATAAGCAGTTAAACTGCTAATGAGATTAAAAGGCTTAGAGAGCCGAGTTGGCAAGGACAGGGTAGGATAGGCCCTGCTGGGGAGGGCTACACCGAGCCAATGTTTTTGGGGGGCTCTCTAACTCTCTGGATGCGATGGCAGAGCCTGAGGCCTGGGAAGGCTGTCCTCCGGGTTAGTGTCTGATGGCAGGGGGTTGGGGGGTGTGGTTGTGATAATACAGGCCAAGGGCTCAAAGCTGCTTTAGCCTGGTTAGGGCCACTAGGAAGGCCAAGAAGGTCCAGAAAGAGGGCTCTGCTGAAGGGCCTCAACCCAGAGACGAGGCCTAAGAGGGTGAAATAAGATGGAGGAAGACAAGACAATGTCAAGTAGCCACACACACTCCTGAGTCTGAGTGTGCAATGCCTCCACTTCCCCGGGGACTGGGGGCCCCCCACTTTAGTGCATCCTCAGCTGAGGGAAGAAGCACACCTGGGCAACTCCAGCTGCAACAGGGGTGGCTCCATTCTGGGGCCCGCCCTAGGTGCAGCCCTAACCCTTCCCCTGCCTCCACCAGGTCCTGTTTCAGCTCCAGGAGACAGAGGTGCTGCAGATCCAGTACGAGCAGCTGGTGGCCGACCTGCTCCGCTGGATTGCAGAGAAGCAGGTGCAGTTGGAAGAGCGGGACTTCCCAGACTCGTTGCCTGCCATGCGCCAGCTACTGGCAGCCTTTGCTTCCTTCCGCACCCAGGAAAAGCCACCTCGACTGCAGCAGCGAGGAGCCACAGAGGCCCTGCTCTTCCGGCTGCAGACAGCCCTCCGAGCCCAGAACCGCAGGCCTTTCCTACCTGGCGAGGGCCTGAGCCCTGCAGAGCTGGCCCAGCGCTGGGCAGGGCTGCAGCGGGCAGAGGCTGCCCGGGGCCAGGCCCTGCAGCAGAGGCTGCTGATGCTGGAGCGACTGGAGACCCTGGCCCGGCACTTTCAGCACAAGGCAACCCTCCGGGAGAGCTTCCTAAAGGATGCCGAGCAGGTACTGGGCCAGGCCAGAGTCCCCCCGGCCAGCCCGGCCACAGTGGAGGTGGCCATCCAAAGGCTGGGTATGCTAGAGGCCAGCATCCTGCCCCAGGAGGGGCGCTTCCAGGCCCTGGCCGAGCTCGCAGATGTCCTCCAGCAGGAGCACTACCACAGCTGGGCAGATGTGGCCCACAGGTGAGCCCCAGGCACAGAAAGCTAAGACGTCACAATAAGCTAAGGCCTTTCTACCCCACTCCCACCCTTGTATTCCTGGCTAGGGAGGAGAGTGGGGACTCTGGATTCAGGCTCCCTCTGATCAATATCCCATGGATGCCTGAAACTCCACCATCAATAAGTCATCCCTTTTTGTAAAGAATGGCCTTTTCTTTTTGGTTTTGTGAGGGGTCTCACTATGTATGCCAGGCTGGCTACAAACTTGCAATCCTTCTGCCTCAGCCTCCCGAGTACTAGGATTACAGGCATGTGTCACAATGCCCAGCAAGCACTCTTCTTTCTAGGTAGCCTCTGATATTAGCTCACTCACTGAACAGGCATTTATGGGGTGTCTACTGTGTCCCATGCACCTAACAAATCTGAAAAATAGCAAGGACACTGGGGTGGCCAAAGTGAGCAACTCGAGAGATGAGGTCAGGGAGGTTCTAGGGCCAAGGAGTAGAATGGGGGAGGTCAGGCTGAGCCTCACCAGATACAGGAAAGACTTGATTTTTTTTTACTCAGAAAGATGGGAATTCATTGGAGGGCCCCAGGCAGAGAGTGTCAACCTGTAACTTTAGTGTTACAATGATCACCTGTGGCCCATGTTGGAACAGATTGAAGGCACCAGCAGAAGCAGAGAGAGCAGTTAGTTAGAAAGCTGTTGCAATAATCCAGGTGAAGAAGCAGTCAAGATGAGAAGTGGTGAGATTCTGGGTATGTTTTCAAAGGGGCACCAAATAGGATTTGCAGACACATCAGGTGTGGACTGTGAGAAGCTGAGTTATCAAGGTTTTAGTCTGGGCACCAGGAAGACAGAGTTGCCATCCACTGAGATGAGGACTGGAAAGGGGGGAGGAGGGCTGAAGGCCTGAACCTCCAGGCCCTCCTTCTAGCTTCTCTAACTGTGACCTGAGCAGGTCACACTGCCCCCAACCACCCGTGCCCAGACACTCACACCTAGGTCCTGCCCCCAGCCATCCATCTGGGCAGCCAAGCCCTACCAGTGGCCAGGAACCCTAAGGTAGCTTCCTTGCCACAGCCTGCTAGAGGACCTTAGTCCCCTCTCCTCCAGGCAGGAGGAGATCACCTGGCGCTGGCAGAGTCTCCTTCAGCAGCTACAGAAGCAGAGGAAGCAGATGGCAGGCACAGAGGCTGTGCTGAACCTGCTGCAGGAGGTGGAGGCTACCTCAGACCAGCTCAGGGAGCTGCAGGTGGGCACTGGACCAACTCACCTCTAGGGAACACAGGGCGGGGGTCCTTCCCCAGCACTGGTGGTCATAAGGACCCAGCACTGTGGGAATGTAATGACCACTCATCTCTGGCTAGGTGCCTGCCAGCTCCACAGCCTGTGGGCAGCAGCTGGCCGATGTAATGGAGCTGCTGCAGAGACATGAGCTGCTGGAGGCCCAGGTCTTGGCCCATGGGGCCCATGTGAACCATCTGGCTCACCAGACTGCACGGCTGGATCCCTCCCTGAGTACCAGTGTGGAGATGCTGCAGGCCAAGGCCCAGGCTCTTGCCCAGCTCCACCAGAGCCTGGTGTCTCTTATCAAGGATCGGTAAGAGCCTGCCCAACTCTTCAACCTTCTCTACAATTATTCTGTAACCCAAATTATCTTCTGCCCAAACTAGAACACTGCTGCCCTGCCAACCTCCTCTACACTGTCCCTTAGTTGCAAGACCTCTGGCTCACCTGTGGAGTCATTCAGGGAAAAGTCCTAAGAGGCACTGCATGACCCTAGTGGGGAGCCCCTTTCCCATGCCTAGCAACTCCTGAAGTCCCTGGTGGCTCTTGCGGCTCCCCAGGCGCGCGCTGCTGGAGCAGACCCTGCAGCGGGCAGAGTTCCTGCACAATTGTGAGGAAGAAGAGACCTGGTTGCTGGAGCGCAGACAGCTGGTGGAGAATACACCCCTGGGCCGGGACCTCAACCAGATCACAGGCGCCCTGAGGAAACACAAGGTGCGGGCTCCCTCAGGCCCTGCTATCCTGACCTTCCTGCCCTCCCTGCCCTCCCTGCCCTCCCGACTTCCCGTCCCGCCTGTCAGTCTTGGGACACCAGCTCCTCCCGGTTCCCCTCCCTTCACCGAGACAAACCCCCCTCCCCACTGCTCCGCTAGGCCCTGGAAACCGAACTCCACCGCCACCAGGATGTGTGCGCGGATCTCATGCAGAGGGGGCGCGACCTTAGCACCCGCGGGCTCTGGAGGTTGCCAGATCCCCAGGAGAGGGCGGAGGCCGTGCAGCGAGCGTGGCAGCAGCTCTGGACCCGGACAGCGGCGTGGGGCGCTCAGCTGCAAACAGCCCTGCTGGTTCTGCAGGTAGCAGCCTGGTTGGGCGTGCGGGGCGGGGCTGAGGGCGGGGCGTGGGGGGGCACCTGCGCACCCTTAGCCCCGCCCCCTTCCGCAGTACTTTGCTGACACCGCAGAGGCAGCTTCGTGGCTGCGGCGGCGGCGGGCGGCACTGGAGGGCGCCTCCGGCGGCCAGGACCACGCAGCGGCCGAGGCCCTGTTGCTGCGCCACCTGCGGCTGGAGCGCGGCGTACGCGCCTTCGCGGCCGAGCTGCGGCGGCTGGACGAGCAAGCGCGGGCGGCAGCGACCCGGGCGTCGCTCACGGTGCGCGTGGAGACCGGGAAGGGACCCAGACTGGCGCCCCCAGCCCCAAATGCGTGGTCTCTGCTAGGCACCGTGTCCTATGCGTCACCGGCGCGGGGTCACACTGAGGGTGGAAATGGGAGGGATTTTGTGGCCCTGCCCTGCGAATCCCGGAGTGGGCGTGTCCCCCATCCTCAGCCACATCTCATCGGCTGACCCAGCCCTAAAGTAGTGGAATCCTACTCTCTGCCCACGCGAATCGCGGTCATCAAGTACGCCTGGGCTTGGCTCGCTCTGCCTAGCACAGTTCTGGAACATCCAGCAGGTTCCTCCAGGAACGTCCCCCTTATTTTCACCGGCAGGCCTAAAGTGAGCTCTTTTCAGCTTTCTCACCCGATAGTCCTTGAGGGGTTTGGGTGGCCTATAGTCACTGCCACTAGACCGCTCTCTGAAACTTTCTGGTCAGTTAGTTCCTTGAGCCCCTAGTTTCCAAAGGCATCTGGGTGAGTGACTCAAGATGCGAAATCAAGGCCCTCTACCCAGCTGTTGCCGGCAAAGATAGAGGAATCAGGGACAGCACCTGGCATCTTCAGACCTTCGCTTTGCCCAACGGTGGGGTGGGGGCACAGCTTTCCCTCTACTGGAGAGCTCTTAAACAGATTTTTTGCCCCTTCATGTAGGAGAAGCCCTCAGCAGGCTGGAGCAGGATTGATGGAGACACAACTGGGAGAGCCCGGGATGAGACCCAAATCTGGGTAACTCCAGGTGGCCAGCACTCACGCCCCCAGGCCCAGACGCACTTTACCTCCAGAGGTACAAGGTCAAGACCCTAAGCAGGAATCTTCACAGGCTGTCATGAATGAAGGGGCAAAACATACTCTGTGTGGCCCTCTGTGACATCCAAGAACTGAAGGGAAGAAATTAAGGGGTGGCCAATTTGGGCTCAGCAGAACAAGGCTCTTGGAACTACCCAGAGATACACTGGGCTGCTCAGGGGAACAAGTGCCTGTCACTGGACAGTCACAGCAAGGTGGTTTTGACACCAGCAAAGTTTAGATGAAATAGTTTGAAATTCTCTGGGTCTTCCTTCTCCTGTTTCTCTTTGATTTCCCCCCTTTCTGGTTCTTGTCGATGCCGGCTCTTTGTCTTCAGTCCCCTCAACTCAATTCCAAGTGGCTTGGGTTGATGCTACTGCTATTTACCCTTGCCCAGGGAGAGAGGCACAGAGAGATGGAGATGTTGTGCTTGTCCATCCCCCAAGAAGGGGCTCCAGCTTGTGCTTCCCTTCTCTCTGCCCAGCTCCTGCTACCACAGCTACCTTGCCTTCCCCTCCACAAATGGTACTCCTTGGGCAGGCCCCACTGGGGTCCCGCCTTGTCCTTACAACCTGTTCCAGACCATTCTAGCATTTGTTTCCCCTGGACATGCAGTACTGACATCACATGACACATGCCCTGATTACCCAAGGACAGTCCTTGATATTGTCCTAACAGCTCTGGGTCTGTGAGCTTTGCAGTCCCAAGAGGATGGTAAGCCCCCATATGGAAAGGTCCAGTCCTGGTCCAGCCCCCAAGGGTCTTTGCACAGGGCTAGGCATAAGGAAGTGCTAGGTACTGAATAAACATCACCCATTGTGGCAAGCTCCTGGTTGGGAAGAGAAATAGGTCCTAAGCAGCCCTCATGGCCTGTGTCCCCACAGCAGCACATTTCACCTGGCTTCTAGGAGAGGCCCTGGATACCTGGGAGCTGAAAGACTGGGCAGGCTGTCAGGCCAAGGTGCCTATCAGCCACAGAATGGAGCAGGAGCCCCAGGTACAACCACCTGCCCCACCCTGCCAGAGTTTCTGCCGCTTGGTGGGAGCCAGGTCTAGACACACTGCTGTCTGTCTACGCAGGTGGTGTCTGCACTGAGTCTTCTTGAGGAAGGCCCAAGGATTGCTCTTCCAGTTGAGCCTGACCTCTTTGACCCCAACACCATACTCCAGACACAGGATCACTTGAGCCAGGACTATGAAGGCCTGCGAGCTGTGGCAGAGGTAATAATAGTCCTTGTTTAAGAAATGTTCATAGCTATAGACCCAGGTTGTTAGGAGGCTGAGGCAGAAGGATTGCTTGAGTCCAGGAGTTCAAGTCCAACATGTGTAATATAGCAAGACCCCATCTCAAAAACAAAGATGGGCTCAGTGGTGGAACCCCTAGCATGCAGGAGACCCAAGGCTCAACCTCTTGCACTAATGAAAGAAAAGAGAAATGTTGAACAAATCGAAGCCAAGAGCAGGCAATTCTAGTGAAGCTGTCAGGATCTGACTGAAGGCTGAGGCCAAACGCCCTGAGCTCAGAAGCAAGGGAGGCAGTAACAGGAGATGCACCTGGAGAGGCATGTGAGCTGCCAGGCAGTGCCAAGTCTTGTCAGGAAAATGTGGGTTTGACCTAAGAGCAAGGCCAACCCTCCCCACAACCCTCCAAGCTCTCACCAGCTCCCTCTGCTGGGTGCCAAGGGGACAGGACATGGGGCCCAGCAGCAGAACAGGGACCCCTCTGGCCCTGAACTGGCAAATGCTGGTGCACTGGAGTAAGAGGAGCACACCTTTGGCCCTCCCTTAGTCCTCTACGGGGAACATTGGTCCTCACCTAGCTCTGGGCCCATCTCAGCTCCGCAGGGCCCAGTTGGAGGAGGCTGTGGTCCTGTTTGGCTTCTACAGTTCCTGTGAAGAGCTCCAGTCCTGGCTGGAGAAACAGACAGCACTGTTCCAAACTCTGCAGCCCGAGGGTGACAACTTGGAGGTCACACAGTTAAAATATGAGGTACAGCTACTTGGAGCCAAGGGAGGCTTGGGGTGCATCAGTCATGCCTATTATTTCACTATGCCCCTTTCTACATATTAGCTACATTCCTGTCCAGGGAGGTCACCAAGTTAGCTGGCCTGATTCTGAGGGCTAAGAACTCAGATTCTGTCCTTTTGGAGATAGGCAATAGGAGCATCTCCACAGAAGAATATGTCTGAGGCCCTTCCTAGTCCTGAGGGGGTGTAGGAAGGGATAAGGCTCCTCAGAGGCCTGGTCCTCCTTCTCCCCAGAAATTACTCACTGCCCTGGCCATGGGAAAGGGCCACTGGGCTGAGATCAGCAACTCTGCTGAGCAACTGAAGCAAAGATGTCCTGGGGACGCCACAAAAATCCAACGACAGCAGGAGGACCTGAACCAGAGGTGAGAATGAGGGGGATGCAGGGGACTTAGGACCAGGTAGGACGGGGCAGGGCCTCAGCCTGGTGCCTCCTACTATGTCAGATGGAGAGGCTGGACAGTGTTGGAGCCGGGGGAGAGGGCAGGGGACAGGCAGCCTGGCACCTTCTGTCGTATGAGACTCCAGTGAAGGCCCAGGGTAGATGTGGAAGTGTCCCTATGATGGTGACATCCCTGTGCCCTCTTTCAAGGTGGGGGTGCCTAGAGGCACTGAAAAAGGAAAAGGGCCTGCAGCTGGCACACTGTGAAGAGGTGTGCAGTTTTCTGCAGGAGTGTGGCCCAACCCGGGCCCAGCTACAAGATGTGATACTGCAGCTGGAGACCCTGGATCCAGGGAGCTCCAAGGACAGCCACTGTGCCCTACAACTGATCCAGCAGAAGGTTCTGGTGCTGGAAAAGAGGATCCACTACCTCCAAAGTGTGGTCTTGAAGTACGGCAGGGTCCAGCATGGTGCCGGTGTCCTGGGAGGTAGTGAAGGCAGAGGGAGGCGCTGAGAAGGGCGATGCAGTAAGGAGGAGGCAGGAATTGGAACGGAGAGACAAAGACTAGGGTGTGCTGTTGGAAGGATGCAGGCAGAGGCAGGGAACAGGCAGCATGAAAACGTGCTCTCAGGGAGAGGAAGAGTTACATGTTTATGCTGCTCCTAGGTAGGGGTAGTGTGGGGATTCAAAGTTGTCAGTGCTTTCCTGGGGGACACAGGCCTGGGGCATCAAACCTGGGGCACTGACTACAATGGCTCTGTCCCCCAGGGCAGCTGAGTCAGGCCCCACAGAGAGCCAGCCCCTGCAGGAGCAGATGGAGGCACTGCAAGGGCTGTTGAAGCAGGTGCAGGGGCAAATGGCCCAACAGGTCCAGATCCGGACAGAGGCTCAGGCCCACCAGAGCTTCCTGCGGGAGAGTCAGAAGATCTTCCTGTGGGCAGAGGGTGTCCAGGCTCAGCTGCACAGCAAGGAGGAGCTGGTGGATGTGACCTCGGCCCAGAGGCTGCTAAGGGAGCACAGAGACCTGCAGGAGGAGATGCACCTGTGGCAGGAGAGGTCAGAACTGGGGGGCAGGCAAGGCATACTTCGGGTTGGGCAAGACCTTAGGGGTTTGGACAGAAAGGGAGGGCAGGAAGCAGTATGGTCACTAGGAAAGTGACCCAGGCTAGTGTCTAATATGCTACTTGAGGTAGGTTTGCAAGAGGGACCTAGGCCTGGATCAGGCAGCTTGTAGGCTCCAGGAAGGGCCCAGCACACTGACACCTGGGAAGCTCTATACAGTCCAGGCCTGGCTGTCTCCCTCTGGGAGAGCTGATGGTTGCCTTCCAGTCCAGCCTCCCCTGCCATTGTGGGTGATGAAACCCACTGGCCCCTGGAGTCAAATGGCTCAGGACCTGACCATGGGAACAAGATACCAACCTCCTCAGAATGGAGATGCCTGTCCTCCTGCAGGGGTGATGAGATGACTCTAAGCAGGCAGGGCCACCATGTACAGTTCCCAGGCTGTGCCCTGCTCAAGGGAGCCTGACAGATGTCAAGTGGGCCCCAAGAAACATATGCTCTGTGTTTGCCACACCCCACTGTCTGCTTCAGGGCTGTAGCAACTCAGAGGAAGTTCGGACTTTTCCACTTCACACAGCTGTGTTAGTTCCCCAGCTGGGTGGGCTGCACCCAGCTGAAAGGGTCAACTTTTTCAAACGCTCCATGTGGGTCAGCGGTGGCCCTGCAGACAAGCACATATGTGGTTTGAGTAATCAGTCCCTGATGAGTTGTTTCACCTCAGAATAGCCACTTACCTGGGCATCTACTAGCCATCCATATTAAAAAATGGCTCCAATAGGAGCCAGGGTGTGGTATGGCAGGGAGTGTGGAACTATTGGGTCCTGAGCGCTGGGCTGGGCCTGTTACGTTTGCAATCTCATGCACAGGCCAGGGATCCTTGTCCTGTGGGACAAGTGAACCGCCTTGGCTAACAAATTGCACACAGAGCCCTCCTGGCAGTTACCCTCACTCAGAGCTCTACCATGAGCGGACTGTGGAGGCGAGAGAGGAGGAGGGCTGGCAAGAGGAGTCAGCTGTGATCGGCCTCTGCTGGTTGTCCCGGACAGGCTGCAGCATCTGGAGACTCAGTGCCAGCCCGTGGCAGTCTTGGACTCTCCATACTCCCAAGAGGTGGCCAGTACTCTGAGGCTCCTGGACCAGCAAAGCCTGGAGCTGGTGGCTGCATGGGAGCAGAGACAGCGGTGGCTGCAGGAAGGGCTGGAACTGCAGAGATTTGCCCGAGAAGTGGATGGTTTCACTGCCACCTGTGCTAACCACGAGGCTTCCCTGTGCCTGGACAATGTGGGGGTACTGAGCCTGGGACATGGAACTGGAGTGTCACTCCCCCACCACTAGAGGGAGCTCACCTTGGATCTGGAAGCCAGGCTGAGCAGGCAGCCCTTGGGGGTGGTGGTGGGGGAGATGGTGCTGACCCCATTCTCCCTGGCATGACCTCAAGCCTCTGTACCCAGGAGGACGTGAGGGAGGCTCAGAGCCTGCTGCAGCAGCACCGGGTGCTTGGGTGGCTTCTGAGCATCCTAGGACCTAGGTTAGAGGCCCTGAAGGCATGTGGTGAGAAGCTGGTCCAGAGCCAACACCCTGCTGCACACAAGTGAGCCTAGCCTGCCGTCCTGTCTTTCCCAACCTGCACAGACCGCTGTCCTGAGGCTGGGGAAGGGGGGCCCTTGGGTTGGGTGCGCCTCTGAGCAGAGAGGAACCCTCTCCCCCTACCTGCTCATCAGGATCAGAGAGCAGCTGCAGAGTGTCCAGGCACAGTGGACCAGGCTCCAGGAGAGGAATGAGCACAGGAGGGAGCAGCTGCTGGCTTCCCTACAACTGCAGGTGAGAGGCTCCCCGCGTGCAGGAGGCCTCCCAGGAGCAGTACCTGAGAGTCCATGGCTACACTGGTACAGTAGCGACAGGGAGCCTGCATCCACCCTCACAGCACCTATGAGGCAGGCATCAAGGCTCAGGTGTCTCCCATGAGGACAATGGAGCTGTGACCATGTGGCACCCAGAGGCAGGTCTAAAGTACAGGCCTATTGGCTAACCCTACTCTTCATCCCACTAGCCCTCCCCTATATTTCCAGCACACTTTGGGATCGTAAGCAGCAGCTGCAAACCTTGGCTTTGGTATCTGTTCAGTCAGAGCAGACCCATTCTGGGCTGGTCCACAGGCCTCTCAGAGCCTCAGCCTATTCAGACCAAGATGGATATACATGGCCTGATGTGTGCTGGAGAAGTGGAAAGTGTCTCTGTTCCCATTTGGGAAGCAATAACCTTGGGTTCCACCTCCTTGCATTCCAGAATTGGCTCTGGGTCTTGCTTTTCCCCACAGTGGGGAGGGGTGCCCTGAAGTTCCGCTTCCTAGAGGCAGGTCCTTGCATTCACCCTTCACACCTGGACTTGGGGACCCACTCTTTCCTGGTTGTTGGGCAGGAGTGGAAGCAGGACATGAAGGAGCTAATGCTGTGGATGGAGGAGAGGTGGCCGACAGCAGCAGATGAGCCTTTCCAAACACATAGAAACATCCTACAAAAACTCAAGTCACATGACGCAGCTGTGAGGGAAGTGCTGGCCGCCTGTGGGCATGTGGAGGACCTGCAGCAGGTGGGGGTGATGGACAGAGAGGGCAGGGCAGGGCCACCTCCTCTTCAGATCCAGCACATACTTCCCTGCATGTTTCCATGGAGCATGGTGGCTGAAGGATCAACTCCAGTTACCATGGAGCTGGAAACCCTCAGCTGCCTCCTTCACTGAGCTAAGTGTTCCCCTTGCCAAACCCACCCAGAAAGCTGCCATCACCCCTTCCCCTCCTCTCTACAGGGCAAGCTCGAGAGTCTGCTCCCTCCCTGAACAGAATTCTTTCTGTTTCCACCTAATGCCAACTTACCTGCTTTGCTCACAACCCCTCCTCCCCTATGGTCATGGAGAAAGGCTTATAGCCAGCAACCTGCCCCCAGTCACCTGGGTCCAGCCTGCTGTGCATGCTAGTATTCCCAGCAGTCCATTGGTCTTTGTCTCCACTCCAGACTGCGAGAGAGCTGTTGCACAGCAGGCCGTTTGCCAGGGATGACATACAGACCAGGCTTCAGGACCTGAGTCACAAGTGGGGAGAATTGAACCGCAAGATGGCAGAGCGTGGAGACAAACTTCAGCAGGCTAGACAGCAGAAAGAGCTCCTGGAGCAACTGCAGGTCCATGGGGGAGGAGGGGATGGAGTGGGAACAGGAAGGACAGAAAGGGAGAGAGGGGGAACTCTGTAGCTTGCAAAGACCTCCAGCTCTAGCAACTTAAGCATGGTGTTCCCCAGCAGTGGCCAATTCAGGGATGACTCTTATGCGTTCAGCATGTGATCACTACAATTTGAGTCCCAAGAGCAAGAAGCATGGGATGACAGACTTGCTTAGGCACTGCGGGTTGGAGGTTGTCATTGACAGTCCTGGGTGCTACAAGCACCAGTCAGAGCCACAGAAGGGCCACTTGCCGTGCTGTAGTAGGGAGCCTAATGTAGCCCCCTGTGGTCCTTCCCAGGAGGCCAAGGAGAAGATGGAGCAGCTAGAGGGAGCTCTGCAGAATACAGAAACAGGGCAGGACCTGTGCACCAGCCGCAAGCTGCAGAGACAGCATGGCCAACTGGAGAATAAGAGCCAAGCCCTGGCCAGCAAGATGGCTGATCTCATCTCCCAGGCCCACAGTGTGGCCACTGCCCAGACCATCCTGGAGGAGACACAGCAGTGCTGCCAGAGGTGTCTGTTCCGTCTTCACTCTGTTGTGTCACTCCCCCTGTACAGGACTTAAGAGCCAACAAGGTGGCACTTGTAGAACCTGAGGATGCCCAAGCTTCCTCCCTTATGATAGTCATTCTGAGGCAAGGAGGGTCAAAGACCATGTTAGGTGTCCAAAGCAAGACCCCTGCCACCTGAAGTCAGGTGGTCCTCTTGCGGCCTACCCATCATCACAGGTTTCCTTTCTTTCCTGGCCTGTTCCTCATGGGTTTTTGACAGGGATGATGAAGGAAGCAGGGCCTTGTCCTCACCTTGCCCCAGTCTCTCCCCTCTCCTCCCTCCACCCAGGTTCCACTCCCTGCAGGCCCATTTGGCTACCCGGCACCTGCAGTTGCAGGCCGCAGTTGAGCTGTACCAGTTCAACCACCTGAGCGACCTGGAGCTCACCTGGGTGACTGAACACATGCCTAGTGCCAGCCCCGCCAGCTGTACTCAGTGCCAGGGTGGTGCCCAGAGCCTTCAATACAAGCACAGGGTAACAATCTCCTTATTTTCCTGGGATCCCAATATCTCATTCCCACAATTTAGAAGCCCTCACCACTACTCAGGGTGTCCTGGCCTCTAAGTCCCTCCCCACGGGTGTCCCAGTTTCCAAATATCTGCCCCAGCTATTCTTTACCCAGAGCCACATCCATGCTTCCTCCTGGACACGCTATGGATAAGCAAATCCCAGAGGCAGTTGCCCATCATGCTGTCCTGTGGCAGGTGCTCCAGGCCGAAGTGAGAGCTCACCAGAGGCAGGTGCACCAGGTGCTGGACTCTGGCCGGAACCTAGCAGCCTCTGGGCACCCCGAAGCTCAGTGCCTCACAGAGCAGTGCCAGAAGTTGGAAGGTCAGTGGGCTGAGCTGGAGCAGGCGTGCGCAGCACAAACCCACTGCCTGCAGCGGGCTGCTACTTTCCAGCAGGTAGGATGCAGACAGCGCAGGGTCAGTAGAGTGGCCGAAGTCTGGCAGGCTCTGGGAGGATTTGTGGGACCCTCAGGGCGATAGGTCAGTGGGCCCAAAACTGGCTGGTCCCCATATGGGCCCAGATGTTCCTCTGTGTAAGCTGCCGGAGACCAGGATGACCTCAATGGGTGATGGAGGCACCTATCTGAGATTGCCAAGGTGAATGGGCACCATTGTTGGCAGTACTTTCTGCATGTGTCGGAGCTGGAGAGCTGGATGGAGGAGAAGCGGCCACTGTTGAGTAGTCAGGACTGTGGCAGAGACGAGGCAGCCACCTTCAGGCTCATTGGGAAACATCAGGTACCATGCCCTGAGCATCTCACAGGTGTGGACTTGAGTGATGGTGGATCATGAGGACAGGGTCTGTCACACCCCCCACAAAGGGCACATCCTAATTCTTTTTCTACCTGAAGACCCCGCCAGCCCCAACCCACCACCCACCCAAATCCTGCAGTGCCTTCCTGGTCCCCAGAACTCATTTCTGCCAGGGCAGCCCCAGCACTGTGACCTGAGAACACTCTCTCTGTAGCCTCTTTATGGGACTTGCCTCTCCCTGCGGACTTGTGTGTCTCTGCCTCCTCTTGCCTCTCCTCTCTGGCACTTTTCTACTCCTTCAAGGTTACCTGCCACCTGGGCTTTGAAGACCATGCACTGAGTTAACCAGATGCCCTTCCTGAAACCTGCCTCCTCCCACAAGCACCCTCTGGTTAAAGGGGTGAAGTCTGGAAGCCCCCTTCTCATTCCTGGAGGTGGACTCTGATGCATTCCTGCTTCCTCTTGTCATGGAAGGGTCTTCCTGTCAGAGCATTTTTTCCTGCACAGCCCCAGCGGTCATTGTTCCTGTGTGTCCTGTGACTGAGGACCTTCAGTGAGCCATTCCTAAAAGCCACCAGGGAGCTTCCAAGTCCCATGCAGCTTACTTAATTCTGTCCACCTCTTCCACATTGCCATTGGGTCTCATTTAATGCCCCTATAGCCTCTTTCCTGGATAATGAGCCCTCTGAGGGTAGAGACTGTTTGCATTTTGTGGAACTGTGAGTCCACCATCAGTATTGGGTAGGTGGGTGATGGATGGGTGGGGAGACGAATGAGTGTTTGTGTGGGTGAATGAGTTGAAGGATGGAGGAGTGTACGAATTGATGAGCAAATGGAGCGGGGGGTTGTGAATGGATATGTAGAGGGGGTGGGCAGGTGGGTGGATGGATGTAGAGATGAAGTGTTGCCCAATCAGAGCCTGGCATGGGGTCTATGTTGGCAGGTGCTGCAGCAGGAGCTGGCTCTTTATTGGACCTCCATGGAGGAGCTTAACCAGAAGGCCCAAAGCCTTGCTGGCTCTAAGGCCCCTGAGCAGCTGGGTGTGGTGCAGGAGAGGCTCTGGGAGCAGCTGCGGGCACTACAGGAGCTGGCCATTGCTCGGTAGGGAGCATTGCCATCATTCTCATAGGAGGGTACAGGAGGCCTTGCCACAGCTGACTGTCCCATCATAGCCCTAAGTTGGAAGGGACCTATGACCCCAGACCCATACAGGTGCATTGGAAGGCTGTCTTTACTGCATGTTGCTCACCAATTTCCAGAAATTCTTCAGTGAGATCCCACTGGGCAAGAATTCAGCCCCCAACTCCCAGCTATCGGTCTCTTCCCCACATCCACTGCTCCCCTGCCCCCTACCCTGGCTTTCTTCTGTCTACTTCTCCCTGAATCGAGTCACAGGCTCGGGCAAAACCCACAAATAACCCCATCCTTCAGGTCACCCCCTTTGACTGGCCCAGCTGACCCCAGGGGTGAGAAACTAACTTCTGGGGAACCATGGGCTGTCACTATAGGGGCCAGGAGCTGGAGGGGACCCTGAAGCTGCATGAATTCATGAGGGAGGCAGAGGACCTGCAGAGCTGGCTGGCCAGCCAGAAGCAGGTGGCCAGAGGAAGAGAGAACCTTGGAGGGGACTACGAGCACGTGCTGGTAAGGGGCTGGGGCAGGGAGGATGAAGTGAGGCAGACACGATGAGGGGGCAGTGGCAGAGGGAATGGGAGTGGAGTGGCCCTGCTGGGCTGGATGGAGAAGGTGAGTGAAGTCAGCAGCCCTGGCTGACGAAGGGCCTTCAGAGTAGAGCGGGCAAGTACACGGCTGTCTAACCCCACAGTACTGGGTGGGTCACTGAGGTGCCTTGCTCCCTAGACTCTTGCTGCCGGACCTATCACCTACTCCCCTCTATCCTCAGCACCTCTGCACCAAGTTCGCAAAATTCCAGCACCAGGTGGAGATGGGCGGCCAGCAGGTGGCAATCTGCCAGCAACTAGCAGCAGGCCTGCTGGAGCGTAGACACAGCGCTGCCAACAAGGCCTGTGAGAGGCAGCAGGATCTGCAGTGAGTGCTGGGCCAGGCTGGGCCAGGCTTGGAGGAGGGTGCTGGAGTGTGAAGTGAGGCCCATGCTCCAAGAGCTCCAGGGCTCTGTCTGCCCATCTGGAGAGGGCCCAGTCCCAAGAAAGCTGAGCCACCACAGGCTGTGGTCTGTGACAGGAGATGAGGCCAGGTGTGCAGGCCCCCAGGAGCACTTTTCCCAACCGAGGGGAGGGGCTGTGGGAAGAAATTGCCTAGGCCACATGGGGTTGGGGGAGCTTTCTACAAGCTCTCGAGCTCCCAAGCTCCCACACCCACCTGACCCTGTCCTCCAGTTGGTGTGGAATCTGTCCTGGCCTGTGAGCCTGAGGCAAGCAAGGTTCTGACCTGATCATAACCCCAGCACCGGAAGCCTTGAAGCTTAGGGAGAGTTAGCTAAGTAAATGAGGAATGGAGAAGAGATGTGGCCCCTTCCTTTGAGGCCTTGTAAGCCCATAACCCTGAGAATCAATTCTCAGAAGGGAGGCGGGACCCCGGAGCTGAGCATTACAGTAGCAAAGGGTCAAACTCAGAGTGAAGCCAGAGATACAGGCTCCAGGGACGGGATGGAGGCTTGCCGGCCACACCAATGACAAGCGTAGGCTGTAAGAAAGGAGAGACCTAGTCAGGAGCTTTGGGCAAGTCATGGGCACAGTCCAGAGAGGAAGAGGGCGGACCAGACCTAGCAGGGGAAGGGAATATGAGGCTTGCCCGTGACTGGTCCCCTGCTGGTCTTCCATGCACCAGGACCGCCTGGTCAGAGCTGTGGGAGCTGACCCAGGCCCGAGGCTGCTGGCTCCGAAATGCTGAGACCACCTTCAGAGTTCAGAGAGATCTTGTGGAAGCCCTCAACCAGGTCCAGGTGTGAGCCCGGGGGTAGGAAGGGGTCTCTTTCTGGAAGTGGATCCTCCCGAGGTTCAGTGCACCACCTCCATTCCTGACCCCCTTGGCCCTCTCCTCTCTCAGGAGAAAGTCACAAGCCTCCCCAGTGATGTGGCCCAGGACCTGCGTGGGGTGGAGGCCCAGCTGAGGAAACACAAGGGGCTGGAACATGAGCTGATGGGCACTGAGAAGTGGGTGAGCACACTGGCTTCTCTCCCACCAACCTGGTCCTCTAAATTTCCCTCTCTCCCTTGTTTCCAGTTGGGCCCATTGTGAGGGACTCAGTTCCCAAGTGAGGGACACATCTTGGGATGGTCAGGCCCCCCTCCCTCAGCCAGTGAGGACGCTCCCTGCCTCCTTTCCCCCCCATCTGCCAGTTGCAGGAATTGCTGGAGGCTGGAGACAGGGTGCAGCAGCTGAGTCCGGGGCTTCAGGCCCATGCTGTGCAGCAGAAGCAACAAGCTGTGACACAGGCCTGGGAGGCCCTGAGGCTGTGCATGGAGCAGCGCAGGGCCCAGCTAGAGCAAGCATGCCTCCTGGGCTGCTTCCACACAGTGGTGAGGGCTTCTTCTGCTTGGGGCGGGGGGGCGTGCGTGTGTGAGCGTGTGTATTCGTGCATGTGCATGTGTGTGCATGCCCTCCAGTTCCAGAGGGAGAACAAGTGTGGTCGCCTGGGTGTCAGTCTGGCTGCTCAGAGGCTGAGCATAGGGGGCATGGCATGGCAGGGACTCCTCAAGTTTGGGTCAGTGCCAACCCAGATGAGTGACAGTGCCATTATGCAAGTCCCAGCCAGCACTGGGAAGTTAGAATAACCAGAGATCCAGATGTGTGGACAAAGTCCTCTTTAGTGGCTGGGAGCATCTCTGCCAGGAACTGTGGGAGAAAGAAGAGGGTGACTGAGGAGCTATGGAAAGTGGCCCTGAGCTGTCCCAGGAGTCCCCCTGTCTCAGTACCTGATAGTCTAGGAGGCTCAAACCATGATACTGTGAAAAGACAAGCTTAAGGACCCTCTGCCACTTTCAGGCTGTGTGAGCAAGGCATTTAACCCTAGGATGCCAAGAGCCTAGAGATGACCAAACTCTTCCACATACAATGTGCTACTTACCCTCTTCCTCTGCACAGTGAGATGGTTGGACAAGGGCCTGGCTCCCTCCAGCTCTAACACTGTACAGTTGTCCACAAATCAACCAGAGCTAGTTGTAGGCATTAGATTGGCAACACAGGATGGGAGAGTGGGAAGATGTTGAGGTACAGGGAAGGCTACAGAGGCAAAGGTGGCCTTGGCCCTGGAAGAACAGATGAGCCTTTTGGCTTTCTTCCATCAACAAGCTATGCACTGGGCCTCTTGCTGACCCTAGGTGAGCTCTGTTGAGCTGGGGAGGAGGGGGAGGAGCTTCTTGGTGAGGGTCTGACACATGTGGAAGGTTTGTGGGCCTGGTTTAGATGAGAACAGAGAAGACAGGTGACAAGGGCACAGTGTATGTCACCCCCAGACAGCTCAGTGGCTGGATGTATGCATGAATTCAGGTGGGTTCTCTGCCACCAGCCCAGCCTCACCAAGACCCCCATGGTCTCTGGGGTCAGGTGCAGGACTACGCCTCCTGGGCGGCCAGTGTGCAGCAGGAACTGCAGGCGAAGGAGAGCTCCCCAGAGCACAGCAGTGGCCCTCACAGGCTCAGTGCCCACCAATGGCTTCGGGTAGAGCTGGAGGCCCGGGAGGAGCTGCAGCAGCGGGCGGCACGGTTGGGCCAGCAGGCACTTCTGACTGTAGGAACAGCTACCAAGGATGTAGGCCCCCCCTCTCCTGATGCCCTCAGCCTGCCCCACCCTGGCCTCTCTGGCTCCCTGGCCCTTGGTACCACATCAGTCTCTCAAATGGATCCCAAGGAATCCATTTTCAGCTCCTCCATGCTGGGCTGCCCTCCTGAGCCCCGCCTCCTCCATGTGCCCACCTCCAGGTCCAGGATAGGCTACAAACCCTGCGGGAGGAACGTGATCAGGTCTTCCAGGCCTGGATGCAGGAGCAAGAGAGGCTGCAGGCCACGCTGCGGGAGCAGCTCCTCCTTAGACAGTGCAGCCACCTGGAGAAGACCCTCACAGCCCAGGAGGCAGGTCCCCTCAGTAGCTCCCCACCTCCTGCCGCCAAACACCCAGCCACCTGCTCCTCTTCTCTGCTTCCCTCTCTCCACTCTTTCCCCTCTTCCCCGGGTCTCAGGCATTTTCTCTGACATGGCGCATAGAGACTGTGCATGAGTCCTCTCAGGTGGCCAGGGTGGAGTCCTGGGGCACCTGCGCCTCCACCAACACCCCCAGGCTAGGTCTAGACCCTCTGCTCCCCAGCCCCAACCCCAGACACAGCCCCAGGGGAGTCACCAGAGGTTGGACATACACCCCACTTCATGCAGAGGTTAAGGTATTTCTGGCCTTTAAGCCAGGCTCCCATTCCCCCTCACATTTCCCTTGCCATGATCAGTGCTCATGCCAGCCCCACTCCAGGTCTCTTGCTTTCCTCAGATGCCCAGGGACACTGCCTCAGCTCTGACAAGTGTGGAGAGGGGCTGGCTGCTTGGCTTCCCTTGCTGACCTTTGACTTTACCATGGGCTGATCCAGGCATGCCTGAGAACTGGTGCCCTGGGGAGCTCCGTGGAGGAGGTAGAGCAGTTGATCTATAGGCACATGATCTTCCAGAAGTTGCTGACTGCCCAGGATGAGAAGGTGATGGGCTCAGGGAGTCCTGGGTGCCATCAGTCTGGGGCATGGGGGCACAGTATCTCACTGTGCATCCAGAGGTCGTGCTAATTGCCTTGGGGCTTGAAGCACCTGGTTGAGATTGACTGAATGGAATTGTACGTGTGGCTCAAGAGGCCCAGATGGGGTGGGCCACACTACAGGGACCCCAGGGGACATATGGCTCTGTCTACATTATATGGTCACTGGGAAGCAGCTGGTTCCAGCTGTTGCTGGGAGGATTGGCCAGCCCTTGGCCATGAAAGATTAAGGGAAAAGCTGGGGACACTGGAAGAAAAGGCCCAGCCTCCAGGATGGGAGACCAGAAGGCTGCGTCCCTTCCCCACAGGAGGCAGCTCTGCGTAAGCAGCTGAAGACACTCCCAGGCCAAAGGGGGCAGGACTTGCTTCATCACGTGCTGCAGCATCGGGTTCGAGTGAAGGAGCTGGCGGAGAGCCGGGCTCGTGCCCTGCGTACTTCCCTGCTGATGGCCAACTTTTCCAGGGCTGCTACCCAGGTCAGAAGGCCACCCCTGTGAGTGCCCTCCACTTGGCCCACATTTTGCAGTTTGAGGTGACCTTCACCTCTCCACGTTGTGGTGGAGACTGAGGGTTAGAGAGTTAAATGGCTTCCCAGGGGCCATGCTGGAGCCAGAGCATTTGATTCTAAGTGTCTGCGCATGGAGACCCCACCTGTTTCCTGAGTGCTAGCAGGGTCAGGGCAAAGAGGAGCCACAGAGAAGGGGGCTGAGCATTCCAGGGTCCCAGGAGCAGGGGGTTCACACCACCAAAATGGAATCCTACCCAAGATCCCTGCCCATCCACTTCCTGTAGCCCAGCTGGGCCTGGGACATGTCTTCCCGGGCTGGAAACATTGGCTCTCATTTACTGGGCACTGCGAACCTTGCCCCTGAGGCCAGTAGGTACCACCTGGGCTCTACTGAAGCAGAGGCCTCAGGGAGAGATCACCATGGAATTTGGGTCCCCATACCTACCAGACTGAGGACTGGATCCAGGAGCGTGTCCAGCAGCTGAGAGAATCGACCCCCTCTGGATGCCTGAAAGACCATGTGACACACTTGTGGAAACACCAGGCTTTTGAGGCTGAGGTTCAGGCCCATGAGCAGGTGATGACCTCTGTAGCCAAGGTAACACATAGACCTGATCTGCCCCAAAGGGTGGGCCCATGGATGGCCAAGGAGCACCATCTTAGGCAGGAGGAAGGGCACAGGAAAGCTCCCCTGTGTCCCATCTCCCAGCAGGGTGAAGCCATCCTGGTACAGAACTACCCTCAGGCAAGAGAGGTCTTCCAGCGGCTGCAGGCTCTGCAGGAGCTCTGGGAGAAACTGAGGCAAGCAGTAACCCTCCGAGGCCAGGTCCTGAAGGACAAGAGTTGCTTCCTGGAGTTCCTGCAGAGAGTGGACCTCGCAGAGGCCTGGATCCGGCAGAAGGTGGAGGCCCATCTGGGCAGGGCAGGCTGGGGACTGGAGCCAAAGGATGGGGCAGGGAGGAGTCCAGGCCTGTGTTAGGAGGGAGCCTGGATGGGAAGTTCCAAAGCTCTCATCTGCCCCGATGCTGCCCCAACAGTAAGGGCCAGAGGGCCTGGCACTTGAGGCCGGTGCTCAGTGTGCTGCCCTCCCTTCCTGGACCCTCACAGGAGGTGATGGTGAACATCAGTGACCAGGGTCAGGACCATGAGCACTGCCTGCGGCTCTATAGGCAGCTCCGCAAGTTCCAAAGCACCATGGTGGCTGGGGTAAGGGGCCCTGCCCAGGAGGGGTTGGCACAACACCCAGTGTGGGAAATTTGGCCTAGAGTAAGTAGTGACAGGGCATGGGCTCCAGGGCCAGGTGTGGGCAGAGCATTGGCTCTGTGTTAGCTGCTGGCAAGCACTTAGGCCAGGCTCTCATCAGCTCTAGCCTCAGTTTCTTCATCTCTAAAGTGGAGGTATGCCTAGCTTAGAGGTAAAGAGCAGGTGTGTGTGGCGGGGGTTAGCTCAGTCTATACCTGTGAATAAACTGCACAGACCTACGTCTCTGTCACACACGCACACATGCCTCACTGGTGAGCTCTGGATGAAGTCTAGTGGAGTTAGAAGGCTGGTTTAGTATTGTACTATAGCTGTGTAAGGTGATACCTTGAGAGAAGCTGGGAGAAGGGTACAGGAGCCTCTCTACCACTTTTGCAATTCCCATGCACCTATAATTATTACAGATTTCCTAAAAAAGACACTACATATGCCTGGGTGAGATAGACACTCACCTTCCTTTAGTGTGACTACCCCAGCATCTCCTTCTTACCCCACACTATCCCCCCAAATATACCAGAGAACTCTATCACTCTTCAGTGATACAAAGGAAAGAAATTTGGCAAATGTACTGACAGGTGCTAGAACCCAATCCCCCTGATAGAGGTGTACATGAGCTTGTTAATGCCACAGTGCTAAACATCCTTCACTAGAGGCAGAATTCATAGGTGTTGTGCCAGTGCAGCAGCAGGAAGAGGAAAGTTGCTGGGCTTGAACCCTGACTCTGTCACAAAGGATCCCTGCTAGCCTCTGAGCTCTGCTGGGGCAGAGGGGAAGGGAAGATGCTTTGGGAAGTTGGTCAAACTCTACAAATGCAAAGAACAGGAAGGCTGCAACCCAGCCCTGTCGGGTTTCTCCTCCCTTTGTACCTGTTAGTTGGCCCAGGGTTCAGGCCAGTCCTCAGGGCTGAGACACCCAAGCCCCGGGAGGCTGGAGTCACCATGTCATCCACTCTCCTTTGGCTTCTTCTATCCCAACAAGTTGCATTTTAATTTTAAAAGCTTCTGTTAATGAGTATGTGGCCCAGCTCCCCTCCTACCTGGTCCCATCTTGAGGGACACATGTCCTGGCCTGAGAGAGTCTGGAGCTGTGAGCTCCAAGCTCTTCTTACTCACTATATGGGGGAGGGGGAGACTGTAGCATCTGTCACAGTAGAGGGAACAGCCATCTCCCACTCACCAAACGTGCTACTCCTCATCCCCAAGTGCCAACTTCAGTGCCAAGAAAGGGCACTGAAGCCCATTGCACCTCCCCCGCAGGACACAGTGGGGGATGCCTATGTTAGAAGCATCAATGACTTGGTACCACAGCTCAAGAGCCAGGACCCAGAGGAAAACAAGACCATCTGCCAGCGACAAAGCCAGCTCAACACCAGGCCAGTCCCAGACCTAGCGGGGCTGGAGGCCAGCAGATGGGCAGGGGGCCACCTCAAGCTCCACATCTCACCACCACCCTTCGGCCAGGTGGACAAGTTTCCATGACAAGCTGCTACAGTATCAGCGGCAGCTTGAAGGGGCCTTGGAGATACATGCACTGTCCAGGGACCTGGATGATGTCATTGAACAGATTGGGGAGAAGGTAAATGATGAAAAGGGGGTCCCACTGTGCACCACGAGTCAGGGCAATGGGTGCTGCCTAGTCTCCATGAGTCCTGCTACCCCCACCTCCACTCTTCAACTGGGAACTTGCCCATCAGAGGTCCACCAAGGGCAAATGACGAGGGATCACTAACAGACCATAGAGCCCCTCCCCCCATGCAGTCGGTCCATCTGTTTCTTTCTCTCCCAGATATGCTGTGGGTCCAAAGACCAGAGCACACCCTCTCTATTTCCTCTAGGCCCTGAGCAAGCCAAAAACCCACAGAAGGCGTCCCCCAGGGTGGTGGAAGCCACCACAGATATCTGGGCCCAAAACTGGCCAAGGTGGCAGTGAAGCCACATGCAGCCCAGGAAGCCCCGTGTGAAATAGAGGGTGCCCTGTTGTGGGCCAGCCAGGTTTCCCCTTCAGTTTCTGCTCTCACATAGCCAGCCTAGGCCCCTGGCCATGCTCACTCCTTTTCTTCTGAGCTCCCCCCAAGGGATGGGAATCAAAAAAGACAAAATGCTAGAGAGAGCCACACAAGTGAGGGTCTTACCTCAGAAGGAGCCCCCCAGACCAGGGTCCCTCAGCAGAATCTTCCTCCTGCACGTAAGAAAGGGGCCTTTGCCCAGGGCCTACTCAGGCCTGTGGGAGGGACTCACATGCAGGGTGCTTGCTCTCCACACTGCTGCCTTGGTGTTGCTGGCCCTCTGTGGTGAGGGAGCAGGTGCATCTAAAGCCTGGCCTGCAATGGCCTCCCTACCCACCGCAGGGAACCTCAATCCAGTCACTGGAGGGTGCAGAAGACCTGGATGGCATACAGAGGCTGCTGTGGAAGCATGAGGTTCTGGAGCAGGAAATGCGCCTTATCCAGGCTCAGGTGGAGGTGAGCAGCTGGAGGTGAAGGTGAGCAGGTGGGGGTAGAGATGTGCAGCCAGAGGTGGAGGGGGTGGACACCTGGCAGAGGAGGTAGAGAGAGCTTTAGGACCGTGAGAGCTGCAAGCCAGGGCCTCCCCAACCCAGCCTCCAACCCTTGCTTCCCCTGCAGTCCCTGGATCATAAGGTAGGCTGCCTCTGCTGGAGAAGCCCAGGGGTGAGCCACAGCCTCAGTCACAAGCAACAAGAGATGATGGACAGCTGGAGGCAGCTCCAGAGCAGGGTCCAGAAGTGGTAGGAGACCCCTGGTCCTCACTCCCTCCCATCCCCTCCAGTGTCTCGGTGCTGCACTACTTGCCCTTGGCCCCCATTTTCTGTGTTGTCACTCCACTGATTCTCAGTTCATGGGCCCTTAGCTAAGGGGCAAAGGGCCAGGAGACCACATGGGTGGGCACAGGGGACTAGGGGCTTGGTGGCCCTAGGACTAGCTGATGAGCCCTGTGGGCAGGAGGGAGTCACTGGAGGCCAGGCACGAAGCTCAGAAGCTCCAGGCCCTGCTGCAGGAGCTGCTGGCCTGGGCACAGGGGCTACGGGCTGAGATGGATGCTCGGGGCACCCCTGGAAGCCCTGCAGGAGTCCTGCGCATGCTGGAAGATCACCAGGCATACAAGGTGAGGAGCCGGAGGGCCTGGGCCTTTCCGAAACTCACCTCCTCATTGCCACCCCTTCCTCTGAGCCCCACTTGTTCTGGGTCCTTTGCCTCCTGCCCTCCTTTGTCCTCTTCTATCTCCCACCCCCGGGCTGTCTTCCCCACCTCTCCTGCACACTGAGGCCTGATGGGATCTGAGCCCAGCCCTGTTCCAGGCTGAGCTGGATGTCCGGACAGACAGTATCCGCCTGGTTCAAACCACCGGGCAACAGTTGCTTGCAGCTGGGCACCCATCAGCCTCTGGCATTCACCAGGCCCTGGCTGCTTTAGAACAGGAGCTGAGCAGCCTGCAAGGGGCCTGGAGGATGCACCAGCGGCAGTTGCAGGAGGCCCTGGAGCTGCAGGTAGGTGCCATCCCCCCAGCCTCCAGGGACTACACCAGCAAGGCCCACTCCAAAGCCTAAGCCAAAAGGGCTCCCCTCCTCTCCCTACTCAGCTTGTACTCAGCAGCTTGTCCTACCATGAACTCGTTCTCTAGGCCACCAAAAGTCACTCCCTAGAGCAGCTGGACCCTCTGCTGACCTTCTGTTGCCTTTTCTTTTCTTACCAGCTGTATCTGAGCTCTGTGGAGAAGGTGGAACGTTGGCTCTACAGCGAGGAAGCTTTCCTGGCCAACAAGGGTCTGGGGGTAGGTGGCTGGCAGAGGTGCGGGAGGATGAACAGGAGTAGCCCAGGTCTTCCTGGGGGTGCAGAGGACAGTGTGGAGAAGTTCTGCCTGTCCTGGAAATCGATACTGGACTCTCCTCCTCGTCAGGAATCACTGCCAGAGCAGCCTGAGGGCCTCCAGTAATGGGTTGGAACACAGCAGTGGTTTTGGGGAAGAGGGTTTGGTAGGATGGCTCAGGGGGTGGGGTGGGAAGCAGATAGCTCAGAGGAGGGAGGGGGCAACCCCACAGACAGTATCAGCTTCCTGCTCCTACCAGGACCCCTTGGCCAATGTGGAGACCCTCCTGTGGAAGCACAAGAGGTTTAAGCAGGGCCTGGAAGCACAGGTGGAAAAGATCCGCTCACTAGAAGCCACAGTCCACAGCCTACACGAGCGTGGACACCCCGAGGCCCAGAGCGCCCTGGCCAGGTGGCAGGCCGTGCTCCTAAGGTACCTGCCTGTAGCTCTGCAGTGATGGGCACTGGGTGGGCTGCTGTGGCATCGGCTCCCTGGCTTTTCCCTTCCTGCTCTTCCACCTCTTGGCCCACGTTCACCAGCCTTTTTCCAAGGGCTGATGTCAGATGCCAGGTGCCCGCCACTCCTGGGCAGCTGCATGTTGGCCTGATACGCATCAAATGGTACCCTGAAAAATCCATCTCCAGTCTTCATTTTGCTGAGCCAGAGGGGAGCTTTACCAAGAAGCTCACACTAGGAAAGCAAGACGGGAAGCAGCTTAATGACAGGGGAGGTCCCGGTGGTTAAGCAGCCCTCAGGAACCTGGCAGCCTTGAGTTCCTGTGCAGCCCATTGAGGGCAACACGTGAGCAGATTCCTCTCCATCACAGCAAAGTCTCTAATCTACCGTGAGGGAGTAATTAACACTGCCCCTGAGGACCGTGATGTCTTAGCCCTGGGCCTGGCGCTGCAGAGCCCTGGGCTCATAAAGCTGACATTTATGCCCTGTGTGGCCTGTGTGGCTATTGACACCAGGCTGTGCCCTTGCCCTCATGAAAGCTCTATGGCTCAGCCACCTGGGCCTGACCCCCAGCCTTGGATAGAGGCAGACATGGCCCAAAGCTGGATCCCAGACCTCAGGCCACCCTTCCAGACAGCCACTGGCACCCACCAGTTCTGTGGCTCCTTGTGCCCTCTGTGGGTTTTTTGTTTTTTTGTTTGTTTGTTTTGGTGGGACTGGGATTTGAACTCAGGGTTGCACACTTACAAAGCAGGTGCTCTACCACTTGAGCCATATCTGCCATCATTCTGCTCTGGTTATTTCAGAGATGGGGGGTCTCATGAACTATTTACCTGGGCTGGCCTTGAACCCTGATCCTCCCAATCTCAGCCTCCCAAATAGCTAGGATTACAGGCACAAGCTGCCAACCCCTGGCTCCCCTCTGCGCTCTTGCAGGTGGACCACACCTGGGTACCATGAAGGTCGCTGAGTTGACAAATGGCAAACATTGTTGGCTGATCTCTGTCACCTTAGGTGGTTGGTAGCAGGCCCAGCTACCCCTGGCACAGTACCACTGACCCCCTTCCCTCCCAGGCTCTGCCATCCTCACGAGGCTGTGACCCTCCAGGCAGCCTCTGTGCACTGCCCCCCTACCTTTGGCCGCAGGGCTCACACACCAGTGCGGGAAAAGCACTGGTGGGTTCCGGGGTGGAAGATGCTCTTTTAAAGATCTCGTCATTCCTATTTGCATTGGCAAGGTACTTAATACGTGCGCATGGAGGTATATTATGTAGCGTATGTAAATTGGTATATATTTGCATATATTATGTATCAGTTTTTATACTAAAGTACTTTAAATATTTTGTTAAATAGTATATAAATGTTATATACGCACACACATTCACGCATATATTTAAGGGGTTTCCTGCTTGAAACATTCTTACTAAAAACAAACAGCGGTTTAGGCACTGTACGTCTGTGTGTGCTGGCTATAACATACCACAGACTGGAGTATAAACAACAAAAGTGAATTTTTTTCACATCTAGAGGTTAGAAGTCCAAGATCAAGATGTCAGCTTCTTCTCTTGTATTGTACATAGCTTCCTCCAGTGTCCTCTGGGGGTGTCCTAATCTCTTATAAAGATACCAGATTAGCCCCCTCCCCCATCTGACTTCATTTACTGAGTTAGCTTTTTAAAGGCCTATCTCCAAATACAGTACTAGTCTGAGGCTGTGGGGTTAGGGACATGCCAGGCATGGTGGTACATTCCTGTAATCCCAGCCATTTGGGAGGAGGCAATAGGATTGTGGTGTGAGGCCAACCCAGGAAAAAAGTTAGTGAGACCCTATTTCAAGAACAAGCCAGGTGGTTCGCAACTGTAATCCCAGCTATGCAGGAAGCAGAAGTTAGGGGATGGCAGTCTGCGGCTGACCCCAGGCAAAATTATGAGACCCTATCTGAAAAATAACTAAAGTGAAAAGGGCTCAGGGTGTGACTCAAGAGGTAAAATACCTGCCTAGCAAGTGCAAAGCCCTGAGTTCAAACCTAGTACAGCAGAAAAAAAGAAAAGAAAAACATTGCAAGGGGCCTCCATTCAGCCCACAACTGACACCGATATGGAGAGGACAGATGTGTGTCTTTGTTTCAAAGAGAATGTCAGAATCAGGGCACCAAGAAGCGTGGGCATATGCGCACACAGCTCCAGGTCCCATGGGTGAACCTGGGGGCCCATGACACCCTTTTTCTGCAGGAAGGAGGCACTCGAAGAGCGAGCAAGGACCTGGGGCCGCCAGCTGGAGGGGCTGCAGCAGCTTCAGGCATTCTTGCAGGAGTCTCATGAGGTTCCTCTGGCCTGGGGTGGGCGTGATTGGTTGAGGGGTGGGGTTACCCTTCCTCCTGGGCACCCCAGAGGTTAGGGGAAGCAGAACCTGGTCCTCCACATGTGCCCAGGTGGTCACATGGCTGAGGGAGAAGAACCTAGTGGCCTTGGAGAATTGGCGGGACCCGGCCTCACTGCAGGCACAGCTGCGGAGGCAGCAGAATTTCCAGGTTGAGCTGGACTCAAACATCCACCAGCGACAGGAGCTGCAGCAGGTGAGGTCCCCACAGAGCCCAGCTGCCAGCACCAAACCATCGCAGTGAGGGCTGACGTCCATTGTCACCATGTACTATGTGCAGGCACTGATGTGACACACAGTTGCTTCTCCAAAACCGGGGCCTTCTCCGTAACAGAAAGATTGTCTTGGATGCAATACAGGCACAACCAGCAGTCATGCTGGGGGAAGGCATCAAAACATTACTTTTTTTTCTTTTGTAGTACTGGGATTTGACCTCAGAGACTCACCCATGCTAGGCAGGTGTTCTACCACTTGAGCCACTCTGCCAGCCCTATGTATTTTTTTTTTTTTTTAAGATAGGGTCTCATTTCAGGCCAGTGGCCCTGAACCCCAGTCCTCCTATTTATGCTTCCCCACACAACTGGGATGATGTGCTCATGCCACCAGCCATTGGTCGAGATGGGGTCTTGAGAACAGGCTGGCCTTGAACTTCAATCCTCTCAATCTCTGCCTCCTCCAGAGTAGCTAGGATTACAGGTGTGAGCCACTGTACTCGGCCACATTATTCCTTTTATCCACTCATGTTTCCACCCTGCAAAGACAAGTCCTGACACCAGGATGACTCTCTGATATCAAGTGCCGGGCTAAGCTTCATGTGCTTGGTCTCATTTAACAAATAACCATTATCTTCATTATATGGGTGAAGAAAAAGAGGCTTAGAGAGATAAGAAACTTGCTCAAGGTCACACAGCCAGCACCTAGCAATTCTGCACTTTGGGGCCATCATTGGCACCAGCCCAAATGCCTTGGTATCCACAGCCCTGTGATGTGTGTGCCATGTTGTGGCTGCAGGAGGGGCAGAGGCTGCTGCAGGGGGGTTGCCCAGCCTCGGAGACCGTCAGGGAGCGGTTGCAGGAGCTGGAAGAGCTCTGGGCTAAGCTGCAAACCAACTGCCAGAGGAAGGAGGCCAAGCTGCAGGAAGCCTGTGAGGTGAAGCTGTGCAGACAAGGAGCAGCAGGATGGGGCTCTGGACCCTCCCCTTGGTGCCCACTCACATTCTGCCCCGCCCCCCAGGCCCTGCGTCTACAGCGGAGCCTGGAGGAACTGGGGAGCCAGCTGGAGCCCATGGAAGTTGAACTGAGAAACCCTGCCAGGGGCCAGGACCTGCGTCAGGTGGACGAGCTCCTGCGGGCACAGGGAGAGCTGGAGGCCGCTGTGGACAGGCAGACCAGGCAGGCACAGGCCGTGCTGGGCCAGGCCCAGGCCTTCACACTGGAAGGTTGCTGCCTCATCAAGGCTGTGGAAGAGCAGGCCTGCAGCTGCTTCACAGGTAGATGTGCCCAGCCCTTGCCTGTTTGCTTCTTCCTTGGTCTCTTTCCCTGTCCCTCCCTGGAGGGACACCTGCCTCTGCCTCCCAGCTCGTATCTTTTCATCTCACCCCCTGCCCATGGTGAGGCGTACAGAGTGGGTGAGGACTATGTCACAGTCTAGTCCAATATGACAACTAGAGCTTCGTCCTGGTTCCCCCTCCACTGCTGCAGGTTCCAGGGCCTCCGGGAGCCTCTGCAGGAGCGCAGGGCAGCCCTAGAGGCCCAGAGACTCCTCTTGCAGTTCTTCAGAGACGCTGATGAGGAAATGGCCTGGGTGCAAGAGAAGCTGCCCCTGGCCACCGCCCAGGACTATGGCCAGAGCCTGAGTGCTGTACAGCACCTGCAGCAGAAGCACCAGGTGTCGGCCAGCACTGGGAGACTGGGGGGTGGGGGGGCTGCTCAGAAGGGTGCCAGGCTCATAGCCAAGGAAGTGGAGCTGTGACCCAGGTCTTAGGGTGCCTGAATTCTTTGGAAATCCCTGGACAGATTGCCTTGGCAGCAAGTCTGGAGGGTGGGAGGCTTCAGACCCAACTCTTGGGGCTCCCCAGAATCCTGTAGCAGCCCAGGTTTCTCCTCCTTCATAGAACTTGGAGAGTGAGATTAACAGCCACAAGGCTGTGACCCTGGTGGTGGTGGACACAGGACACAAGCTGGTACAGGCTGGGCACTTTGCTGCTCAAGAGGTAGCCACCCAAGTACAGCAGCTGGAGGGGGCCCTGGACCACCTGCGGGCAGAGGTGGCACGGAGGAGGCTGCTGCTGAGGCAGGCCCTGGAGGCCCAGCAATGTCTGGCGGAGGTAAGAGAGGTGCAGCGTGGTGGGCCTGACAACCTCAAGAGAGTACAGGGCCGGAAGGGGCTGGAAGGTGACTCCCCAGGAAGCCATCTTCTGTCTCCTGACTCTGAGGTTGTCTCTTCTGCCTGTTTGCTAAGCATGTCTTCTCAACCAGTGGTTCTCAGCTAGTGCTTTATGTCACCATCACCTTGTGTTTGAACCTGAACTAGCTCACAATGGTGAATATAAATGTAAAGGAAGAAAAACTAGTTAGAAAGGAGAAACTCAGAAAGGAATATTGGCTAAAACTTACATGACAAAAACTATGCCTGCGATCCAAGATCAAGGTGACTTTATTTTGTATGAAAGAGAAAAATCAACCAGAACCTTTTTAAAAAAAAAAAAATATTGACACTCAGGTCCTTCCCAACCAAATGAGACCCTTCTGGGGCGGGGCGCAGGTGTAGGGAGCTGTTCGAGGTCTCCAGGTGACTCCAATGTGCAGCCAACTGAGAACCATCGCTGGAAACCCCGACGCCTAGAACCCTCTGAGCAGGGCAAACTCTTCTCTGTCTCCCCAGCTCCTAGAGGCTGGATCCTGGCTGGCTGAACGGGGCTGTGTCCTGGACAGTGAAGATATGGGCCAGAGTGCGGAGGCCACACAGACTCTTCTGCGGCGGCTGGAGGCCACCAGGAGGGACCTGGAGGGGTTCAGCCAGCACATTGGGGGCCTGCAGCAGACAGTGGCCCTCCTGGAGAGCAGGCAGAACCCAGACAGGTAGGCCAGAGCCATGTGCACCTGGGGAAGAGCAGAGCCGAGGGTGTCCCCCACAGAGGGGGCTAAGTCTGGCCCAGCCTCGAGAGGAAGGACTCCAACCAGGCTGTCTTTCCTGCCACAGTCCCAGGGTGCTGGCCCAGCTACAGGTGGTACGGGAGGCCCACGCACAGCTGCTGCGGAGAACAGAGGTCAGGGAGCAAAGCCTGAGGGAACAGCTGCAGCTACACCAACTACAGCAAGAAACCCTCCTCCTCGACGCCTGGCTGACCACCAAGGTGGCCACTGCAGAGTCTCAGGACTGTGGGCAGGACCTGGAGGGCATCAAGGTGACTCACTCTTAGGCAGACCGGGGGCAGGGTGGGGGCAGGGGCTTTCTTGTGGGGGAGGACGGAGATAAAGGGATGCTGTAGGGTGAGCAGCAGGGAAGCTGTGGGGATGGTTCTAAAAGGATCTAGAACCAGGGCTGAGGGATGCTGGAGCCATTGGATCCTGCAAGCCCTTTGTGAACTTCGCAGGCTGCCAGAAGAAGCTTCAGCATCCCTGGCTCTACATCTTTGCAGGTGCTGGAAGAGAAGTTCAAAATTTTCAGCCAGGAAGCCTGGAGCCTGGGGCAGGTCAAGGTGCAGGCCCTGCGGGAGCTGGCGGACTCCCTGGAACGGGGAGCACCCAGGTGCTCTCCTCAGATTCAAGCCCAGAAGAGCCGCATCCAGGCCACTTGGGAGAGGCTGGACAAGGCAATCAAAGCCCGCACAGAGGTAGGTGCCTGAGGGCCAGGCTAGGCCACTGCAGCCAAGAGGCAGGGGAAGCCATGCTTGCTACCCATCAGCCCTGTGGCTACCTCTAACTCAGAAGCAAGACGATGGGAGCCTCAGTCTCCCACCTGTGCCCGCCTTCAGTCGGCCGCCTCCTAGTCTGGTTCACACCTTGTGCAAAGGGGAAGCCTGCCTGGCCAGCTTCGAGCCCTCAGAGCCCACCCAAGTGCATCTCTGTTCTGATGGGACTCACCCGTTGGTGTCACATTTAACTGGGTGTGGCGCTCACTAGCTCTGGCTTCTCCATCCCTTCACCCCGCCCTCCTCTGCTCTGAATGCTCTAAGCATTGGTTTGTAGCCAAGTAAAACTTCAGCTTTCTTCCAGGACTTTCGCTCTTGTCTTTGTCAGAGCAGCCCAGCTCCCCAAGTTCCTGACAGTCAGACCCCGCACCCACAGTGGGACATTCTCTGTACACAGGCGTGGTGGTGAATGAATCACCAAGGCCCATAGTCCTTGTTCACGGGAGCTGGCCTAGGAGGCCTTTTTTAGGGAGAACAGAGCCCAGGGAGCAGAACTCGGCCCCAATAGACCCTCCCTCCTTTCCCAGAGCTTGGCTGCAGCCCATGAGGTCCGAGGCTTTGAACAGGTGGCATTGGAGCTCCAGCGCTGGATGCAGGAGAAAAGTGCCCTGCTGGAGGCAGCGCTCAGAGGACACAGCCTCTTGTCCACATCACCCTTGCAGCAGGAGCAGCAGCAGCATAAGCGCCTGCAGGTGAGGGCCTCGCCCTGGGCCTGCCTGACTGAAACCCACTCCAGACACCAAAGAAGGACCCCTCCCCAGAGGCAACCAGTCAGAACCATCCTCACAGGGACTGCTCCTGGGCCACCTCCCCTCTGGCCCTGGGATGTGGCCCAGGCTGTGCAGCAGAGTAGAGGAGCCTCCTCAGAGAGGCCTGGGCTACTTGCTGAGTGGGGAGCATGCTGGGTCGGTGTGAAGACAGACCTGTGTTCTGGTCACAGAGGGAACTGGCAGCTATTGAAAAGGAGGTGACATGGACACAGATAGAGGCCTGCCGACTCAGTCAGAGGCACCCTGCAGCTCGAGAAGACCTGGCTGAGCAGCTGGCCAAGGTGCAGGAGGCCTGGGCCACCTTGGAGGCGAAGACCCAAGAGCGGGGCCAGCAGCTGGTGCAGGCTGCCCAGAGCCACGCCTTCCTCAAGCACTGTCGTGAGCTGCTGTAGGTAGTGGCCTGCCTCAGTTAGCTCAGCTCTGCTCTGAGGGACAGGGGTTATCCTGGTTTCCTGGAAGGAAGGACTTCCTCTTCTCTGCCTGCCCTGATAGTGGCTTCCTTTCCCTGCCTCTCAGAGCATGGGCTCAGGACAGACAGGCACTGTTGTCCTCAGAGGAGCTGGCTGGGGACATGGTAGAGACCGAGCAGCTCCTGGAGCAGCATAAGGAACTGGGGCGCGAAATCCAGGAGCACTGCCTTAAAGCCCAGCTCATGCGGCAGCAAGGACAGCAGCTGGTGGACAACAGCCACCTCATGTCCCTGGAGGTGCGAGCACAGAGGCCTCAGAACCCCAGTATATCAGAGAGGCTGGGTGAGGGGTGGAGAGAGGCCAGGTCGCTCAGCCTTCCCCTCCCTCTGCTTGCCTCTCCTGCCAGCCCTGTCTGGGGTGGCAGCTATAACCAGCAGCAGTCCCTCCCACCAGGTGGCAGAGCATCTGCAGGACCTGGAAGGGCAGCTGCAGGGGCTACAGGCAGCGTGGACCCAGCGCCAACAATGCCTCGAGGAGAGCTGGAGCCTGCAGAAGCTGCAGCAGGGGCTGGAGCAGGCAGAAGCCTGGCTGGCCTCTTGGGAGGGCCTTCTGCTGGAGCCCAGCTGCGGGGTAAGTGAAGGCTCTGCCTAGAGCTGGCTGTCATCTGGCAGCCAGGGCCCAGGGCAGACCCTGCTACTCTCCAGTCCCTGGCCCACAGGCTGTGTGTAGAGGGGGAGAGAGGGCCAGGCGCCTTCAGGAGCTGGGTTTCACCTTGACTTGCTTCTCCCCAGCATTCGAAGTGGCACGTGGAGCTACAGAGACACAAGGACCTGGACAAGCTGCTGACAGCCCAAGAGGAGAAGTTTGCCCAGCTGCAGAGGACAACAGAGGTGTGGGGCACAGGCTGGAGCAGACTGGGTCTACCCAGAGAGGGGGCCTGAAAGCTGGCGAGTGTGCACAGGCCCTCCCTTGGCCTGCTGGCCAGTGACTCCCCAGGGCAGTGAGCCCTCCCCAAACTTCCCTCAAGGTCTCCTTCAGGAATCCCTTCTCTGCCATCCCAGTATCCCAGTGGCTAGGACACCTCTGTGGCCAGGCTGGGAGGGAGGTCTCCACAGCTGACACAGACTCGTCTCCTCTGCGATTCAGATGGACACAAAAAAGGGGCACTCCCTGGTGTGGGTGGGAACTGGACAGGACCCAAGGCTATGCTGGGCTGCTCCTGGCTGCCTCCCCTCCCCTCACCTCACCTCCTCTCCCAAGTCAGAAGAGAAGCCGCAGGTGCAACAGCCTCCCCATGGAGGCTCCTGAACACTAGGGGCTAGGAACACAATTGGCTGACGTGAGGGACCTGAAGCCAGGCGTCCGTCCCTATTGAACCATGTGCACCCCTCACCACCAATGTCCCCCTGGAGCATGTGGCCAGGCCACAGGGGCCCACACCCTGTGGGCAGCAGCAGAGGCCCTGGAATGGAGAGCTGGGCATAGGAGCTGGGGGTCATTAGGAAGGAAGAGGTGAGGGCCTCCCTTCCAGGGGGGCTGACATCCAAGTCCCATCATGCATTTTCAGGAGGCAAAGGGGGCCAGCGCCAGGAAGGGGTCTCTGGAACTTTGGTGCCTCCCGCCCAGGTGGCAGCAGGTTAAGTGCAGCAGCTGCGGAGTCCCTGGGCTCACAGGGGACACCTGGCCCAGCACTGTGGATGAAGGCAGACCCCTTGCTGTCCACAGCCCAGTGCCAGCTCCTGGGACAGCTGCCACGGGACCTTGGGCAGTGCTCTGAGCCTGTCCTCAGATCCAAAGACGGCAGCAGAAGTACCAGATGCCATGGGGCTGAGAGAGACTTTAGAGAGCTGGAGACAAGGCTCAGGGAATAGAGGCCAGGAGGAGTGCCCATTGTGACCCCTCCATGTCACCCTTCCCCAGAAGGTGGCTTCCATGTCCCCCCTTGAGGACGTCCACGGCAGAAGGTGCATTTTATCCCTAAGGTGAGATCATAGGCCCAGCAACCCTGTAGCTGGGGGGGCAGGAGGCAGGGCTTCCTGGTGGGGTGGGGACAGCTGACCTGTGGCTGTTTGAGTGCCAGGCTGAGCGGCGAGGCAGAGATCCCGTCTGTAGCACCCGCTGAAGCACAGGCTGAGAGCTGGCAGCGTACCCTGGGCGGCACGGCAGGTGGGCTCCAGGGGAAGGATGGGGGTGGCCAGGCTGGAGTGTTGATTCCCTGGGCCCCAAACTCCCAGTATTTTATGCACATCTAGTACCTCCAACCCTTGAGAAGTGGGTCTTTCCTCAAAGAAGTTTAGGCTCAGAGAGGTTAAGCAACTTGCCTAAGGTGACACAGCTAATGAGCTGCAGAGGTGGAGTTAGTCTTGACCCCCAGCTGCCTTCTAGTCCTGTTTTACCCCTTTTGGTGTCTGCTATTCTGAGACCTCCCACCAGCATCCTTCAAGGACTTTCCGGCTCTGCTTTATCCGATCCTGATCGAATTCTCAGACAACTGAAAATACTCTCTCTCTCCGACATGACTTGTGGAGAAAGGACGTGTAGAAAACCCCTCAGACCATTTCTGATCCCTTGTGTGCCTGACAAGGCTGTGCAGAGTGTTTAGGGGACGTTCTGACACTGTTCTTCATAGTGTCTTTATTTCCTCTGGGCTCTGCTCTGTAACTCTTTCCAGAATCTCAAGGGGAAACTGAGTTGCTCCAGGTCTCCCCTCCTCCAGGCAGAGCCTCCCTAGCTCATTGAGTCACGAGGAGGTAGGAGTGCCCAGGGGAATCTGCTTGCCTGTGCACAGTAGCAAGCAAAGGCCAGATGCAGCCTGTCCCCACAGAGCCTCCAGAGGTGGAAGGAACATAGAGAGGAGGCTCCTGGGATGACTCTGGGCCTGGCTTAGGACTAACCACCATTCTTCCCTTGCTCTATAGCCCAGAACCTGAGCCCAGAACCCAAAGCCAGGCTCCCGGCTGAGACACTGACTGCTCTGCCTAGGTAGGACACCGGGTCGGGGCAGGCTGGGGAGTCCTAAGCTTTCATGACTGATAGAGACCTACCATGCTGGAGTGTAGGGTTGGAGACGTTTAGCTACTCAGGGCAATAGGAAACCCTCACCCCCAACTCACTCTCAACTGTGACAGCAGGGCCTGGATCACAAGGCTCCCTTTCCCCACAGACTCGAGGGTGCTCCCCTCCCAGGGGCTCATTCCACCCTGCCTGCCTCAGCCTCCACACCAGGGGAGACCTTCCTGGGCAGGAAGCTGCACCAAGCCTTTTCTGGTCCAGCCGGTCCAGAGGTAAGAGGGTCCCCTGCCCCCTTCTGGAAAGCTCGCCTGGATTTGCTTGCCTGGGGTACACAATGCTCTTCCTTTTCTGGCCTACCTGTGTATCTTCCAAGATGGAGCATTTGTGTGCAGGAAGCCAGCCTCTGCCCTGGCTTATGAACCTCCTCTTGGCTGTCTTCATCCTGTCCTGCTTCTCTGTCCCCACTGCCAGGGTCAGACAGGGCCCAGGTATCACTGAGTGCCATGACACCCAGGCTGGGAGAACAGGGGAGGGTAAAGTGTGGACATACGGCTCTTGCAGATGTAATGTCAGTTGGCTGCTCAGCCACCTCAAGCCAGTGGGCTCACCAGGAGAGGTGGTACATGAGCCTAGATGTCACAACCACACAGCCATGATGTGGTGACCAGTCTCTGACCTGGTCATCCACTCCTGCAGGGCCCACAGGTTCCAAACTGATGAGGGACAGGCATTCTCCTAGACACAGTGACTTCGAGAGGACCAGGCTGACAGATGTCGCAAGCTAAATCAAGGGAGTTACCTCCCATTTATCTCCCACACTGGGAGCAGATGGCACGTCCCAGGCCTTCAATTTATTCTGTTCTCCCAATAGGCCTTGAAGTGGTGAGCCCCAAGACATCACCAAACCTCAGGGCTACAGCGGAAGACACAGCTGCTACTCAGCTATGAGCCCAAAGGACCAGCTTCTGGAATAGACAGTGATGTGCTGAAGTTTCTGTGGCTCAGCTCTTTAACTGAGTCACGGCCTCACCCTGAGGCTGCTGCCTGGGTGAGGAGGACAGTCCATGAGTCTGCTCCCCTGGCCAGGGCAGCCACTCTCCTCTTTAAGAGCCCACACTGACGGACACTTAGGCAGATGTACTGTTTTGCTTTTTAAACCAGTCCTGGTCAAGAGCTTGGAAGAACAAAATAATCTGAGACCACACCTCCCGTTTGTAAGAATCTCGGTAATGGAGCACTTTGTCACTTCACAGATCACCACTTTATCCCCGCCTCTGAGCCGCAACTCCTTCCGTGCCACGGAGACCCTGGCCAAGCTCCAGCTGTGAGCCAGGCCTCTATGACAGGGATGCTCGTGGCTCCAGTGCCACCTCTGGATGGTCCTGGGCCTCAGAGTCCCCAAAGGTTCTGCAGTACTTGGTGAGAGTCCTGCCAGGGGGGCCTCAGGCAGCGGCCGTCACTGGGGCGTGTGTTGCTTGTGGTGCCTCCGCCGCTGCACGGCCTGGCGCAGGGCCTGCAGCAGCTGCTCCTGGTTATTGCAGATGTTGTAATGTGTCAGGCAAAGCAGCTTGTCCACGTCCTCCTGGCTATAGGTCACCTTTGTGTAGTGGTAGGGGGAGTCAGAAGAAGACAGGTTCACCTCCCCAGCTGCCTTCTCCTCGGGTGTCCGTGGTACCCCTGTGGAGAGACAGCAGTCTGGGTAGCAAGGCAAGGGCCTGGGAACATCTGAGGAGAGGGAAGAAGGCCAGAGCAGTGGCTGGGACCCACCAGGTGCCGAGTGCTCCCGGAAGGAGTCATTGACCAGAGGGAAGTGCAGCACGGCAGGGGCTTGGGGCTGGGCAGGGTCGCAGAAGATGTGGCACTCCCGAGGCTGGTGCTGCTCCTCAGCACTGGGAGAGATGGAGGGGAATGGAATCCCCTGCTCCTTGCAGAACCGGCCTAAGAGCTGCAGCTGCTGCAGGGCGGGCAGAGGGGGCATCAGAGAGACAGGCCAGGGTGCCCCTGCTGTGCGCCAAGGGGTTGAATGAACAGGATCTGCTGCTTGAAGGTCAAGTCAAAGCCTAGTGGACCCAGCACAGGCTTGCGGACTGAAAAGGGCTGGGAAGCTGACACTCCTCTGGGCTCCACTGCACTGAGAGCCACAACAATTCACAGCAAGTGGGTCCTCAGGCCAGGATCTTCCAGGGGTTCAGGTAGAGCAGAGGAACCCCTCACCGCCCCCCCGTACAAAATAGGCAAAATCACCACCAGCGGTCCCAGCATCCGAGCGGACTAAGTTCCCCAGGGGAGGGGGGGCTAACAGAATTAGTGCATAGTGGCACTGTCCTACCTCCTAAGGAAAGCTGAACCAGGTAATGAACCCCAAAGCAAATCCCGCCAGGGGCTACCTAATGCCTGCCCAAGCATTAGGTCCTGCCTGCCCCTCCCCACCTGGAAGGCTCCGTGGAGGTTGTAGTCCAGGGACAGGATGAGGTCCACATCTCGGGTGGGCTGCAGGAGGGGAGGACAGCTAGTGTTGATGAGGTAGCCAACATCCAGCAGGCAAAGATGGGGTTCCATGGGTGTCAGCTGGTTGGGGAGCCCATCCAGTTTGGTAGCTGCAAAGGGGTGGGGTGGGAGAATCAGCAACTGTCACCAAGGGCCCCAGGCTTTTCCCAGCCCCTGCTCTCCAGGTCACTGGGCTCAAAGGGTGTGGTGCCAAGAGAAGGGCCATGGGCAGTGGGTTGTGTGCACCCAGAGCCCCAAGGCTCAGGCCACCACAGGACACTGGAGAGCTGGGACCAGGGCAGAGGACCCCAGTACCTTTCCAGGCTGAGAAGTGAGGATGCTGGAAATAGTCCTGGTGGAAATGGAGGCCATGCAGGAAATTGTGGGTGGCTTGGGCAAGTGGGCGCCTGGTCAGGAGGTCAGTGAAAAACTCAGCGATTCTGCCAGCAGTTGTGGGCGGCTCTTCCATCTTCAGCTGGGGAACCTGCTCCTTGTCTGCACAGGTTGGGGAGAGGGTGGGGAATGGGGTGTCTGTCAGGATATGGGGACCCTGGAGAGGGAACTGATGAGAGCCACCTCCACTGCGCCCCAAAGCCACTCCTAACTGAAGGAGCCCAAGCACCTACCTAGGCTGGCCCGATTCTGGGCCCAGCGGTCCCAGAATTGGCTGGGCTCTGAAGCCCAGTACAAGCTGTCTTGGAGGCTGGCCGCATACAGATTGCTCCAGATTCCTGAGAGAGAGTGAAGTGAAGGAAGAGTCCCCAGCTGCCATCATAACCTGGTCCATCCTGAACCAGGAAACTCCCCCCATTCTCCAGCCTTCTAGACACCCTCACCTTCCAAGAAGCAGATGCGGGATTCGGGGAGCTGCTTCACCAGTCGCCCCATGAAGAACTCAGATCCGAAGAGCTCAGAAGGGATGAAGGCCCCATACTTGGGAAAGCCTACCTCGTAGGGGGAGAACTCGCACCACTCTGGGGGGGGAGACCACACACTTTGGCTGTGGGACCTGGGGACCTCACACACCCACATGGGCTTCACTTTAGGGCAGCCTGGGGACCAGGCTTGTCACTGTGACTTTAAGCACAAAACCTAATAAGGCCCCTGTCCCCAGCCCAAACACTTGAGGGGCCCTGGAAGGAAGACTGTCTCTAGGACCTAGCCCAGGAGAGAGGGGGGTGAGGCCTACCTCCCACACGCAGGCTTGGTTTAAACCTTGCCCTACCACCCACAAGAGCACAATCTCAGCTCTGGGGCCACTCACCACCAAATTCAAAGGTGCTCAGACTCTGTGCCTTGGTGTTGAGGGCACAGTAGATGGGCAGAGGGTTCTGGCCACGACTCAGGGCCTCCCGTTGATCTGAGAGTTTGTGGTCATGGGGCTGGAAGAAAGAAGACAGGAATGTAAACTATGGCTTCCTGGTGCCTAGAGTCACCGGAGGACAGACCTCATTTCACACCTGCCCTTGCTCCCTGCTCCTCCCCGCCCCCAGGGTCTACCCCTCCCACACCTCATCGTGCAGCAGTGCCTCATTGATGAGAGCCCACAGGTTGGTGAAGCAGGGTGGGTGGCCCAGGCGGGTGCGCTCAGCCAGCTCCTGCCGGTACCGGTGCAGCTGACTGGGGGCCAGTGCACCCAGCTTGCTCTTTGTCACCTGGGTCTTCAGCAACTCCGTGGGCCCCACCAGGTCCTTCTGAGACCAGTCTGGGTCCTCGTACAGGTTAGCCAAGGCCCTGGGAAAAGCGAGGGGTGGAGGAAATGCTGTCTCTTAAGGACTGCACAAGTCCTAGGCTTTTTCTTCTATGTTAACAAGCAGGCAGGACCTTCCAGGCTCCCAGGAAGCACACTTCTTCCTAGTGTGCTTGCCCAGCCTTACCACCAGCCCTCCCTCCCATGCCCAACCAGCCACCCGTAGGCTCCAGCACTCGACCAGCTCACCAGGTGGAGCCTGAGGCCCCCGTGATATACGAGATGCAGTCCAAGAGGCCCAGTTCCCGCAGGCCTGCCAGGTGCCCATATAAGGAAGTCATTGCCCGGATCCCACCGCCAGTGGCCATAACAGCTACTACTGGGACCTGGAAGAAAGGACAGCTGGGCTCAGAGAGGCCTGACAGATGGAAAAAGCCACCCCTCCAGGAAGAAGAGGTGACCGGCCAAGATGTGATCAGAGAGCCGGGTGCCAGTGGCTCACACCTGTTATCCTAGCTACTCAGAGGCAGAGATCAGAAGGACTGCAGTTCAAAGCCAGCCCAGGCAAACAGTTCACGAGAGCCGACCTTGAAAATACCCAAATACATTAAAAAAAATAAAAGGGCGGAGTGGCTCAAGTGGTAGAGTGTGTGCCTAGTAAGCCCTGAGTTCAAACCCCAGTAACACCAAAATAAAGAAATGTGACCAGAGGGTCAGGTGTGACAGTGCATGCCTATAATCATTTATGAGACAGATCAGAAGGATCATGGTTTGAGGCCAGGCCAGGCAAAAAAATTAGTGAGACTCCCCCCCCTCCCACATCTCTATAACTAATAAACCAGGCGTGGTGGGATATGCTTGTAATCCCAGCTACGGGGACCTAGGTATAAGGATGGTGGTCCGAGGCTGGCCCTGGGAGAAAATGTGAGATGAAAAATAACTCAAACAAAAAAGGGCTGGAGGCATGGCTTAAGTGGCAGAGCACCCGCCTAGCAAGTGTGAAGACCAGAGTTCAAACTCCAGTGCTGCCAAAAAAAAGGCCTCCAAGGACTAGAAAATGACCCAATGAGTGCCAAGCCTCCTTCCCCACCCCATCCCCCACCCTAGGGTGCCTGAACCCACTTTCTGGAGGCCTCAGTCCAACTCAAAAGTCTCCCAAATAACCTTTTGTCCTGCTTGCTAGAAGTTATTCCTCTAGGAGAGGACCCAGTCTGTCCTCACCCCACCATGTCTGCCTCACTCCTCAGCACCCAGCCCAGTCTCAAAATCTGGGCCAGGCGGAAGGCCAAGAAACTGAGAAGGAAAGTCATCCTATGGGCAAATTCTTGTCTTCAAACAGCTCTGTATGAAGCCCCTGACAACATAAAGTGAGAGGAAGCAGAGCAGGGCAGGCATGAAGGAGACAGCTCCAAGCCGGGGTTGGCCAGCTCTGGACTGCTACAAAACAACCCCACCCAGTCCTGCCCAGCCCCCAGACCTCGTCCTCACGCAGGTCTCCTTCCAGCTGCAGGGCCTGCTTCAGGGCCTTGGCCACCACCTGCTTTCTCTTGCTCAGGAAGGCCTGTTCCTCAGGGCAGGGCCCACAGCCCAGCCGCACAGCAAGGTCCCTCTGTCTGGGGAGAAGGAAGAGACCCCAAAGCAGCTCTCAGCCCCACCACTGAATGGGAAGCTGGGTCTGATTGCCAAGCCACGACCCTCACCACCACTGGCCTGTGCAGACTCTGAAGTGTGAAGGGGAGAGAGTGAGCCCAGACCCACACAGGGACATAGGTATTGGACCTCAGTAAAGCAGACTCGCAGGCCTGACAACATGGGGACTGGAGAGGCACCCAGACCCCCAGTGCAGCGACTTGACTCTGCTGACCCCATCCCCAAGTCTTGCCTTCCCTCCCTTGCCCACACAACTCCAAGAATGATGACAGAAAGGGCAGGAGAGAAGGTCCAATGCCCCCACCTCTGCTGACACAAAGCCACACTCCCAACACTGGGAGGGCTGATGGACAATCCCTCTCAGGAGGGTCACTCAGGGCCCACCCACAACAGCTTCCACCCAAAGGAGCACCACTCCCCCCATCCCGCTTCCTTGCCCTCTCTGCTCCAAACCCTGGCACCACTCACCTCTCCATCTTAGTATGCAATGAGCTGCCCCTTGCCCCCATCCCTCCAGGCCAGATGCCCGACCTTCAGGCAGCAGCTCGTGCCTGGCTGCTTTCCTGTGGCTTTCCCATGCTCCACCAGGCCACTCACCCTTCTTCCTTCTTCAGTTCCACTCTCATCAGCGGCTCCTGGAAACCCCAAGAGCACTGGTCACTGGCCACTACCTAACTACTCCTCTCACCCAGCCCCAGTGTATCCCCAACCACCTTCACAGGGGCCACTCAGAGCCCGGCCTCAGCACTGTCCAGCATGTGGCCTGAGGACAGAATCAGCTGAAGCAGGCTGCCCTCTTCGAGGCCCTGTATGTGCATTCAGCTCTCCTCCACTAGGTGACCAGTACCTGGGACGTGGGGAAGACGAGTCTCACCAACTGGCCTGAGGGCAGGGCCTGCAGTGGCACCTTCAGTTGCTCCTGGGGGTCACCCTGCAGGGGGAGTGAAGGGAGGATACACAAGAGTCTTCACCTTTCTTTTCTTAAGAAAATATGGAACGCTTCACGATTTGTATGTCATCCTTGTGCAGGGACTGTGCTAATCTTGTCTGTATTGTTCCAATTTTAGTGTGAGTGCTACCAAAGCAAGCACCACCCTTACTCTCTTCGTGAGGATCCCACCAACTTCCCTGGAACCAACAGAGAATCAGTAGGGAGGGGGACAAGAGGCCAACATTGTCTACACGCACTGGGCCCAGGAGTAAGCCGAGACAAGGTTCTGGGGGAAGAAGGGTAGAAGTTTGGGGGAGAGATGGCTCCCGGGAGCGAGGTGCACTACCTGCAGATAGATACTCAGCTCCTGCTCCCAGCAGGCCAGGCAGTGGAAGCGGAAAGAGCCAGTGCCCACAGAGGCCTCCTGCGGACTCTCACAGGCCCCGGGAACCACAAGCCGAACTCTGCCCTCTGACCCTGGAAATAAGAACCACAGTAGAGAGGGTGGGGGTGGGCTCTCTGCCCATGGAGTCCCTCACAGTACCTAGAGGGCTCCTCCCTGTCCCCTTCGACAGAGCTGGCCCAGGCTGGGAGATGGAGTCCACACCTCCCCGACTAAAGACTAAAAGAAGCAGCTTGGGTCCTGGGGAGTCTCCCCACCCTTACTCCTGCCTTAGAGAAGTGAAGGCAAGGTCTCCTCCAGGGTTTCCTTAGAAAGGAGAAACATAAGGAATGAGGACAAAGGGCTGTCATAACAGATCAAGGACTCACCCTTCTGAGGCCCCATCTTTTCCAGCTGAACATGCAAGCAAGAAAGCTCCCGGGCCTGAAGGGTCAAGAGAGTCCTTCAGACATGAGCATTGCCTTTTCAGGAACCCCACCCTCCCAGCATCCTGGTTCCTGCTCAACATTTTGTCACCTCGGTCCTTAGTCACCGATCATTTGCTGGTGGTTTACTCCCTAAGAGTCCCAAACTCTGCTTATCCCAACCCAAGCAGCAGGAGCCCAGGCTTCAGGCCTGGGAAGCAGAGCAAGAAGATGGCACACGAGGAGCTCCTCGGGGACTCACCAGCCACCCCAGGGCACTGTTCCTCACTCACCACCAGGATGTCATTGCTGATAAGCTCCTCTGCACGGTCTGTCCTAGAAAGAGCCCCCAGTGACCTTTGACAAGAGTCTAGGCTTTCCCCAGGGCCCAGCTCTCCTCCTCCAACAGGAAGGATGCCAGCGTTGGTGGCTGGCAATGCCTTCCCAGAAGGAAGTGCTCCACTCCCACCTGGGACACCTGACTCACAGACTCTGCAGCCGAAACTCAACTTCCAGCCGCATCTCCTCCTAGAGGGAGAAACAAGTTAGGAAAAGTCAGGAGGAGCCTGTGTGTTTGTGTGCATGTAGACTCCAACCCAGTACCAGCAGGAGCTGCTGAGGTCACAGTGATTGGGAAGGGCCACTGTCTCTCTTCAGGTTGCTCCAAGAAAGCTGTCCCTTGGCTCAGAAGCCAAGAAAGAAGGCTGGAGACAGGACTGGTCTTCGGTGAAAAGTGCCTCCTAGCTGGCAGATGCTTCTGGGATGCTCGGGCCACTCACTGGGGAAGGGTGGGTCCCAGCTACCCTCCAAAGCACCTTCTGTTCCAGGTCAGAGAGCCCTCATTGTCCTGAGCAGTCTTGCCTGAGAGTTCAGTGAGAAACTCTGGTGCTGGGACTCTCCAGTTTGCAGGGTCCCCACGTCAAACAGCACTGATAACACAGGGTCATCTTGGGTCAACAGGTCCTGGTCAAAGACTTTCAGTTCCATGATATTCTGGAAAGGGAGCAGAGTGAGACAGCGGCTGCAGGAAGGAAGGATGGGAAGATAAGCAGGGCAGAGAACGAGGGGTTGGGAGAAGACAGGTGTCAGTGGGTGGATGGGGACAGAAAGCAGGGCTGGGTTTAACGCCTGGACACCTTGAGCTGGCTGTGAATTCGGAAGTGAAAGCTCTGATTCCAGACCGGGTTTCTGCTGTTCTTGACTGTGCGTGTCTGCAGCCTGTGGCTGGAGGCTGTGGGCAGCCACAGAGTCACATAGCAGTCAGAAGGGGTCACTGCAAGGAGGACAAATATCCAGTGATGGCTCAGAGCCCTTCCCAGCCCAGCCACCCAGAATTCACTTCCTTCTATCACCTGAGACCTGTGTCCACTGGGGTTGGGCCCCACTGCCACAATCCACCCAGAACCTCCTCCTAACAACCTCATCCAGAAACCTGCCAGCCCTGCCCTCCTCCTGTTCCCTCCCACTCTGAATCCAGCTCCCAACCCTGTCCTTCTCCCTGGGCCCAGCGCAGAGCCAGGGCAACAGTGTACACACCTAGGTCTTTGGAGGGCAGCCCATGGGCCTGCAGAACGCGCACAGTGAGCAGCCATGTCCCATGTACCTTTGCCTGTAAAGGGCAGGGGGCAGGTTTGCTGCAGGCGAAATGGGGCCGAAGTTGAAAGGGCAATCCCGCAAGGCCTAATAACATACCAAAGGATCAGGCCCACTCAGGCCCAGGTACACCCTCCACCCGTGACAATACTGACCTGACAGATTTATCTCCATCCTGCTGCCTACCCACTTACATAGGACTGTGCTTAGCCCACACCAAGGGTTCATTTGCTCATTTATCACACAACCCGAGGGTGCTATTATGATGATCAGCACCATAAGGAAACTGAGGCACAGAGAAGTAACCACCTGCCTGAAGCCTAACTGGGATTGAAACATAGATGGGCTACCTCCAAGTAACGCCACCCCCCCAACCCCCCACACACAGCAGCTGTTTCTATTTCTGGGTATCATTACCTTTAGTCTTTCCATCCACAGTCCCACTGCATACCCCAGGTGGCAGGGAATGTAAGCAGTTGAGGGGGAGGAGCACACCAGGGCCTTGGGCACCATGGGTGAGCTGCTGCCCATACCTCCATCCGATCCTGGAAATGGATCCTGTATGGTTGGGACAGCAGCTCCCATCCCAGACCACCCACAGACCATCAACCTCCAGGTCCTATGATGGTCTCCAGAGACCTCCTTCCAAACCCACTCACTCCTGGGATGTAGACATGGCTGGTGTGCAGAGCAGAGGAAACCTGTGCCAATGGCCCCTTTTGGTCTTCAGCCCTGCCTCCGGAAGGGTGCAGGCAGATCCAGTTCAGGGAGCTCCCAGGGTCAGGGGCAGAGCTGGGGAAGTGCATCTACCTGTGGCAGCCCTGGGGCTCCAACACCCAGCAACCAAACCAGAAGCAGCATTGAACAGCCATTTTTCTTTGAGGTCCCCGGACTGCAGCTGGGAGCCTGAGTTCCCAAGGCTCCAAACCTGGGAGCTGGGCCTAGGGTCCATTCCCCAGGGTCTTGCCTCTCCCTGGCTTCTGCTCACTGTCTGATCCTGTGGCTGGCAAACATTCCTCTCTACACTTGAGCAGCCCACAGATTCACTAAGAAGCAGCAACAACCAGGTCTTGGATAGGCAGCTGGGTTGAAAGTGGGGACCCAGTGCCCTATGGGGTCTTACCAGAGCCATGAGGCCAAGTCCTCAGGAGCAGCAATGATGGCTACAGGACCAAGGACTGTAGGCTTTTAAGCCAGAGCTAAGGTGTCCCAGCTGGTCATAAGCTCCTTCTTGGTCCCTCCCATACACCTCCTCCACTCCACCCAAGCCCCACACCCACCGATGAACCAACCACCTGCCCAGGAAATGAGGCACCTCAAGCCTATGCTGGAGTCAAAGACACCCTTGTGGGGTCAGTCCCAGGGCTGTGAAGTCCCACTCTCTGCAGCCTTCCCAGCTGCAGAAAGTCCTGATGTAGGGAAGGGGACTCCTAGAGAGCTTGTGGTGAAGTACTGAGCAGAAGCAAAGCAGAGTGGGCCTTACAGTAGCGGCGAACAGAGGAGCCAAGTGCCATGTTGTAGGCAGGGTCTTTCACAATTCCCAGTGCCAGTATGACAGGAATGCCGAGTCTTGACTGAAGCCCTGAGCAATCTAAGATGAGTACCTTAGGCCCCATCACAACCCAGTGGGGGAGTGGCTCTGTCACATAAAACAGCCCTTCAAAGCCCTTTCTAGCTGCCTCCGCCCTTGGAGCTAAGTGACCAGGGATGAGGCCTGTGGGCTGGTACTCAGGGCCAGGAGCTCGTCCTACTCTTCAGATGGGTGGGGAGGGAGGCTGAGTGTGAAGGCCAATTCCTTCCTCAGAGCAACAGCCCCAGGAGGGGCAGGGCTTCTGTCCCTTCCTGTCTGAACTTGTCACAGGACACATGGGGGTACCCCAGGGTACCAGACCCCACCAGCTGCCCTGGATCCAGGGGAGGAGAGCACACCAGGCTAGGGCAAAGCTAGGAATGGCGTTAATGGCTCTAAGCCAATGAGGTCCCAGTCAGGCAGTTACAAGAAGCCCAGGGAGGGGTTGCAGCAGACAAGTCAGCAGACAGGTCTTCAGGTCTAGATCTGGTACACCCCCCACCCCCAGAGTCATTCTGAAATTTTTTACCTGAGCCTCTAAGCCCTCATCAAGCCGAGGAAAGTAAGTGTGACAGAGAGTATCAGAACTAATGAATCACAGCTACCTTTTATTGATCACTTCCTCTCAGCTGGCCCATGCCAGTCCTTACAGGTATCATCTCCATCCCCAAAACAGCCCTGTGAGGTAGAACCATTATTATCTCTGCTTTACAGCCAGGACACTGAGGCCAACAGGTGGTGACTCCAGCAGGGTCACAGCAGCAGTGAGAGGCACTGCTACACCTGTTCCTTGTTCCTCCTTCCCTGTGTGGCAACTTCCTGGGCCCACACTCACCCAGACCTCCTGGTCCTCCTGACCACATCCCAAGATCCTCCAAGGCTGATCTCAATCCAAGCCAAACCATGGGCAGCAGTCAGCACATACTCTAAGTCTGTGCTGTCTCCAGAATCCTATCAGCCCCAAAGGGGCTCACACTTTTCCCACAGTTGTCCTCGGCAGTGTTCACCAGGGCTCCATCAATCAAGGCCAGCAGCTTTCGTGAGGGAGTCCAGCAGCTGGAAATAACTGTACTTGAGGTCATAGTCCATGTCGTACCAGAAATTCACTGTGGGGAGAACAGGGGCCTGACCATGAAGGTCCCTCTTTCACACTAGAGTCTTCCAACCTCCCCCGGTGCTCCCCAGGGCCTCGTCAGGGCCTGTCCCTGGGTAGCTTTGGCGCTCCTCACCAGCAATGCAACCATGGGACTGCTGGACGTGATGGAACCACAGGGCCGGCAGGTAGAGCAACTCGCCAGCCCGCACGGTGCAGTGAAGGGCCTGGGCCTGACTATAACTGGGGTAGCGGACCAGGTCTGGAGCCAGGGGGTCTAGTGGGATCCAGGGTACCTAGGGACAGAGCAGCAGATGCCAGGGCACAGATCCCAAGGCCTCAGGCCCTCCAGCTTTGTCCCTTCCAAAGATAAATACCAGGGACCCTGCTCCTTGCAGCACGGAAAGGCCTCAGACTTAGGAACTTTTCAGAGTGAGACACCATCTCCCCAGACCTTTTGTGCCTGCTCCTCAGGGCCCAGGTTCTTGCCCCTTCCCCCAGCCCAGAAACAGGACAGACCTTCTCCACGGCTTCTTCGTCCACCACCTTAAAGGTGCCCTCCTCAGTTAGCTGGTAGGTTGCCGGTGTGTATAGCTCTGAAGTCCAAGGGAGAAGCGTGTTGGGAACCTCGAGTGGCCTGTAGCTTTTCCTCCCCAGCCCAGCCAGCCCACATGCTCCCTGGATGCAGAGACCACAGGATTGAGAGCCAGATGCAGCTCAGCCTCAGGCCTGGACACCAGCCTGCCTAGAGCTCTTGCTGCACCACAGGCCACCTGCTCCCCAGCCCCTCAGATCATGTCCCTTACCATAGGGGATAAAGGGCCGATCGCTGGGCGGATGTAATAAGAAGTGCTTCTCCCCAGAGACCACACAGTACAGGTTCTCATAGTGGTCCTTGTGCACTGTCAACACAAGAAGGTCTGCGGCAGGGTAGGGAGGAGCAACCTACCCTGCTCACATCCCGTACCCCAACACTCCCTATGATAAAAGGAAGAGCTCAGGAAAGGTCAGCAGGCTTGAGGAGACATGAAGGACTCTGGCAGACATTGCAGAACTTGTCCTGCCAGGGACTGGATGCTAGCCAGGCCTTGGGCTCACCTCCCACAGGAGGGGAAGTGGAGTCAGCAAGCATTTCCTAAGTCTCTCCGCCCACACTATCTAGAAGAAATGGTGCACCCCAACCCCAATGCCATGGCAACCCCCCTTAGCTGTCAAGAGAGACCCTCTGTGGTGTCTGACTCCCAGAATCCCAAAAGAAATCTGAGGCCCAACCCTCCACTTCTCTGCTTATCTTCCCTTCCTCCGCCCACCAGCTCCTTCCCCATCTCTGCAATCCCCACACCTACAGGATGTCACTGCAGCTGCCTCCCCCAGCCAGAAGTTCACAGCATCGGGCATCTTTCCTGTAGAGCAAGGTGAGTCAGGAAGACCAGGCTAGGCACAGCCCACACAGGAATGCTGAGCAAAACCCTGGAGAGAGCAAAGGGATCCCAGGACTGGGGAGAAGAGGAAGAAATTGGGAGCGTCCCCTGGAGCAAAAGAAGAGCTGCCTTTTCAGTAGCTCAGTAGTTATTAAGTCAAGGCCTGGGGTGGGAGGGTGGGAAGCACCAGGCCTGCACCAAAGGGAGAAAATAAGCAAGCAGGCTGGCTGTACCCTTCCTTCCTGTAAAAGCCCTGAGGGGCCTACAGGCTCAAGCTACCTGCACCTCCCCATCCACCTCTACTCACCCAGCGCCTCAGAGGCCCAGGGGACATGGGGCTGGAGATCAGAAAGCAGTTGAGGCAGCTCAGTGGGCAGGTTGGAGCACTGCTTCTGCACGTACAGGACTCCTGGGTGCTGGGCCTGGCCCTCCAGCACATCCAGCACACAGCTCAAGGGCAGCCGGCGCTCGGCAGGCATCACAAAGCGGTCTCCTCGCACAGCATCTGCATAACCATCCGGAGTCACAGCCACACTCACCTCCGTGGAGCCCACCGTGGCTCTGGAGAAATGGACACTTGGTTCATACCCAACAGCCAGTAATCACTGCCCACCCACCACTCCAGGGAAGCCTCTACCTTAAGTAGGGAAGGGACCACTTTTGGAGGGCCGGCCAGTGCTGCAGGGCATTGCGGATGATGCACGGCCTGTTGGGACACACCCAGTCCCGGTAGAAGCAGAGTGGGGTAGGGGGCTCATCCAGATAAGGCACAGCAAGAGGCACACTGAGCTCTGAGGAAGAGGAAAGGGAGGGGGAGTGTGGGCCGTGGCTGAAGGCAGCAGCCTCCTGCCTCTGCCCCACTACCTACATAAGAAATGTCCTTCCTGTGAAGGCCACTGAGCAAGGCCCAAAGGTGATCGAGAGACCCCAGACATCAAGACTAGAAGTGTGAGGAGGAAAAAATCAGCCCATAACCCAAATTCTCTACGGGACTAGGTGGAGACTTCCCATCCTGGAGTGACCAACCTCCCAGCAGCTGGTAGAAAAGGGAGCCACTGAGAGGGTGATGGGAGGTCCTGAATGAGTAGAATCAAGGTCCCAAGACCATGGCCTGGTCTGGGTGAGGCAAGGCTCTGGGAAACCCCATCCAAAAGTGATCCTTGTTGAGCAGCTGGCCTGGCCAGTGTGGACACCAGTGGATCAACCAGTCATCACCTCAAGAAACTTATGAACTACCTGGAGAGACAAACCGACAGATGCCAAGAGCTGAGCTGTGTTTCGGGTATCCCTATACCTGGCGTCATTAGACACCCAGGGCCACTTGGGTGTTCGTGCAGCATGCCATCTGTGCCAAGGCCCACAGTGGCCCTGTGTCACGCTTAACTGAAATCTTTTCTTGTTGGGGTATCCTTCTCCCTCGTTCCTGTCATCCTATTAATTGTGTTCCTGTCATCCTATTAACTGTCTCTGAGTCCTGCTGATTCTACCTTCTGTCTCTCAAAACCACCCTGTCTGCTTGGGTCCGAATTCAAATGTACATTGATGATGATCCCCGATCAAACTTTTTAAAATTTTAATCTGCCCCCTATTTTTTTCTCCTTAGTATTTACTATCGTCTGATGTGCTATGTATTTCACTTATTTACACTGTGGGTCTGCCTTCCTTGCCAGAATAAAAACTCTATGAGAACAGGCAGGGATGCGTGTCTGGTTCACTGATGCATCCATCCCTAGAATAGTATCTAGCACAGAGGAGCTGCTCAGCAAATATTTGCTTAACAGCTGAAGGCAAGTCCTCAACATCCTGCCGCATAGGTGCAGACATGAAGGGATGATTTTCCTGGCTTAATTCCTCTCTCTCTCACAGCATCCAGCAGCTGGTCCCAGTCATCTGAAAATAAAACCCCAATCTTGTCTTGCCCCTAGCGAATAAGCTTTTGATGGGTCACCAGCACTCCTTACAGAATACAGTCTGCCCTGGCACACATCCAAGGTGCTCCAATATCAGGCCCAGCTTCCTTTTCTGTTGGATGTGCTCCTGATTGCCTACCCCTTATCATACACCCTCTACACAGGCAGTGCCTGGCTTTGCTCCTGCTGCTCACTCAGATTGGGATGCCTCTCTCCTGACTTTTATGAGGGCGCAGGGCTTCACTTGGTTACTTTCAACCTTGAGGTCTACCCAAAGTACCTTGGCTCCAGCCAGTGGTTATTGCAACCTGCTCCCAGTGGCCACAGCACTCATTTTCACCTCTGAGATCACAAACTCTCTCTCCTGGCTGTGCCTCCACACTAGTCATTCTTGCCACCAGTGAAAAACTGAATGTCTTTAAATCAGAAATTGGAACCAGGTAGGAAGACTCTGGTGGACATGGGAACACTGAAAAGGAAAGAGTTGGCTAAGGACAAGAGGAGACCTGCCAAGTAGACATGGGAGAGAGGAAATGCCAGCTCCTCAGACCAGTCACTTTGGGAGAAAGTGAGCAGGGCTACTATGTCCCTATAGTACCTGTAGGGATATTACTTTTATGTAGTGCTGGGGATTGAACCCAGGGCTCTGTACATACTAGGTGAACACTGAGCTACACCCCCAGCCCTGGATGCTTAAAATTTGTGGAAACTGCCTTTTACTTATCCTTTGGATTTTCTACAATTATGTTAATTGTCCTTACTCACCATTTCCTTCAGAGAATGGCTACTTTCTCAAATGGGGTTTCAAAGTGAAAGAATTTCATTTTAAAAAATCCAAACAATTCTTTTGACACAACAATTCTGCTAAGAATTTAATTGACAAGAATATTCACACCCAAGAATACTGCTCCAGGTACACTGGGTTCCCACTGTTCCCAGACGTGAGGTGCACTCCCACCGACAGCTCTGTTGGTCCCACACCTATCTTCTAACTGCTGTTTGATTTATATGTTTACTGTGCTGGTGGCTGTCTGCCTCCTCATTCAGACTGCAAGCTCTATGAGGACAGAGATTTCTTTTGTTTGTTTAGTGATGTGTCCTAAACACTGAACACAGCCTGACAGATAGAGGTATTTAAAAACTATTGGTTAAAGCCAGGCATGGTAGTTCATGCCTATAATCCCAGTGATTCAGGAGGTGGAGACTGGGAGGACTGAGATTCGAGGCCAGCCCAGGGAAAAGGTTAGGGAAGCCCCATCTCAATAAAGGTGTGGTGGTACAAGTTTATAATCCCCCAGGTATGTGGGAGGCTAGCAGTATGAGGCCTGCCCAGGCAAAAAGCGAGAACCCTATCTAAAAATAACCTAAAGCAAAAAGGGCTGGAGGTGTGGCTCAAGTGGTAGAATGGAAACACAAGGCCCTGATTCCATTTCAAACCCCACACTGCCCCCAAAAAACTAAAAAACAGTTAAATGAATGATTAAGTAGTCACTATAGTAATACTGAAAACAAGAGATTGGAAATGACCTCCATGCCTAGCAACAGTGGGCTGGGTAGGTAAAGTACAGCACTGGCTCACAGGTGTGAAAAACATGCAACAGAGGGAAGTGGAGTGACCTTCAGGGCACAATGCAGAAAAGTGCAGTTAGAAGGCAACCATTTGTACAAAACAGGGAGTAAAGAGTGTGTGTGTGTGTGTGTGTGTGTGTGTGTGTGTGTGTACGGAATCTATGCAAAGAGGAGCCAGCGATGGGAGGGAAGCTCACTTTATTTACATTATGTACAGATTGCCTGAACTGCAGTTCACTGGTAAGAAATCCATTTTAAAACAAAAAGGACACAGTGTGGTGGTGCACACACATCACTAAACGAAGGTTGAGACAAGAGGACTGAGTTCCAGATCAGTACTGGCTATGTAACAAGACCATATCTAAAAAAAGGTGTGTGTTTGGGGGTTGGGGGGGGTGGAATGGTGGAGTGGCTTTTTTCCAGGTAATGGAAAAAAGAAGGAATGAGAAAGGGAGCAAGGAATACAAGAAAATAAAACCTGGCAGGGGAAGAACCAGGTCAAGTTGAACAGATACCTATCAGCCTCCTTTCAGCAAGGATTCAAAGGGAACCTACCACCACCTGGGATGTCCCAGAAGTACAGGGGCACACACCACCTTGGTACTCAGCACAGGGCTGGCTTTGGGAACACAGGATGGCACCACTGAGGCAGGACAGATCAGGGAAAATGAGGCGTGGGAAACAGCAGGCAGGAATTCAGAGATTAAACACTGTGTTAATGAATGCCCTGATTAAAAGCATATAGTCACTTTTTTAAAAAAGTAATCTTTGCTTTGAGCCTTGTACTCCCTCAATAAGCTGCAACATAAAGTAAAAAGCAAGGAGAGAGAAAGAAAAAAAAAAAAAGGCAGCTCTTTCCCTCCACCTTGCCTGTTTGCTCAAATAATTAGTGAGCTCTGGGAACTGAGCAAGGATATCTTAAAAACACTTAGCCTGGGAAAGACTGGCTGTGAAAATGACTCCTATGGGCACAAAAAGTGTTTGCAAAGAAAACCACTTATCTCAAGGACAGACACCTATCTAAGAGAGAGCATCTAGCAGAACCCATACTTTGTTTAAAGGGATGCTTGGGCGTCGTGTCCCAAATTTAGTACACAGACCAACCTTGAAATCTCTGAGTTCAACTGATAAAGCAGTGTAGTAAAAATGACCAAACGTGCTCGCTTCCGCAGCACATATACTAAAATTGGAACGATACAGAGAAGATTAGCATGGCCCCTGCGCAAGGATGACACGCAAATTCGTGAAGCGTTCCATTAAAAAAAAAAAAAATGACCAAACGTCAGAATAAAGGGGATGGGCGGCACCAATCCTACGGTAAATTTAAGCCGCAGGCCCCCAACCCACATTTTTACCATAAATACCCGATGTCGGAGCACTCCTTGCACCTGTTATTCGATGTGCCCGCACCCGTGTCTGGGTTGTGACCTGTCCTTTGCGTTGCTAATAAACTTTCTTGGTCTCTACCTCAGTATATTCTAAAATTTTTTGCGACTTCACCAACTCGGTACCTAAGGACCAAGCAGAACCTCCACGGCTTTGGAGACTTCCTCCCTGTAACGTCGCCGGCGCAGGGAACCCCACGACCACGGTCAGGACCGCACAGGACCTTGCAACGCGGGCATCGGGCGCCCCGCGAAGCCATGAGGGCGTGCGACCGCTGGGGCGGGGAGCTGAGACCCGCTCGCCGGCCGGCGGAGGCCGTGACAGAACGGCCCAAGCGGGGCCACCACCCGCCCGCACGAGCGCCAGAGCCCGTCCCGCGCGGCCCCGCGAGCCCACTCACCCCGGGCCGCCTCGGGGAACGCTCGTAAGGCTCGCCGCACTGCGTCCAAAGCCGCCTCCGCCATGACGCCGCCGGCAGAGGCCCCGCCCCTCCCCCGCCTTCCGCGAGCCGGTTGTTCCGGGATTCACGCGGTGAAACGAAAAGCGGCGTTTTTTCTCGCCGGCCCGGTTTGCTGGCATCCCAATTAAGAAATGATTGTTTATTGACGAGTTCATACATCAGTACAAACGGACACATTAAAAACAGCCCCCGCCCCGTGCAGGCGGGGAGCAGACAGGCGCCATGGCTGGGACAAGGTATAAAAGTTATAAATAAGGGGTTTTCAAAACTGGGCGGGGCAAATCCGGACGGGGTGGCGGTTGCTAGTGGCCTCAGACATGCAGAAGGGGACTGGGCGCCGACCTGGCCTCAAGACCCCCACCCATGCTGGGCAGGAGTAGGGCAAGGGCGGCCTTTTCCCCACAAACCTTAGCAGGAATATAGCTCCCTCTTCCTGAAGGGCAGCCTGACTAATAAGGATCGCTAAGAACCTGGCTGGGAGTGGGCAGAGGGAAACCTGAGCCTCATTTGCGGTGGGCTGTGGCTGGTGTGCAGGCACAGCTGGAGTGGATGTCTAACCCTCACACAGGCAGTGCTGCGGGGGTGGAGGGGGGGTGTCCACCCTAGCTACTAGAGTTTTTGGGGCCACGATTTTGAGTTTGGCCTGAAGTGTTAGAAGTGGGAGGTGTAGTTTTGGTCTGCTTAGGGAACACAAGCTGAAGCAACAAAGCTGGGCACTCTCCAGAGCCCCAGTATCTTTAAAGCCTCTGCCTACAAACCTTGCAACCACTTGAACAGGCTATTGAAACTGGTACAGGCCACCCTACCTTACCTGGTACAGCGAGAAAGGGGAGGGCGGGGAGACACGTTTTTCACCCCAACTCTGCAACAGTTACTTCACTACTTAATCCTATCCTGCAGCCTCCTATGCCCTAAACTTCCGCTCAACCCTAACAACTGCCCCGCTGATTCTAATCTATTCCCTTACCTCTGCCACTTACCTGTCCTACCTACCATCTTTCCAATGTGTCTCTTGGCCCCTGCACCTCCTTCTCCACAATCTCCAGTAGCCAGAGCACCCTTAGGCACCCAGCACTGCTCGTGAGGAGGTTCCTTCTACCTGAATTGTGCCCTATGGCTAGCTCATATGAGCTAGGCTGTGAACACCAACAATCCAGAATTTGGATTTAGTGTGCTCCACTCCTTTTCATGCTTCTTGTGTGAGTTCCACATAAGCCAGAGTAGTAAAGCTGAGACAGAATGTGAGGAAACCAGGCACACATCAGCCAGCTAGGTACTCTAGCAGTGAGCACTCAACTGTGTGTTTGTGATTTCATCAGTGGCCAAGGTCCTCAGAACATGAGCCGGCGCCCTGTAAACCATGAGGGAAATTCTAGCACAGGCTTCTGACTGAACATTGCTCACGATGCAGAGAGAAGTTGGTGGCCCCTAGGACTTCAGCAACCTGCTGGAGTCCAGGGGAAGCCAAGGGGCTGAGGAAAAGAGACCAGGGCTTCCTGCTTGCCCAGCAGAGGGCTTTACTGTCCCGCAGCAATGTCCCACGGCTGGCTCCACAAGGGCTGGCCAGGAGAGAAAGGGGGTACTGGGGAAGAGACAATTCGAGGGCCCTGCTGAGGGGAGAGTAGGATTGGAATGTGGGGCTCAGTTCCTGACGCCAACTCTTCTGATGGTGGGGATGCCCTGGAGGGCCAGGCAGCTCTGCCTTTTTAAACTGCTAGAAATAGGGGGAAACAAGCCCTGCTATGTCAGCCAGGGGAGTGCAGCTGGTGTGGGAGGGAAGGGAAGTAGAGGTGAACATACAGTTGGTGGAAGGGCACTAAATACCCCATCACCTCTCACCTCTACTCCACAGAGTACCCTGTGTATGCTCCACCCCAGGGAGCCAATCCCTGAAGTAACTTCAAATGGCTTCTAAGAAGAGAGGTCCAGCCTGTCCTGGTGTCCCCCAGATGAGGCAGGCTGCCCTCCTACCCCTCACAGCACCAAGATGACAAAGACCCAAGACCTACCCCTGGCCATGAGCCACTGGAGGTGGTTCAGAGGCAGGAGTTCCAAGGAAGTGAGGCAACAGTCAGGGAAATAAATTAATAAATACAAGGGCACCATGAGGAGCAGCTGGGAAAGCTGCTTTGCCTCTGAGCACTGACCCCTGCTATCCACTCCACCAGTGCTTGCAGGTTTTGGTGAGTGGAGGAGGGGCTACAGTCTGGAATGGGGGGTGGGGTGCGCATTCACTTGGACAGGTTACTGGAGCTCAGAGTCTGCGTTCCATGCGCCGCTCCACAGCTCGAAGCAACAACTCTGAGTATTGTTCTAGCAGGGCCTGTGTTTGCTCGGCTCCCACAGCCCCAGGACTCCCGCCTGGGCTGGACAGCACAGCCCCAGCCAGGGCTTCTAGCTCCTGCCGCACTGAAGAGAAGGTGTCTCTGAGGAGCTGTGTAATGTGACTTTGCTCTGCTGAGGGCGTCTTACAGCTGGCCACCTGCAATAAATGAGTTGGAAGAACAGTGAATGGACCTGTTAATGGTAAATGGACCTGTTAATGGCTGTATGAAAGAGAGGGACTCCATCTGGTTCTAGCCTGCTCCAGAAGAAGGGACTGACTGGGAGTTCCACACTCTTAAGATCCAAAGTGTAACTAGGAGATATGAGATGCAGGCATCCTGGTAGGTAAACCAGCAGAGGATCCATTCAGATTATAGAACCATCCGCATCTTGTTAGCCATTCCCCCAACAACTCACGAGGCTACACTTTCTCTTCAAAACTTAGGCTCTGTTGGACTGTACCCTATCTCTAGAGTAGCCAAATAATTTTTAGTTATGAAAAGGGACATATTTAATAATTACACTGGAACATCAGGTATAAACTCGAATTGTCTCGAGCAGACTAGGACATGATGTCTCTCCATGCCCCACCTTCCTGTCTGAGGCAGTTTCCAGCTCTTAACCAGAAATGACCAGTAGCTGTCCTATGCAAAAGGCCTCTAACCCTCTCACCTATTCTGCCCAGGATGCTGCTGAGTGCTCCACCCTCAGTGGAGGAGCCCTATCATTATTGCTCTAAACACTCGGCTGTCAAACACTGACAGGTTCTGTCTTCCTCTCCCTCTAGTTGGTGCCCAACACTCACCAAGTGGTAGAGCTGCACAGCCTGGTGCACATTCCCACGCAGTTCTGCCACAAGTTGTTCACACTGCTCTAGGTTCACAGTGGGTTCTGAGAGGGACAGACACCGCTTGGTGAGGCTCAGCAAACTGATCTTCCAGGCCTCCCCGCCCAGGGGTGCTAAGAGTAGGAGGGGCCTAACCCTCAGCACTGTACCCCCACCTGCCCTAAGTCCCTTCTTCTTATCCCCTTCCAACACCCTAACAGCACATAGGTTCAGAGGAGAGGGGCAGCCCCAGGGTCCAGAAGGCACTGGTGGGGTAAGTGGGTCACAAGGAGGTCATGAAGGTTGGCAGGAGTGTCTCACCATCAGAGGTGTGACTTATGGACCAAGACAGGAGCAGACAGGACGAAAAACGCCAGAGGCTGGACACACAGAAATGGGATGGAGCCAGAGAGCGGCCAACAGAGACGGGAGAGAGAGGATAGGGCAGGAGATGAGAACTGGAGAGCTATGCACACCTGAGTCCTGGCTCAGGGCTGCCCCTGGCCTGGTGCATTCCATGGGGTTGGGAGTCTTCTCAGGGGATGGGGACTGCAATTTCTCAGGGCCTTGGAGGAGGCTGCTGACCGGCAGTTGCTGGGTACAGGGGCTGCTGGACTCAGGATGAGCCTGGCACTCTATCCTAGGTTTGGAAGTGAAACCCTTTACCCCACAGGCCCGCCTTTCAGATGTACTGTGAGCCTTTCTTAAGCCCACTGTGGTGCCAGGCTGTTCTGCCTCACCCAGGGCCTGGCCCTTGGTTGTAGGTGAGAATGTGGCCAGGGTAGGACGGTCAGGCAGTGGTTTGGGGATATCCAAGACTAAATGAGCACGGCTGGGCAGGGCTGGCTTGCTGAATGGAGAGATTCGGATGGAGGCAGGAGCTTGAGGTTCAGTCACCAGGCCCAGGTTCTCCCCAACAGAAATGCTGCGGGTTATCTTGGCCTTAGAACTGGTGGTGGGGTTCTGGTAGGAGTGGGGCCGAGAAGAGCGGCCATCAGATGGGGGCAGGGAGCCCAGGCCATTCCAAGCTTCCATCTCCCGTGAGAGCAATGGGCTTAAACAAGGCACCTCATCTGCAGAAGAGATGGAGACTTATGCAGGTCAGTGTTGAGGAAGGCATCCCAGATAATATGGCTCAATCTCTAGGAGTTACTCTTTTCCTGCACATGCCCACTAAGGGACAGCTAGTGACAAGTTCAATAACACACCAGGACCACACTATGCCCACCTTTCTCCAATATACCCAGCTGTTCCACACTTCCCACCCCCGAAGCTGAGTCCAGCAGGTTCCTCACCCTGTGGTACTAGATTGTGCACAGACTGGGCTTTTTGGAGTCCAGCTAAAGGGGTGGCCATGGCCGTTCTCTTGGGGGCCCAGCTGCTGTCCAGGTTGTTACGGCGGCGTGGCAGCAGCACAGGGACTGCCTGCTGGGGGCTTGGGTTGCCAGGGGAAGCCTCCGGGGGTGCTCCTGGGGGGTTGGCACCACTGCCTCTCAGCTGCTCACCAGATGCCTGTGGCACCTGGACAGGTCTTGACATCAGTGCCAGGCTTGAGGAGGATGGGGATGGTTCCCTACAGGCAGGAAATGTAGAAGAAGGCCCAGAGAAGGCTCAGTGTTTCTCCCACCAAGATGGCAAGTAGCTCTCATAACACCAGAGAAGCTCTAGGAGAACACAGGCACAAAGCCAGACAGGGTTGGGTTGAGGCCAGTGGTCCTAAAACTAGAAGTGCAAATCCCCCTGGTTAGGGCTGCATGCTGTGCCAAAAGTAGGAACACTGGGAGGACAGCAAGCCATGCTGTTGTTGGGAGCAGCCTCTGTACCTGAGTGGGGGGTTTTGAACTTGTAATAAGAATCGTGAAGAAATACTCCGAGACTCTGTCCTCTCTGGGACCCGCACTGGACCTCCTATCAGAGACATAGAAATTGTGAAGTGAGGCAGAAGTCAAGCCTTTGCCCCAGATTCTACCTCCCCTAGGAGGAAACCCCAAGGTACTGCCCACTCAACCCTCCCTCTTAGCTAGGCAAGGAGGGGAGGAGGGCAGACTACAGTGACTGAACTGCTAGGCCTCTGACCACACCTGGAGCAGCCCCATTGGCCAGAGTCTCGAAGTGCTGTTTTAGAAACTGCTCCTGGTCTGGGGTATGAGGGCTGCCTTCCTGTAGCCCATAGAGGCCAGTGCCTCCCTCCTCTTCCTCCTCTTCATCACCCTCAGGTGGCTCTTCAAGGTCTGAGGAGATGCCATCCACACTCAGGGGCTCTGTGCTTTCAGAGTCTGGATGAGGGAGAGGGGAAAACCGTCACACTGCACCCGTCTTCACCAGGGCCTTCTCCCCTGCTTTAGGGCCCCACACTTGGGCTGCAGTCTCACCTTCATTGGGGTGCTCAGGGCTGGAAAGGCGGCTGCTGCTATAATCCACAGAGCATGCACTATCAGGGCTGTGCTTTTCTAAGCTCCTGCTGCATGGGTACACTCTTCCCAGAGCTGCTCTGATTGGAGCCTGCACCTGGAACTCACTGCCAGGAAGGCCAGCAGGAGAAAGAAAGGGCAGTAAGCAAAGGAGAGCAACAGCCCCACTAGACTGCTGCCTGTGAGCAGGGCTAGGGATGATGTGGTGGTGAGGTGGCAGGCAAGCCCAGAGTGGCCCACGGGCTAGCCCTCCCCCAACTGAAAACACTCCAAGGGAAGGGAAGACTGAGGGCTGCATGGCCCCAGGTGATCTGGCAGGGAAGGACCCTTGCCTGGTATCCATGGTGGGGCTGTCACTGGGCTCTGGATAGACAATGCCATCTTCAATGGGTGCAGGCTCCAAATCTTGGGCAAAGACCCCTTCCTCTTGCGACAACAATCGGATAATGTGAGGGCAGGAACAAGGCTGGGAAGCCTGAAGTTGAGAGGGCTTTTCACTCTGGGAACAACACAGAGGGCACTGAGGGTTGCTCATGTGAGAAGCAGGCCTTGGAGAAGAGATGCAGGTGGGCAATTTTCCAGACTTGGGAAAGCTGAACACTCCAAACTCTGAGGACAGACATCAGGAAGCCAGGCTAGGCTCCAAGTGCTATTGTGACCTTCTGGAAGAACTGTATTAGCACTCTGGTCTATTAAACTCCAGCTCCAATTAACAGCAAAAGTCTTCCAAGAAATGCTGCCCAAGGCAAAGGCCACCTTTGCCTCTCCATTCCAACCCCCTCTCCACCTACCCCAATCACCACACCATACACACTAGCCAGCCTTACCCTGACTTTGCAGGTGATCCATGTGCCACAGAGGCACAGCAAGTATAGTTGCACCCATGCTCAGGCCCCAGCTGCTGGTACAAGACTGGCTAAGTCTCCTTGGAGACTTCTAGAAAGCCGGGAGAAAGCTGGCTCACCTGTCTAGCTTGTGAGATCTCCGGGGCCTGCTGACCATATGTCCTAGGACAAGATGGGGCTACGGTCAGGGAGTCCTGGCTGGGGCCCTGAGGACTTGGGACCAGGGTCTCCAACTGCCGCAGGTCCAGCATGGAGCGAACACTCAGCTCCACACCTGGCTGAGCCCAGCGCCCCCTTCTTCTTGGTCCTGAGTTGGCTATAGGAGCCGGGCCCAGGAACTCCACCGGCTCCTGTGCCTGATGAGGGGGTGGGAGATGAGAAGTAACAATAAGAACCATGCAGGCTGTCAACAAACACTCATGCCCCTTTCTGTGTGCCAAGCACTTTCCACATGCTAATTGACTTCATCCTTACAACAGCCTTATGAAGTAGGTATCCTATTATCCACAGTTTTACATATGAGGGACCTGGAAGCACAGTGACTAGTCCAGGTCTCACACACAGTAAGTGGCCTGCAGGTTAGGCTGGCTCTGGTGTTCATGTTCAGATCTGCACTCTACACCCTCACACAGGAATCTTTAGTCTCTTCCTTCACCTGTTGTCATGCACACCTCACAGCTAGGACTCTAAAAAGTCTTCTACCCCAAGACAACCCCAAAAACCTTCATAGCACTAAGGACAAACCAGGTTTGAGAGCCTTGGTGTAGTCAGAATGTACCAGAGATTCTACACTATCATTACTATGTGGAATTGTTGCTGACAACAGGTAATAGACTTGAAATCCCAATGTGGGACATGTGAGGGCTGGGTTGCCTTTGGGGTCTTGCTCTGAAAGCCTTTATCCCCCTCTGACAACCTGAAGTAGTCACTCAGTAACTGGTCCTCTTGTGGCCTTTTCTCTGCAACTAACTGTCACAGTTTACTTCCTAACTGGGATCTTTAGAACTACCCTTCTAAACTTCTCTTTGCTCTTTGGACCCTTGGTTTCATACACTTTAGTTCTAAGCAGAGTGGGTGCAGGGGGTGGCTCAAGTGATGGAGTACCTGCCTAGCAAGTGTGAGGCCCTGAGTTCAAACCCCAGTCTTGAGAGCTTTCTTGAGCTCTGTTACTACTGAAACTAACTGGGGGGGCGACAGGAGATGCAGAAAGGACAAAGGATAGAAGACAAACATGCACAAAGTTGGGGTCAGATGTGCCAGGTGCTCGGATGGAGACACACAACAGCCTTGTTACTTCTTTTCTCTATTATTCTCTTTTACTTTGCTTCTTTTCTTCTCTATTCTTTAAGGCCTTACTTCTTTACTATTCCTTAAAATCTTGCTACTTTTCTATTCTTTAAAGTCTCTTTCCTTAGACTCTCACTGTCCCACATTTTCTTTAATCTCTTAAAGTCTTGCCCTCAGACTTGCACTGTCCCATGTTCTCTCTTAAAGTCTCAGTCCTCAGACTCGCAGACACACAACAGCTAGCAGCAGCAGCAGCAGCATCATTCTTGCAAGCCACCCTGCAGTAGCTTCCACCTCTCGCAAGCAGCCAACCAATCAACCAATCCTCCACTAAATCCAACCAATATACCGCGTCCTCCTTCAGCAAGTCTTTTATATACAGTGGTAAACAAGGAGGTGGAGCAACAGTTCTCAGGAAGGGGGTGACAATGTAACAAGACAAACCTGTTCTCTACTCTGAATGTAAACAACTTAGAAAAAGCAGCTGTGCTGCATTTTGCCTTCGCACTCTTCTGCATCTAGGGCCATGCCAAACTCAGCCTGCAGATTATCTGACACAGCTATGCTTATGTCAAGCTCTCATAGGCTTCTCATAATCCATCCCCCACACCCCAATACTGAAAAGTTAAAAAAAAATGTCTTCATGTGCTGTGTTAAAAAAAAATTCTAGCTATAATCATTGGGCTCACATATCTCTTTTGTACTCCCAACTTAAGACTGCTCTTGGGTGGTATTTCTCCCAGGATCCAGGTAGTTGAGCAGATGGTGCACTTCCCCTAGTGGTGACTAACCTCATCACAGGAAGGAAAGACTCGAGCTTCCCGTCCCTTATCCCTAATCCAGGACCAGCTCACCTGCTGGAACTCCCCCCACAAGGTCTTAAACACAGGCATGGAGCATATGTTTGGCACATGTTGGCAGATCCTCTACCCAAATACCTTCAAGGCACAGAGCTCTCTGCTTCCACCCACCTCAGTTCCTGTAACCTTGGAAGCACATTTCAAAGATGGCAACTCACCTGACTCATCTCCCAATGGGACAGGCTTCGGAGCAGAGCTGGGCTAGAAACTGAGGCTAGAAAGAAACAGGCAGTCAAAGGGAGCGTCTGCTGCTCACCCAACCCTGGGGCCAGGCCCCACATCAGCCTATCCCCTGTGTGGCCACAGTGATATCCAAGCTTCCTTAGCTCACATTGCTATCACATCCCACAGTCCCAGAAAGGACCCATTAGTCACTACACCAATTAGTAGCGCCTGGCTAGCCCCATATCAGACTGCCACGCACCTGGCTCTTTCTTGGTATTCTTGGCAAGGATGGGCAGAGCTGGCAATTCTTCTTCTTCAGTACCCTCATCTTCTCCCTCCTTATCACTGTCTGATGAGAGTACAGGTCCAGGAGATAGGCTCACTGGGGTCTGGAGCCTGCGTTTAAGACAAGGAAGGTCATGGGAAGAGGAGACTCGCTGGAGGAAGAAGCCAACAGGATGGATCTTTTTGGGACAGAGAAGGTTTTAGGAGACACAGAACTGCTAAGTTTCAGGTCCAGAGTGCGGAGGAGAGCAGAGATATCACAGAAAACCATCTTAACACCCACCCATCACTTGTACATATTCTGTTCTTACCGATTGGATCCAGAAGCCCTGTGGGGAGAAGACGGTCCTTGCTGCTTGCCCCCTCGCTGATGCTGGCGCAACTCAGCCAGACGCTGCCTCATGCTAATGGTCATCTCAGAGCTCAGGCGCCATATAAATATGCAGCTAGGTAGAGCCACAGAGTTGGTTGAGGGAGGGGCAGGGCAGGACTCTACAGGTAGCAACACTTAGTCCTCCTTCCCTGTGTACTGGAAAGGAGACCCAAGCCACCTTCCACTGCCAGTTCAGGCACAGCCAAGAAATATCCCTGTACAGCCCCACTTTCCAGAGACTGATGTCTCCATGAGATGAAAGAGGGGAAGGGCAGGGTGTGTTTGTGGACAGGAACAATCTGCCTTTCAGGGAAGCTGGCTTCTGCTCACCTGTCCCCTGACACAGAGATGAGATGTTTGCAGTCATTACTAAATTTCATGCCAGTGACAATCTCTGTTAAGAACAAAGAATATGGTCTATGAGCCACCCTAAATTCCCAACCAAACATCTGTTTGTCCTAGCAGTGGAGATGGGAATTGGTTGGAGGGGAGGTTCAGGTGCCATTCATACTCAGGAGCTCTGTGCTCTTGGAGTCTGGGTGTAGGGGAGGAAAGAGGTACCCAGCTACACCCATCTGTCACCAAGGCTCCTCCCCTGCTTTAGTCAGCTGGCCCGTACTGAGGTGGGGGTTGGGCAAGGCTGCTGGGAAGCAAGGACTAAAGGAAGAAAAAGTAGTTTCAGGAGCTACACTCACCTGAGTGGCCAAACATAGTGGCTACACATTCGCCTGAGGAGAAGTCAAAAATGGAAAGGTTCTTGTCAGAACAGCTAGTGGCAATGTAGATCCCTGAGGGGTCTGTCTGGACCTGAGAAGTGAGACACACAGCTAAAACAGTACAGAAGCAGCAGTCCTCCCCTTCACCTAGTACCAGTCTGTCCTCCTGACCCCTAGCTCCGTGCTCATCCTCCTAGACCCCTACCTTAATGAGAGTGCCATCCTCACCCTGCGACCCTTTAAACAGCTTTTTCTGCTTCCCACTGCTAATGTTAAAGATCCTGTAAAGAAACACACTCATTTATACAGAGAAGCAAAGATCAAACACACCTAGGTGCATTCAATTCTGGCTCATTCTTTCTGGGAGCTACCCCCAACCCCCAACACTCAGGTGAGACAAAATACACAGTCGGCTCAAGAGGGCACAAGGTCCTGGACAAAAAGACAGGTATGGGGACTTAGATGCATAGAACTGACCCCTACAGCAGGAAAGAATGTGATTAGATGGTCTGAGAAGGGGAAGCCCACCGAATATTTCGGTCTTGGCAGCCGATGGCTGTGTACTTCCAGCTGGGCTCTACATCCATGTCATAGAGGGTTGTCTTCCGTACCACGTGGTGTGTCCGTGTAAATTGTACTCCATCTCCAGACTGCAGGGGTGGAGCATGTGGACAGATCCACAACCAAATGCATCACCAGGCCCACAGAGCCCTGTTTTCACCTCCCTTCACCTTTTATAACCTCAGGAAGAGAAATGGTAAGAGTCCCCACTCCCATTCCTGCCCCTTCAGGGACCCCGAGTACCCTCACCTTCTGTGCAGTGCGGAAATAGATGCTTTTGTCTGCTCCACAACTGATCATGCGCACTTGCCCATCGCTGGCTATGGAGGAGGGGGGCCAAGTTGTTCCCACCTTTTTCACCACATAGGGACAGCCTTTCCCATTTCCCTCCGTATTTTAAAAACTACCACTCAAGCTACTGTACTTGGTGGGCCAACCAATTAAACCTAGAATGCTTCCCTCTAAACCCAGGTTTTCCTTTTCCCCACCCTCAACCCAACCTGGGGCTCTGGGTCCCCTAAACTGACTCTGCATTCTACCAGTCTTCCAGTCCAGCCCCAGGTCTCCCAGCTGCTGTCCAACAGTTCACCACTACTAGCAGACCCTTCTTATGGAAACAGGGTGGTGGTGGCAGTAGGAAGCAGGATAGGTCTCAATTTCTTTGTCCCCACCTGCAAACTTGACAGCAGTGATGGACGATGAGTGCTCATCCAGTGTCTGTTGCAGGCTGTACTCCCGCCCAGCATCTAGTACATGGATCAGCCGGTCCCGGCTGGCTGATGCTAGCAGCTTCAGACCTGGGGTTGGAAAAACTCCATCAGCCCACACATACTCTGAGAATGCCCTTCACTAAGCCTGTCAAAGAGCTCCAAGGGAACTTAGTCTCATATCTCTAAGCTACAAGAACCATGGAGCAGGACAGTTGTCCTCTTCTTAACCTGCAAAGACCAAATGATCCAAAAGATCATCGAAGAGCCAGGATAAATCTAAGTGGCATTGGCAGGGACTGGAGGAGCCCTCTGGCTTTCTAGGCTAGATAGAGGGCATCCTCCTTACCTGTGTCTGGCTTAGAGTACTCCAGGCACAGGATCTCTGAGTCATGAGCTTCTACCTTCAGCATCTCACTCAAGGACTGCAGTTCGTGTACCCTGCAAATAAAAGAGGAGGGAAAAGGTCACTGCCAGGTCACAGGAGGGAAGATTCCCTTCCTGAGCCACATCCTCTTCCCCAACCTTTTATTTTTAATTTTTTAACTTTTAAGCTTAGAGAAAAGTTGCAAAAAGAGTACACATGTTCTTTATTTCCCTTACCCAGCTTTCCTTAATGTTAACATCTTACATAATGACAGCACAATGATCAGAACCAGGAAATTTACAATGGTATAATACTATTTAACTAAAGATCTTATTTTAATTTCATCACTTTTCCCATATATCTTTTTACTTGATCCAGGATCCTACCCAGGATCCAAATAGCATTTAGTTGTTACTTCTCTTTAGTCTCTTATTCCTGTAGTCTGCAATAGGTTTTCAGTCTTTTCTTACCTTCCTTCCATGACTTTGACACTTTTTTTTTGGGTGGTGGTGGTACTGGGGCTTCAACCCAGGCCCTCACACTTGCTAAGCTCTACCACTTGAGCTACTCTGCAAGCCCTTTTTTGTGTTGGGTATTTTTGAGATAGGATCTTGCAAACTATTTGTCCAGGCTAGCTCAGAACTGCAATCCTTCTGATCTCTGCCTCCTAAGTAGCTAGGAGTACAGTCGTGAGCCACTAGTGCCTGACACCTTGACACTTTTGAAGAGCATTATCAGTTACTCTATTTTATGTGCCTCCATTTGAATCTGTCTGGTATTCTCTCATGATTGGACTGAGTTTATGCATTGTTGGTAAGAATACCACAAAAATAAGTGTTATGTCCTTAGTATATCATGTTACAGGCTTTATGATGTTGATGCTAAGCACGATCATTTGGTTAAGATTTCTGCTGGGTTCTGCATTGTAAAGTTATTATCTTTCCATTTTAGGTAATAAATATCTTGTTCCTCAACCTTTTTTAAGATAACCCCTCTAAAGTTCTGTCCTTGGGGACCTAATTACCCCATCCACCATATGAGGCAGTCAGTATCCACTTCAGGCACAACATTACCTAAGGGTGCCCATACGGTCTCCTGAAGCTAGATGCTGTCCATTGGGGCTGATACACACAGAGCGGATGCCGACACGGGGATCCATCAGAGACCCATCAGCTTTGTCTCCTCCAGGTAGCTCAGTGTCCAGCAGGGCCTGAGTGTTCCCATCCACATAGATTATCTTAATGAGATCCTGGTGAAACAAATCAGCAGAGATAGATAAGGCAGACTCGACATAGTACAGCTGCAAGGGGAGAGGAATGCTGGGCAAATCAAACCCTTGACTCCTAGAGCCCAGCCAAATAAAAGTTGGAAGATCAAGGTCTGAGGAAGCAGTTCCTGAGACCAAGGTACAAAAGTTGTACCTTGGGGATGGGGATACTAAGAATGGCGTGGGGATCAGGCTCACATCGCTTAGAATGTTTCGGTGCAGGGTAGAGCCATGTACCCCAGAGCTCTCTGTGTTCCACAGGCGGATGGTATTGTCTGAGGAACAGGTAATAAAGGAACTGGGAGGCAGGCAGGCCTGGTTACTGTCCTTCACCTCGGGGTAGACCTGAAGAGACAGAGGGAAAGAGACCTCCATTTAAAGAGCATTCTTTGCCTGCCCAAGGAGCTGGAAGGGAATGAAATCAAAGACATAATGCTGGCCAAGACTTAGCCAGGCACCTGGCATATAGTAAGCAAGACATGACTGCTGTATATACTATACAATTACTAAGGGAAAGCCCATTAACCTAGAACCTACTATGTGCCAGGAACTCCTCTGTTTCCCACTTATATCATTTCATTTTATTCTTAGAACAAATGAATCAGGTATATCATTTTATCCCTGAAGAAACCAAGGCTTGGTCAAATTTTGTAACTTGTCCAAGATCACTGACCCCAGGATGAGGCAAAAACTAAAGGTGAACAGGGAGGGGCACATTGGAAGAAGACTAAGGTAGAGAAGCACTAAAATTCAGGCTCAACCCCAGGATCCATATCACTAAGGATTGACAGGGATGTCACTGGAGAAACAGGAAGGCAGAAGGAATATAAGATTATACTTGTGATTCCCCACTTTCTGTCCTCACAATGGTATCCCAGCAAACCCCATCTATCTCCAGCCAGCCCAGCCCACGTACCTCTACACTCCAGACACAGGAGGAATGATACAGAGCTGAATACACCTTGCCCACTTTCTTGGGGTCCCTCACATCCCAAACATAGATGCTGTGGTCATTATACACACACGACAGCCACTGATTAGTTGGATCAAAGGTCAAAGCAATGGTGTCTGGATACCTGGCACTGGCCCCTCCAGAGAAGAGGCGACTGTGGGAGAGAGAGAGAACAGGGCAAACTGGTAAGACTGAAGGTAATGAAGGAAAGTCAACTCACAAAGGAAGGGGCAAAGCATGGGGCTCCCTCTCCAGCTATGCAGCTTTGGAAGAAGATGCTTGGGAGGAAAAAAGCAGCCCCTATCAGGCCTCAGCTGGGAGTGGACTCAGCACTGGCTGCTGGGTTATGGTTTTCTCCTGATGAACACCAATGTCATCAGGACAAAGCTGTAGCTGTGATGGGAGTGAAACAAAAACAAGACTTCTGTAATCATGTCTGTATACAGATCAAAACAAGATCACCATACAAGCCACAAAAATGGTACTAGTAGCCAGGCACTGGTGGCTTATGCCTGTAATCCTAGCTACTCAGGAGGCAGAGATCAAGAGAATCATGGTTCAAAGTCAGCCTGGGTGAATACTTCATGAGACCCGATCTTTAAAACACCCATTACAAAAAGGGTTGGTGGAGTGGCTCAAGGTGAAGCCCCTGAGTTCAAGCCCCAGTACCGACAAAAAAAAAAAAAAAAAAAAAAAGGGACTGGAGTGCAGCTCAGTGGTAGAGCATTTGCCTAACATATACAAGGCCCTGGGTTTGATGACCAAATACTATTCTCTCCCCTTTAACATGATTGATGCTACTTCTTTACCACATGACAGATTTACTCCATACCTTTCTTTCTAGTTCTTAAAGATTAGCAAGATGTCCAACTGTAAAATTGCCCCCACTTCTTGACAGCATCCAAGCAGAACAAAACTTCAATCCTTTGAACCATTCCAAAAATCATCTAACATAAGACTAAATCTTATAATAAGCTCTTTCTAACACCCACTTACTGAAATACTCCAGTCTTCCATGGTGTGTGGTCTCCTTGGTTCCAACAAGTACCAATAAACCCAAATTTGTTTGTCTACAGAGGTGTTTCTGGTAATCTCTGGCCATCGATACCTTTTTCCCCTTGTTCCCCAAAGCACTGGCAAGAAAGACTGGGCACAGGGTGAGGCTCTGAATAGAGACATGGGATCCACGTAGCTTACCTGGCATCAGTGATGCTGGCAATATCTGTCCCCAGGGCATGGGGTCTGGGTAAGGTGCTGAGAAAGTGCAGGTTAGAGGGGTTGAAAAGGCGCACGGTGCCATCAGCACAGCCACAGAAGATGTAGTCTTGGCTCACAGAGATGCAGTGGGCCACTGTGGTCTGTGAGTAGAGTAGCTCAAGTCAGTAAGGGCCACTTACCTACTTAGTCTTCTCTTTTCTTCCCCAACCCCTCAGCAACAATCACCTGTAAGAGGAAAGACTGACCAAGGCAGGGACAAGTGAGAAGCAGCCCAGCTGCTCTGTCCTGAGCCCCTCAAGCTATCATCCAAAGACGCCCTCCCTCCAGCAGCAGGTGGCTAGAGGGCCTACAGCCCTGTGCAGTTGGGGGATAGAAATAAGGGACCCGTCTAAGGCACCAGAGGTTTTGGCAAAGAAGATAAAGTAGGAAAAGCCCAGCAAAGAGAAAGAAACAGCCTGAGGAAGAGAGGAAGGTATAGGGGCACTTACTGTGAAGCTGTCTGTGTTCTGAGCAGAAGAGGAAAGCAGGGGAGAGACAGAAAGAGAGAGAGCAAGAGGAGGCAGTTACACAGATCACCAGGGCTAGCACTTGGCTGAGCTCTAGCACCCCAGGCTTCCTTTTCCTGGGTTTCCCTCCTGCATGCATGAGGACCCAGCCCCTGGTCTGGAGCTCCAGCACCAGTTCTCCTGATTTGAGACAGGAGCAGGCCCTTTCCCAGGGATAAAGAGTACTTACTCTCAGCTCCACCCACTTGTCCAGAAGCCTTCGATCACTGAACTCGCACAACAGCCCTGAGGATGTGATGCAGAAGGTGCTGTCTGCCTTCTTCCCACGGCCACAGGCCACGTCGGTGAACAGGTTGTTCCGAAGCTCCCCCAGCAGCCCTGAGCGACCCAGCAGGGGCACAGTGGCATTCACCTGTAGAGAAACACCACCATTACCCATCCACCCATCTCAGAACCTGACCCTGTAAACAAGGTGCTAGGGAGAAGCAAGTCTCCTTGTTCTGTGAGACTCCTCCTCAGTCCAGATAGATTTGGCTCATCCAAAATTTCTGTGTGACTTCTGATCATGCAGAAGAGGCCCAGGAGGAGCAGTCTCTGGGGTGAACCAACCCTCAGCACCTCACCTTTGAGGTCTTATTGTCATCAAGGTACCAGAATTTGATGTGACGGTTGCCAACAGTGACAAAGTAGCTACAATCTTCAGAGAATGACACTGCTGTCACCCGACTGGACACCTTGTTAGAGGCCACCACGATGTTTTTCTAGAGGGAAAGTCAAAGAAGAATCAAGGCTCTGATTTTTAGAGCTAAGAAGAAAAAGGATTTGAGAATGGAGGAGAGCTAGGAAGAATTTCTACTTGAAAAAGTGTTTCCTTCCATGATTTGCTGGTCAGAAAAAGAGGAGTGTGGGAGAATCCCTTCCTAGAGGGATTAAAAGGTTCATTTCTTCCAGAGTACTTGATGGCATAAAGTTAGCCACTGTAAGCAACATGCTTGGCACATAGCTGCTCTTTTCTGCTTCCAATAAATTTCTAGAATGAGACTGAGATCAGCATGGTGGAGCGAAACAGCTCAAGTCAGCAGCTTCCTGACTCCCCACTGATACCCAAAGGTTGCCAGGCCATCCCACCCAGAACACTCACCTTCCAGGCCCAAACGTTGACAATCATATCATGCTGGTAGCCCACGGAGACAATGTACTTGGCACTAGGGGAGAAGGCCACACAAGCCACACCATACTTATGTTCCTGCAGCTCTGCCACCTGGCTATGTTCAGCCACGTCCCAAACCCGCACGGCGGGCATGTGCCCACTCTGCAGGGAGGCAAGAACTACAAGTGAGGACTGTAGAAAGGTATTATTGCCTACTTAGCCTTTCAGAGTGGGACCCTCAGCTCCTCAGCTCCTGAATACCATTTCTCTAATGAGACCTGGACAACAGTCAAGAGCAGGGTACTGGGCTGAGGGCGTTGCTCAAGTGGCAGAGCCCTGACTAGCAAGTATGGTTCAAACACTAGTAATACATACATACATACATACACACACACACACACACACACACACACACACACACACACATTGCTATATAGGAGAAATGTACAGAGGAGGCATGATAAATATCTGAGGACAATGACGATTATCAGGGAGATGGTGGCCCCAGATATTACTCAATATCTCTGAGTGGAGGTCTGTACCTCTGCATTTGCTCAAAGCTCCTTGAATGATTCTGGTGGGCAGCCAGGCTGGAGAATTACTACCACTCAAGTCTACTGCCACTCATGCCTCCCTGAAAAACTGAGAGGGCAGAGGTATTCCTTATGTACCCAGCAGGGGGCCTCCAGGGACCAGGAATGTTTTAGGGTGGTGGTTTTCAAAGTGTGCTTCCTTTAACCACTTGAATAAGCATTATTTGGAAACTCGGTTTTTTTTTTTTTTTTTAAAGACAATCTGGGGGTCCCAGACCTATACAATCAGACAACTCTGGGGCAGGCCCAGCAACGTGTACTTGAACTAGCCTTTTCCAGGTGATTCTGGAAACTTAAGAACTATTGTTTAAGCTATAGTAAAAACCAGGATTTGGCAGCCCAAACTGAACATACAGTTGTGGCTTTCTGTTGAGGGAGGGAGGACTACCCACACAGTATTTCTGCCCCTTCCTCACTCACCTCTCCAGTGACCAAGTATTTTCCATCAGGGGAGAAGGCAAGGGCAGTAATGGTTTTCCTGCAAGAGACAGGGCAGGCTTAGAGGGGCACTAGCAGCCTGCACCCCCACCTCTAGCCTCTCCAAAGGTGAGACCAGCAAACTCTACTGGCCTATGTGCTGCTTTCCTATCTGGTCCTAGGGCCCAACCAGATCCCAGCCCCTAGAGCCCCAGGCCTCTGACTCCAGGAAGAGAAGATGTTCCCTGAGGCCAGGTTCACGTACCTGGAACTATTGAGGATGTGATGCTGTTTGTGTTTCCGGGGATTGAACAGCACAACCACACACCTGAGGAGGTGAGAGAGACATTAACCTTAGCATCAAACCATAGGAGTTCCCAGGCCACCTGGGACTTCTAGTCACCCAGTAGAATGAGCAGGGTTAATCAAGCTCAGAAGAGCTCCACTGCTTTCTCCTTGCAGCCTGTTCTTGCTTCCTACCCTCACCTCAGAGGGCCTGTCTCTGCAGCTCCAGAGGGTGAAAGGGCTCCCTGAAAGCCTAACCCCAGCAAGTCCCTAAGCACCAGTCCCATCTCTAGTCATACCCACAAAAGGCAACAGAAACACAGGCCTTCCCACAACACTTGCACATACCCCAGGAAGGGATGCAACAGGAAAGAATAAATGTGATTTGGGCACAAACTTCCCTGCCCCTCTACATATTGGATAAAGAAGGGCACGGGAGGCTATGCAGAGGGTGGGAACTGTAAGGAGGCCCAGTAACACTGGAGGAGGGTAGGGCTGAGACAGCTTGGGAGGACCTGGGAATGCCTTACTGTGCTACAGTGCTCGCGGGCCTAGCTGGAGGATCTCTGGCCCCTGAGAAGGAAGGGCATCTTGAGGGCCAGAAGGAACCAAGCAGGAACTCTGCCTGCCTTGCAAAGGAGGATAGGGGCAGTCTCTCCAGCCAGGTGACAAGGATGCTGCATGAAGTCAGGTCCAGACTGACTGTCCAGAGACAGCTCCAGGGAAAAAAGCTGGGTTGTAGGCATCAGGGGCAAGAAGTTGGAAGCTGAGAGCCAGGCAGTGTTCTCATTAGGGTTCTTGGCTATGAGCAGGCCCGGGCCCATTGCCCACTTGCCTTACCTCTTCCTTAGCACTGGAACTAGCTGACAAGAGCCAGTCTGGAAACTTACATGAGGGAAGGAAAAGGGGATTGAGCAGATAGCTACCTCCCCCAGACCTGGACTGCTGTAGTAGAAACCTCACAGCAGCCCCCATACTTGAACCTCACTGCTGGCTGGAAACTTGAAGTGAAGGAGGATCAAATTGCTAGTTAATGCTTAGCATTTTAGGCTCAACAAACCACTCCAATGTGCAAATACCCAGATACTTTTTTCTGGGGACACAGGAACCTCTGACATGACCCAGCACAACCAGAGCTACCAGGCTGACCAACAGCCTTGGAATTCCCGAGTCTTATCTCCTCTAATTCCACCACCAACCCTTCAACTGTTCTACTCTTCTCCCCATCTCCTACTCTTGCCTTGTTCCATTTGCCTTATTCCTTTCTCCTTTCACAATTTAGAACAACTTCTAGTTTATTGCCTCTCTTTCTATAGTACCATGGTTAGGAGGGTTTTAAAATATAACAAAAGGTGGGTTTCCTGGCTCAAACTGTAATCCCAGCTACTTTGAAAGTGAACATCAGAAGGATCAGGGTTCTAGCCCCAGCAAAAAGTTATGAGATCCCATATCAACCAACAAGCCAGGCATGGAGGTAAACGCCTGTAACCAAGGCTATGCGGGAGGCATAGACAGGACAGCAGGTTGAGACCGACCCTGGGCAAAAATATGATACCCTACCTGAAAAATAACTAGAACAAAAAAGAGCTGGAGTGTTGCTCAAGTGGCAGAGCACCTGACAAGCAAGTACGAGAGTTCAACTCCAGTTCAAAAGAAAGAAAGGAAAGGAAAGGGAACAAGGAGGAAGGGAGAAGACAGGGAGGGAAGGAGGGAAGGAAGAAGGGAGGGCTGCATAGCAAGACCCTGTCTCAAAAAAGGAAAAAATAAATAAAGTATGACAAAACTGAGATGGCTTTAGAACCTCTGTGCCCCATAACTCCTAACAGGTGTATGAAAAATATAGTTGAAATATAGTTCAAAAAACATAGTTCAAAGTCCACAGATTTAGATATTTGGATTTTAAAACTTTATTCAGTGTGTGAAAAATAGTATCTCTAGGCCTAACACATCATGAATTTAGAGCCCAGCAAACACCATCATGAATTTAGAGCCCAGCAAGTTCTCTGTGACCAACTATTTTTTGAACCTTCTTACAATCTGTACTGGCCCTCTACAGGCTCATCTTTGTAAAAAATGTAGTTAGTCTGACAAGTTGCAAGTTACCCGGCCTTCTGATTAGTTACAGATGAGCCATGGCAAAGGGCTTCACCTCTCTCAGACTGAGGAGCCTCCTCAGTGGTTTTGTGAATTGACTTGCACAATCCACCCAACCACATTCCAAATTCAGAAAAAGTAAGAGTTGAGCACTCTATGCTAAGGCTGTGAATCTTCCCTTAAGCAGCCTTGTGGTCTTTAAAAAGTAGTACATCAGTCTACTTAAAACACTTTCCAGGTCATTGCACACAAATTCTGAGTCTTCAAGGGACACAACATCCCCTGTTCCTCCTTCTTCTAAGTTCACCTCCACAGAGGAAGGAGGAAGGAAAGCAGAAAGAAGAGATCAGCAAGCATGAATGCACACATGCTTGTGTCTGTACACGTGTTTACATATAGTGCAGACAATCAAAGATGACTGGCTAGAGGTAGATGAGCAACCCTTCTCTAACTCCCCCCACCCCACCCCCAATACAACCTAGGAATTTCTCACGCATGGCATGGAAGAATAAAACAAGGAAGGGAACACAGAGAGGGAGACCCTTAATGTAAACTTTTTACTCCTAATTATTCAGATTTGGAAACCATCCAACACAGATAAAGAGACCAACCCTTGGTCACAACTTTACTGTGGGGAAAACAATGTGAATGTCTGAGGCTCCCTGTGTATCCAGATGGTTGAGGTCTTCCCAAAAAACCACCAGGTGACTCCTTAGTTTTCCCGGTGAGCTTTCAGTAAGCTCTTCAGTCAGCTAGGGAGAGGAGGGTGGGGCAGAGCTGACATCAGTCATTAGCTTTCCACCTTCACACCCCTGCCAGGCAGGATGGGCCCTTACAGCAGTTTCCACCAAATCCCCAACATGCTGTGAACTGGAGTGGGCTGTCCCAGCAGGCTGACTCCCGTAATTCGGGTATAATTCGGGTACAGAGATGTCGCTCACTCTCACAGGAAGAGGGAAAGGCCTCAAGACCCCCTGGGCCTCAGCTCAGTGAAGTCTTGTTGCAGAGCCCCAGTGTCAGGAAGGGCTAGGCCCTCAGTATCCCCTTTCCTGCACAGGTCCAGGCTGCAGCCATCATGAAGAATCCACTCCTACCATTCTCTACCTTCCAGAAAACAGAGCCAAATGTACCCTAGATGAGCTATGACTGGAACAGCACATACAGGAAGCAGACACAGAAGCTTCAACCAGAGCTGCTTCAAATTTCTTCCTTCAGACTAAGTAAAATCAGAGGGTGACTCACAGAGCCAAAACAAAGTTCCTTCAAGCCTGGCTCAGATGTCACTCTCTAGACCTACTCACCATTACATTCCCATTCCCTACTGTCCTTTACTACCACTGCTCATACTCTTTCTAAAGCACACATCAACTTGTCATGTCCCATATAATTTACTTTGCAGAGGAGTATCTACCTTCACACACCAGAAGATGTGTGAAGATAAAGTTTTTGTTTGTTTTGTTTACTGTTAAGTCCCAGGCCCTAGAAGACGAGTACTCAGAAAGTATCTGTGAAGGGGTGAATAAATCTTTAACTTACTAGCAGCAAGATCTCAAAGCTCTGACTGCGGAAGAAACCTCCAAGGAGCAGACCTTGCATTAGGATGCTAGGGGAAGGTCCATGGTCCTCCCATACCGTAGGCATTTTGGATTGACTTACTGATGCCCAGGGGTAGGATTGTGGTAGAAAGAGCAAGAACACTGGGGCCAGACAGACCTGTTAATACACTGTGTGATCTTGGACATGTTCCTTCACTTCCCTGAACTTCAATTTCCTCATCTATAAAATAGAAGTAATAGCTACCTCACAGAATTGTTGCAGTGTCCTTAGCCATTTTCTTGAAGGACACCCTGATGTACCAATTACAAGGAAAGACTATCTAGGAGGTCGGTATTTGCAACAGGAAGCCCAACTATGGCATCTCATATAAGACTCTGGATACTAACTAGTATGTCACTAGGGTCATCCAGATGTGGAATTACAAACTATTCCTCCAAATTCACTTCCAAAGAGGAAGTATTATAGCTTTAATTATTCCAAGAGATAAAGGGGCTAACATGTTTCCTGAGGCATTGCTCATTGTGGTCCTCTTTCCATCCCTAGAATCCAGTACCTTCCTCTTGGGTCCAGGCCATGAGACCCATTGGCATCTCTGTTTCTGGGATACGCTGAAAGCCCCTCCTCAAAAGCAGGAGAAAAGACTAATGCTAATGACTCCAAGAATTACATGGCCAGTGATGTAGGGCTATCAGTATGTTCCTTCCTGCCCAGAGGACTCTAAACACATCTCTTTCCCTGACAAGAGATGAATATCTTGAGCAGCAAGACCAGGTCATAATGGTAGTGTCTGAGCCTCCTCCTTCACACTCATTCTAGTCTAGCCATTCTGGCTGCTGGCTAGCTCCTGAAACAAATGAAATAATTCCTCCTTTCCTTAGGACCTTTGCACTTTCTCCATTGGGAACACTTTGGTGTCATATCTTACATGCTGCTTCTTCCTTGTCATTCAGGTGCCTGTTCAAATGTCACTCCCCACTGAGCTCTGACCACTCAATCTTATAGCAGCCCTATCTTTAGCTTCCAGTTATTCATTTACTCTCCTTCCATCACCCCTGTTGTATTTTTTAGAATACTTACCACTCTTTGCTATTACCTCGATCACTTCCTTGCCTACATACTTATAGTCTTCTCACCCTTCTTTAACCTAAAACCTACAAAAGTAGTGACCTTGCCTGCATTACTCATTGCTATATCCCTGGTATCTGGCCCAGAGCCGGTTTTCAAAAATACCTGCTGAACAAATGAATGGATGCATTGATGCTATGGGAAAAACTAAAGCCCTGATTTGCAATAAAGGCACCAAAGGCACTAATGTGATGTGTCCCCTGCGTATGATTCTCCTGGGCACCAAGTCTAAGAATCTCCCTCTCAGGTCCACTCAGTTCCTCCACTGGCATACACCCACACAGGACTCGCCTCAGAGAGTAATAAGGGAGCTTTGAGTTCCTTCAACTCAACTGTCACTAGAATACTGTTCAGGAAAAGATCCTGTGGCTTTTTTTGAACCCTGTCCAATGCTGTGAAGCTAGGGATCTCAGCATAAATTCTAACATGGGCTAAGTACACAAAAGGCCTTCTCGCAAAGAAGTGTTTCCCTCTTCTCTCCAACTCAAGCAGAGACCACCTCTTAGCTATTGGATAGGCCTGGTCTCTTTGCTAGGACACTCTTCACTCAGGAGTGGTGAGGACTCATCCAGGTTACTCCAGCAATGGAGGCCAAGAAAAACCCATTCTCAAAACTGACCCCAAAGTCACAGGAGCTGTGAAGCTAGCTTAGAAAAAAGCCCAACTCAAATTAAGGGTATTCAACCAAACTAAATCCTTCAAAGTGACTGTCCAGGGATAGGACAAGAATCCAAACCCACCACTGCCTGGTATGTGTTGCACAACCCCCTTCCTTGTGCTGTTTCATTTCCTCTTAGAAAACTTTGTTTTGGTTTGATATCTGCCTCTAGACCTCTGGGAGAATTTTCTGGGTTTTGTTTCTCTTCTTGTTTCTAGGATACCTGAGTTAGTTTCAAGAGCAACAAGAGCAGTAGGAACAAGAGTGGGGAGTGCAGGGTGGGTGGTGTTAGGATTACCAGACAGCAAGAAAAAGAAGAGGGTGGGAAAGAGCCTGCTTGAGCTCGCACAGACTTTGGTGGTACCTGGTTACCCCAGAGCACATAAGGGAGCCCCAGCAAAGAGCAGAGCTAAATCATCCAGAAAGTAGCCATTTGAAAAGACAGAAACTGAAGTTCTAAGAAAACCAAGGAACAAACAGATCAGGAGTACTACCCGGGGCAGGCCCAAGCCAAGTACCTTCAGAAAACCTACTGGAGGTTACATCAGAGAAGCCACATACACTACCTGGACAGATAATGACCCAGGCACATGTACTGGGCTGGGAGCTACCCATAAACATAAGCACATGTTCTTAACAGATCCAGGTCTAGAGTCCAGGGGTGTGTGGGGAAGAGAGTGGGGGTAGGGTTCCATATTCCTCATTGCGGGACACAGGGCTCAGCATGCACATAGCAGCACCCCAGGCCTTTCCTGCCTATCCTATGTCTAGCCCCAGCCCCACCTCCAACAAGAAGGAACCTGGCTTTCCCAGGCAGAGGCAGGAACGAGTGGAATTCCCCTGAGGCAGGCTACACAGAGTAATCCAACAGCAGAGGCCCTTCTCAACTTGCTTCTGGAGGAGGAGAAAGAGGCCAGACTAGCCTCTGCCAGGCAGAGCCACTGCAGCTCTCACAGCACCCCACTACAGACACCAAACACCAAAGGACCCTTTTGGAAAGACACTGACATAAGAACTGAGAGGCAGTGGGTTCCCTGGCACAGACTGAGGTGCCCATAAACTGGGCTTTTCTCATTCAAATGGCAGGTAGACAGCTCAGAGGAAAAGCAGCTTTGAAAAACAATCAGAAAGTATGGTCTTCCTTGACTTCATGCATTTTATGAGTCAGAGCTCTGCAGTCAGGCTACTTGGATTAGAATCCCAACACAGACATGAGCTAGCTATATCACCTTGAACAAAGTGTTTCACCTTCTTGAATCTCAGTTTCTTTCTCTAAAATCTGGAGAAGAAAATAGTACCAGCCTCACAGAATTGCTCTAAGTGTTAAATAGTTCACAAAGGGCTTAAAAAGTACCTGGCATAGAATAAGTACTTGATAAAGGTAGTTTTATTGAAGAGATGATGAAACTAAGCAAATCATGTATCTGGTATGAAAACTACAAATGTTAGGGAAATAACATTGGGGAACTAGGCATTCCCAAACTGATGGTGAGGCAAGAAAAGTAGAGCAGTGGCCCTTCTCATTTTCATGTTCCTGTGCCTATCAGGAAGGGACAGAGGCTCACAGAAAGAACCAGAGGTGGGAGGGACCCCAGGCCCCCAAAAGGCACACTTCTGCAAAAGCCTAAGAACTATGGCTGGGGGTTTCTCATTTGTAGGAGCAGAGTGATGAAAAGGCAGCAAGAGAAAGAATGCCAACCCTAGTCTCCTACTTCTCTTTCATGGCACTAATATCTCTGAAGAGATTGGAAATGAACAGTCATATTCACTAATGCTGATTATCCATATAGCTAAACAGAAACAAGCCAAATGTTCAACTAGAAAATAGAGAAAATGTGGTAGATCTACACAATGGAGTATTACTCAGCCATAAAAAGGAAAAGACTACTGACATATGCCACAACATGAAGGAACTTGAAAACACCATGCTAAGTCAAAGAAGCCAGTCACAAGCTAGGGACAGGTGGCTCAGGCCTGTAATCCTAACTACACAGGAGACAGATCAGGAGGATTGTGGTTCGAAACCAGTCCTAGGCAAATAGTTCAAAAGACCCTATCTTGAAGAAACCCATAATAAAAAAATAGGCTGACAGAGTGGCTCAAGCTGTAAGAGTGCCTGCCTACCAAGCGTGAAGCCGAGTTTAAACCCCAGTGCTACCTAAAGAAAAAAAACAGTTGCCAGTCACAAAAAGCCAAATATTGGAGTCTTTGTTCCCATTTCCTGTTTGGGGAACAGGAAATGTTTTCTGTCTTTCTCTCCACCACCCGTCTCCCATTTGTCTATACTTTATCCTGTTAGACTAAAATAAATCATTGCTAAAACTTAAAAAAGAAAAAGCCAAATATTAAAGGATTCCATTTATCTGAAATACCCAGAATAGGTAACCTACGGAGACAGAAAAGGTAGATTAATGGTAGCCTAGGGCTAAGGGTTTTGGGGAAGAAGGTTAGAGAGTGACTGCTAATGGATAAGGAGCTTCAGGCTTTTTCTAATTTATTTATTTATTGATCGATTGATATTACCAGCGTTTGAATTTAGGGCCTCTCACTTGCTAGACAAATGCCTCTACCACTTGAGCCACACTCCCAACCCTTTTTTGCTTAAGTTTTTTTTTTCTTTTCAGATAGGCTAAGACTGGGAACATCCTACCTATGGCCTCCTGAGTAGCTGCCATTACAGGCGTAGCTACTGCACCCAGCTTATTTGTTTTTGACACAAGGTCTTACCAGATTGCCCAGGCTGGCCTCAAACTCCTGGGCTCAAGTGATCCTCCCACCTGAGCCATCTGAGTAGTTAGAACCACCTGTGCATACCACTGCACCAGCTATATGGAATTTCTTTTTTGGGACAATAAAAGTGTTCTAAAACTGATTGTGGTAATGACTGCACAAGCCTGTGAAAATATTAAAACCCACTAAATTGGATAGTCATTCATTCATTCATTTTATTTATTTATTTTTTTGCTTGTTGTGGTGCTGGAGATCAACACCATAGCCCTGAGAATGCTAGGCAAGTGCTCTACCACTGAGCTATACACATAGCCCTGAGCTGAATATTTTAAATGTATAGTATCACATTATTGAGATGTGTCTCAATAAAGCTATTTGCAAAAGTGACTAGAAGGTAGTTACTGAAGATGGTGCTGGGAACCCTGTGTAATATAAAGTATGAATCTATATGTGTAGGTGGGGGTGGATGGCCAAAAAGGACAGATGGTAAGAAGGACAGCACCCAACAAAAAGTCTTTACCTCACCTGTATTTCCTTTACAGAAATGGCATCAAAAACATTAATCCAGATATATCTTCCAGAAGATACCAGAAAACACCTGCCCATCCCAGCTGGTCTAGCGTGGCTATCAACTCCCATGTAACAAGATCTCTTCCAAGGCACTTACCCAGCTGGGTAGGCAACTAAACCTGATCGGGGATCACAGGCAAGTCCTCTGCCTCCAGATACTGTTAGTCCCAGCACCTTCTCCAAGGTCACCTGTATAGAGCAGGACAGAGAAGTGACATGTTAAGGACAGAATGGGTTTGCAAGGGAAGTGCTGAAGATACCTAGGCCCATCCTTTGTGGGAGGATGGTCCTATCTTCAGGAGAATGGGGATATGACTTCTCTAGGCTCTGTTCTGACCTCTTTATCATACTGTAAAATGTAAGTACTACATATTTCCTGCATTTTAAAAATCCTCAGTCTGCTGAGACCATGGCAAAGTCAACTGGTTAAGGTACAGCTGCTCATTGCCAAACAGGAACAAGCATTGTCCCAGTCCAGAAAGGCACCAAATACAAGCTAGAACATTAGATCTCCAAACTGGACTCTTGGGTCTATGAAGCTGAGGCAAGAGCACTAATCTTTGTTCTATGACAGCCAGTTCATACAGACTTTGAGCCTAGGAGGCAGAAACATGGCTTAATACTGTGTTTTGCAAATCACAAATGCTCAGGGTACTCTAATTATTATTATTAAGTCACAACTCCCACAGAGATGAAAGGGAAACATGTGGAAAGTGCTCTGAGATTCTGAGAGGATGAGACGTTCATCACTTTCATCAATAGCACTGTTGCCCCACATTTTCTTTACGCCATAGGACCCACACTGGTCCTCAAATTAATTTACTGGTGTTTCTGCTAGATGATGGCATGTGAGATCCAGACTGCCCTGCACCCTCTTGCTTGTCACTCCACCTCACCCTCTGCTATACAATGTCTTGCTGGTCACTCCAGGTCCAATCTCTTCTAATACTACCTGCACTTCCTGTGCCTGCCTTCCTCAGGGATATCTTTGGTTTCCTTGGCTCAGAGAGAGGAGCTTCTGAATGCAGAATGGCCATGCAAACAGGCTACACTGTAATCTGCTCTGAAGACTCTGACCTGGGGAATCTTGGAGGTCGTAAGGAAACAATGTGAATCAAGGTTGTTCACACTTGTGGCAGGATAGAGTCTCTTAGTACAGGCCAGTTTCTAGAAAGGGGAAGCCATGAATCACTTAGGATAATCCTAAGATATCTCTTCTTTTACTATCCCAGCAGGAAAATTAAAAGTGCTCATACAAGGCCTATTTAAATTCTTTCCTCCATGGGCCCTCTTAGTTTGAATGAGGTAGGAAAGAAATGTCCTGTGGTGGGCAAAGACCAAAATAAGTCTCCCAAGATGGTACAGTTAAAACCTATTCCAAACCCCAAGAGTCTTCTGTGCTTCTCCAGCCTATGGATCAGGAATTCCAATGTGTCTATTCACTGGTAGAGGCGGCTAGCTTCTGTGCACACCCACAGCAACATGGCAAACACCAAACCTGCCAGTTACCCTTGGGCCTAGTTGAGACACTAAAGCTAATGTGAGATAAACTAACTTTAGCCTACCCTTGACATTCCCTTGACATTTTTTTAATCATAAATTTTTTATTAGGATATATTTGTTATATGGGGGAATTCATAATGACAATTTCAATTAGGCTTATATTAGATGTACTGCCCCCATGGTCTCTTCCCCTCAATCCCCTCCCCACCCCCACTTAAAGGAATTGCAAGAGGTTTCTTTGTTCTATTTCATATAGGTATATGAAGTCCATCAACCATATATCCTGACCTTAATCTCCTTCATTCACCCTCTCTTCCTACCCCAGAAGGTTTATTCTAATTTATGCCTCCTTCCACTCTTTTTCTCAGCTTAATGACCCTTGGCACCCAGTCACTGGCACTGTCTGAGAGTATAAAACCATTCTGTAGAAGTCTGGGGTTGATGTTCATTTTCTGTGCTTTTAATTATCTCTCAAGGAGAGGTACTCAGGAACATTCCTATTGTACCTCTGCGGAGAAGAGAGAGAGGAGCCCAAGACCAGCATAATCACAAAAATGACAGAAGTCACCAAACCAAGCAGTGAGCGAAAAAGCTGCATAGCTCCTATTCTCTTCAAACTAATCTAATTTAAAGTAAATCCTTTGGATTAAAATTTGCATTGGTCCCTTACCTTCCTATGCTTCAATGTTGGTCCCAAAGAATCAGTCAAGTCTGCTGGTTCCCAGTTGCCCTTCCCCCTGAAAGGAATTTGAGTAGGTGTTTTGTGGGTAGAAGATCTAGTTCCAGAGAATTCATCCTGAAACTAGCCTGCACTTTTCAATAGCAATCTAAAGCAGGAAGAAGATGTGTTTTCCTAAAGACCCTAAAGATCAGTGTTTATCAAACTTTTTTCACTAAGACCCACAAAGTAAGGAATACTTTATATATAATGACCCAATGTATACATATATGTATATATGTATATGCATACAACTGAGAAGTTAAAGGTTGATAAAACAGCACTTACTACCATAGACTTTAATATAGTGAAGTATTTCCATTTTATTAAAAAATAGTTCTGAGGACGGGGTAGCATGGCTCAAGTGGTAGAACATCTGACTAGGAAGCGTGAGGCCCTGAGTTCAAACCCCAGTATTGCCAAAAATAATAATAATAATAATAATTCTGGTCATGGCCTACTTTAATGAGTTCATGACCTATAAACGGGCTGGAAGATCTAGTTTGGGAAACCTGCTATAGACCACTTCTTTCTGCCAGGCTTGGGAAACAGGCTCTGGTCACTGGCATCTTGTGTTCTTCAGCTGCTTGCTTCCTAGGACTCTGCACAGAGGAACATACTTCCTGACTAGGAGAACCCTATGGGCAGAAGTTTGCCTGAACTCAAAACCTGGCTTATTTTCAAAGGATTTATGGGTTTTGGCTGTTTCTGGTTTTCTAAAGCAGCTATCCAAGGGGAAAAAAGCTGTTTCCTTTGGCTCTGTGGAAAGGGAGGAGCAAAGGAAAACATTCAGGGGCATCAGCTGGTTTTTATTTTATGTTCTTAACTCAAACCAGCTTCCTGTTTGCAGGGAGGTTTTGAGCTGAGCTCCACTTTCAAAGGATCTGAGAGTCCAGAGTTTCTGTGATGCTTCCAACATCTAACCTTATTTTGCAAGACTCCAACACAACGGACTTTACAAACTGACACTTTCCCTGATAACCTCCTCCCTTTTTTTTCCAAAAAGGTAGTAAAGATACCACCCACACTAGAAAACAGAGACAAGACTAGATACCCTCTGCAAGCACTACAGGCTAAAGGGCACCCAATTTCTGTCAGTGGCGTGTAGTAGTTGGTTTGCACCAGTTCATAAAAACTCATGTACACAGCTTTTCCCACATTCAGTGACAACACAATGGGAGTCTTGAATTCATCATGGTGTAAGTACTTTCACCATGGAAATCAGTACAGGCTTTTCCTCCCCCTCAGAGTTTGTAAACACTTACCAGTGTACCAATGAGTTCCAATCACTATCATCTCTCACTTGACTATGACTATAACTCCCAAGTGTTCTCCCTGCTTCAGGCCTTGCCCCCTATCATCTTTTCTCAACATGGCAGGTCACAGTGATTCCTCTAAAGTATAAATGAGATCATTTCATTACTCTTCTAAAAACTTTCCAGTGGCTTCCTATCTCCCTTACATTCAAATCCAAATACTTGACCCAGATTTACAAGGGCCTAAATGATCCAGCCTGTGGCTATCTCTCCGACCTCATTTCCTGTACTGTCCCCAACTCACTCTACCCCAGCCATCTTAGCAACCTCCAGTACCTTACCCAGTCTCTAGCATAATCCTTTGCATATACTAGTCTTTGGACTAAATAGCTCTTCCCTCAGCTATTCATGCAAATTCACTCAGGTCTTTACTCAAAGGTCTTGTCCCCAGTGGATTTTCCAGACTAGCTTTACTGCCATCATTCTATTTCTGATTTATCCCACTTTTCTTTTCTTCAGAGTACACAGGGGCAGGCAGTGATGCTGATTTATCTCTGTGTTATTGTCTTCCCCATCAGAATGGGAGCTCCCTGAGGACAGGAACTAGGTTGCTATCCCTCACTTATGCCTGGCATACAATGGGTATTTGATACATACTTGGTGAATGAATGAATCAATCAATCAATTAATTAACATCTGGCAGAGGCTTCAGGAACAGTGAGAGACCAGACATAACTAAGTCCAGGAAAATTGGGGTATTTTAGGTCAATAGATTTGTTCTCCACAAAAAAATGTAAAACTCATTATGAGAATGGGCATGTCCAGCTGAGGACATGCATAAAGGGAGCTTGATAGTACAGGTAACGTTTTGTTTAAGATATGGTGGGTACCGAACTGTTCACTCTATTATTCCATATATCGTTATTGTATGCCTTAAATATTGCATAATAAATGCTAAAAAGAGGAAAAAGATACAGTCAAGGAGATAGTGTGGGGCCCAGGACCTTATAAGCAACATCCTTCTATAATTCACATCCGCGAGTTCTCTATTCCACTTGACAAAGCAATGAGGGAAAGGGTCTGAAGCATTCAAGAGTACATGTTTATATTTGATTTGGGTTTCTCATGTTAGCTTTTACAAGGCTTCACATTTACATAACGCTCTGCCATGTCACTTTTAAGAACAATAATCCAGGGCTGGAGGTGTGGCTCAAGGAATAGAGCTTCTGCCTTTCGAGCTCAAAGCTATAAGCTCAAATCCCAGTATTACCAAAAAAGAAAAAAAAAAAAAAGCACCATGTATAACCCCTTTCCTGACTGCTAAGCATGGCAGCGGGGCATGAAATGGGCTCCTCAATCTGGGTTTATGTTAAACAGAGCCCCTGAGCTTATCCACACTGAATACGTGGCATGAACAAGAACTAAACTACCAGCTAAGACAGGGACATTATGAAGCGGTTTGCTACCAAGTCCAGAGATTTTCAAGCTTTTTGATCTCAGGACCTTTTATATTCTTAGAAATTATCAAAGATGCCAAAGAGTTAATGTTTATGCAGATTCTATCTACCAATATTTACTATATTTAAAATTACAATGAAAAATATTTTAAGTATTTATTAATTCATTTAAAAAGTAACAATGAATCCATACTCATTAACATTTTTATTAAAGAAAACTTTATTTTAAAAATTAGTAGGAAGAGTAGCACTGTT